CCTTCACCAGCGATCTACAGGAAAGTCGCGATAATCAGATAAAATTATATGAATTTTGACTCTAGGAGGATATTAACCCGCGCCAGTTGTCCGCCCCTTCTGAGGAAGGTGTGACGCAGGTTTAATCCCACATCGGTTGTGCGCCGATTTTTCAGACGAATATATAGTAATGTTACGTTTGTAAGCAAAGTTCCTTCTCTCGCGTGTACGACCACTCTTTGCCCCACAGCCGGCTGGCCACCGGTGACGTGGAAGGGGAGTGGCGCATACGTGCCCCTATTGGTCCAAGCCGCTCGAGCCCCTACTTGCGGCTACTCCCCGACTAAGCTTTCGACCCGCTTGCGAGCCCGGCTGGCCGGTGGGTCCCCCCTCATTTTGTCTTATTTTTATTTCTTTTTCTTCATTTATCTCAAAAGCAAGACTATAAAAATCATATAAATTCATGTAAAATCACATAATTACTTAAAAATTCACATTCATCAACTGAAAACCACTTTTCACACTTTAACACAAATATAATTCTATTTATCATGAGTTAAGGCTAAAACTATATTATTTACTAATTATTAACTCATGATAATGAAGACTTATCAATCCACATAGATTCTTTCAAGTCCTAGTGAGGTATTTTTCATTATTATTGTAAATTATTCTTCAATATATATTAAATTAAAATCATATATATAATATTATTTATGCACAAATAATTTCATGATAAAAATATATTATTTGATCTTTTAATTAGTTTCATCAATATTTTTCATAATCAAATAATATTCATTAATACTCAAACATATTGGGACATAAATTGGCCTTGATTTTCTTTGTCCTCTTCATGTAAGGAAGCTATTGATTTGTGAAAAACCTCTTTAAACAAGTTGAAGAAGATATATATATTGAATTGAATTTTTTCTTTAACTTCATCTCTTCTTGTCATTTGACATAAATTTAAAAACTGCTCAAAATCACAATTACTTCACTGAAAAAGTTATAAAGAAAAGAAAGAGATTGTAAAGTGGTCATTGATGATCTCTTTGAAGTAATTAACCATCGGAAGGAGAGTAAATTTGTAGAGAAATTTGATTCAAAATCTTCTCCTATTTTTCATTGTTGCTCAATGTTAAAGACTATAAAATGTTGTAGAAATAGGAATAGTGGAAACCAATACAACACATTTTACAAATTAGTCATGCTCTAAGCAAAAGCCATTGCACTTAGCCCTTGAGCATTAATGTTATCAATACAGATAAGTGCGAAAAGTGTTTGTTATTGTTGGAGTTGAACTGGACATACATCTCCTAGTAAAGTAATAATTTTTCAATCAAATGAATCTAAAACACTTCAAGTAATACAAGAATATAAAGTATGCATGAAAAATAATAGTTAAATATAAAATATTATTACTTTGGTGACTTATGAAATTTCAAAATCATTTTTAAATTGATGTTCTACAATATTTAGAAAAAAATTAGTCGCTCTTTAATAGTACAGATTCAATCAATTAATTCACCAAAAACTTATTAAAAGTAATGATTTCAAATTCTACATCTAATATATTAGATAAGCTTTCATATTAATATTCTGCTTCAGTAATTTGATAGATTCTGATATATTTTCCATTTTTCTAATCGTTACTTTTCATTATTTTCATTATTCATAAATATTATTATTCCAATATTAGTGAGAATTGAAAACTGAAGTAAAAAATCAGATCAAAGTGGTAAAATTGTAGAAAGAAAGGTTCAACCCTTTCATATGTCTATTGGTCACATTAAGGAATTGAATACATAATGAAATTAAATGCAACATGTAGTATATCATCAAAATCAAAGAACAAGAAATAATTATTGCTCACCTCTCTATCTATCACTTGGAAATATTGAGAAGGAAAGAAAAGATATTAAAAGTAAGGTTTGCATAAAGAAAAGTGATTAAAGGTAAAGTTTGCATAAAGAAAGTGTGGAAAAGAAAACTCTCCCCAATCCCTCCTCACCAGAGAATCAAGAGAGAACATGCGATGAAATGAAATCACAAAAGCAATAAAAATACTAAAGCGAAAGAATTCTCACTCCTCTTCGTCAATAACCTAGATAGGATTGAGAAGGGGAGACAGGGGGTCCTTTTAGAATTCTGAATCATTTCTTATCGTAGTAAGTATTGCAAATCTTTTTTTGTAAAGAATTCAAGAAGTTGGCATCAAAATCAAGAGTTTGCATCTGTTCATTTCATTTTCCATCAACTTTCCTATGAATGTACTTGCATATTGACATAGCTCATGAATTCATACCTTTTCTAACATGTGCTGCCATGGCTGGTGCATAGGTTGACATTTTCTCTTTCTAACTTATCCCTAGGTTGACATGTTCTTGCTGTGTTGATCTATGTGTCGATGTACTTGATGCAGCTGCTACATGTCTTCATTTGTATTAATGTGCATACACTATTCAACACAAATGAGCATCTTTGGGAATTTATGAAAGCATTGATTGAATTGTAGAATTTTATAAAGTTTGATTTACATCAGTTTTGTTAATCACCTAAGTTGTTAGTCTAGAAAAGGAAGTGACTACTTAATTGAAGATCCTTTCAAAATTTATGAACACTATCTTAGATATTATGCAAGCCAAGTAATATGCTTGATAACCAGCACTTCTAAGTTTTAAACTCCAAAGTAACCAATGTGAAGTGCTTTAGGTTAAAACAAAATGATTTTTTTTCATTCAAGAATCATTTTGTGTGCAATGGTAACAAGTGGCCCTTCACCTTTAACATATTTTTTAGTAGATTTATTGATTAATCTAATGATCCTCATGACACAAGAAAATACCAAAAAAAATAAATTAGCATCATAATTAATGTAAGAAGTCTTAATATCTATACACACTCATTGAATAATGCTCTAATATAAGATGGAAGTACTACTGCATAATTATTTAAATCATAGGGATTCAAACCCTGTTGAAAATGAAATCATCCAAACAGAGCAACTTGTTAGTTGAAGGTACCTGCAACAGGTTTGAAATGCTTTATTAGATTCGTTCATGCCAAATTAATAGAATCATAAGGGATGAGCTAAGAAAATTCTACAATGACATTTCCCACGTGTGAAAAGCAAAAAAAATATAATAAATAAATTTGTAATGGGTAAATCCAAAATATGCTACAAAAATTATTTAACCCGACTGAAATATTATTTTTAACTTTGGGTAAACTAGATTTTAATGAGTCCAAATTACATTTGAACTTATTCAGAACAAAGAAAGTGATTCTTGGATCCCACATCAAAGTCACAGCGTTTCTTGGAAGTACACTGCGTCGTGTGGAAGTAGGATGGAGTGCTGTGTCCCCGGGAGCCGTCTGTCTGATAAAGTTGTGTTTAATTGAGGAAAAGCCGCTATCGCGTCGTAAATATCCTATCGACACATGCAAGCGATGGGCTCTTACCACTGTAAACGCACTCCGCGGAAGAATTCAGCAGAGCTCAAGGCACCAGCTGGAGAGAGGGCCTGAAGAAGAACACTGGGAGAAGCTCGTAGAATAAACCGGAAAGACAGGCATCTGGTGTTCCAGACCCCACCATCAAAAGAGAAAGAGAGCGAGCACATTTTGGAGCCACCAAGGAGCTCCTACTAGGGAGATTAGATGGCGAGCTTCATAGCGCTCAGCGCTTCCCACTGTGCTCTCAGCTCTCAGCCAATGGCTCACCAGAGGAAGAAACCCTCCGTCTTCTGCTCCAGCACGAGGGGGGCGGAGCCCGGAGCGGTCGTGGTCAGCTTGGCGGCGGATTCAGGATGCAGGCAGGCCACCTTCGTGAGGAGGCCCGTCGGCTCATTAAACGGCGAGGGGCATCACCACAGCGGTAGTGCGCCTGGACGACTACCACAGCCTGGACGATAAAAAGAAGAAAGAAGAAGAGGTTGACTACGCTGCACCCCGCCGCTACACGTCACAGGGCTGATAAGCCTACCGGAGCTCGTCCTGCCCCGCAGGTCCTGGTCATCGAAAGGTTGCATCCATTGTAAGCCCCTTAAGTAACAACACGATCGGTTTTCACCATTATTTCCCGTTTTCGCCTTCTTGTTGTTCTGCGGCTGCTGCGGATATTACTCCTCTTGATCATCGTCATCATCATCTTTTTCTATTCTTCTTCTTCTCACTGTGTAGAGTTTAACTACTACGAAGAAGCTTGTGGGAATGAACTTTTGTTTCCCAAATCACAGATATGACCCTCCAGTGGGGGAGCTCTTGGACTTTAGCTTGCATTTGGAGATCCGCGAGGAGGTGAATTCTGCATGGTAGACTCAGGTGGGTCTAATCCTAAACGCAGAAGGTGCCGCTTCCCATCACCTCCAGTTTCTTCTCCATTAATAGTAATGATAATGATCGTCTTCCCGAGACAAGGGATAGAGAGGCCACAGCCTTGAGGGCTTCAAAGTGAGCATTGAAGCTCGGAGGCGATACTTCGACGCCTAGGTTGGTGAGCTCTCCGCCGTCTGTTCCATTCAAATCGTTGCAACAGAAGCCCAGTTTTATAATCTAATAATGTGGTTGCATCTCCATAAAATAACAATATCGCGTATAACTAAATTTATTATATTGTTTATTTAGTTAGTATATCCTTCGAAGTAGCGATGATGAAGGGTAGAAAGAATAGGCGACCCATATTAAATAAATATCATGTTAGGCCAAGTACATCAACGGACGACCAAGAGTAGAAAGCTACTCGATCCCTCGTCAACTTAGCTAATTGTGTAGACCCATATTTAGATTTCCCTCCCTCCGACCATCCTCGGGCTCAGGCGGCGGAAGCCATCAGAGCGTGAGCGTCCCCACCACCATGAAGCCCTTTAATTCTCTACAGTACATAACCATCTTCCTCATCGAGATCCGCTCATTTCATTTGCAGGAGATTATAGCGCCATTGTAAGACCCTTACAGAACGAAGGAACAGACAAGGCCTCAGAACCATACAGGAGGCGATGGAGGGTCCCCGCATTCCTCTACCCGACAATGGCAATCAAGCTCTGCCTCACCGCCGGCACTGAGCATAGAAGGGACCCGAATATCCCAGTCAACGCGTAGGCGATAGCACAGAAGGGGAGTGCCTCCGGTTCCTTCGCTGACAGAGCCGCCGTTCCCAGCCCATGAGCGCTAACCATCGCCATCAAAAGAAACAGTTCAGAGTCTGATCCAAAATATCTCACATCCTTCGAATATCTTGAAGCAGAAGAGTCAACGCTGACTTAATCCTAAAAAGTCAATTGATAAGAGGAAAGATATTTCCATGGAGTTTACCTCGATGCTGTGGCTATCCCTCTGGCGATGGGGTCCTTGAAGCCAAGCTTATCAAGAACCGCTTGCACGAAATTCGCTCCCACAAGACCAGTCAGAACCACTACAGCCGCGGTGAGGGAAGCATTCGCTCCTAAACAAACACACGAAAAATGACGGTTAACCAGAGAGAAACTAATAGAACTAAAATTGGAAGAAAAATGATCAGCATGGATCATACAATACATTTTTTAGATTATTTTTCTCATGGTGACGAAGAGAACGGAGTGGATCCATAAAATAATCATAGTTCATATCCAGAATATTTATTCATCATATCCGTTGGTAAAATATGGTTTTCTTGTCCATAATCACAGAAGAAAAACTGTCTCCGAATTCAGAATCATAAAATTAGTTCCTGTGTCTACCATTTTCCATCATATTTCTTGATAAATATAACATTGTCGTTCATAGTCAAGCGAGAATAGTTCAACTTCTAGGGAGCTATGAAGGATCGCCAGTGGATACTACCTTCAAACAAGGAGACTATGCTGAGAGCCAATGCCACGGTGATGCACCTTGGAAGGATGGATATGGTCAAGTTGGGATCCAGGCCTACGAGGCGACCCACAAAGGCAGTGGAGTAGAGAGAGAAGATCGTTGAGATCACCACCGATGAGAATATCTCGGCCGCATGCCTCTTGACAAGCTGCATGAGAGCAGCGGCCACTGTTCAGCCCTCAAATAAAGAATGTATTTGATAAATCGATAAATAAATGAATATTGTATTAGGTGAAAGATAGATAAAGAATATATTGATGACATATCTGATGAAATGAGAGATGGAAAAAGAGGAATAGGCAGAAGAAACATAGGTTTTCGGGGGGGGATGGGATTAGTGTTAGATAGGAAAGAGGGTGTGGACCTTTCTCTGCTTAAACATGGAGAAAGCGAAGGAGATAATGACAGAGCCAAGAAATCCCATGAGGATATCACCAGCTCCAGGATTCGATGGGGTTTTAGTCAGGTAGTCACCTGCAAAAATCAATTTCGTCAGAAAAAAAATGAAAAAATTATAATTGTAATCATTTGAATGGAACCAGTTTATTAATCCATAAATGTGGCATTAATAAATGAGAAGGCGTCACATTGTAAATAAAATATTTAGATCTTTTCAGAATCAATAATATTGTACATATAGAGTAAAATTATTTCTGTTCATCAAGAATCATTTTTTTCTTAAAAAAACAGAGCCAGCAGTAAGTAGTAACTATAATGTGAAAATATGTAGTCATTTTACCCTATAAACAAGAAACTTTGGTTCAAAAAGCCCAGCACTATGTGACTGAAGAAAAGAATTTCAATTAATATTATGAGGAATTGTTTCATGAGGAATAATTCATACTAGAAGAATACAATGCTCGACAAACTGTTTTCGGAAAAAAAAGCATTTTATTACTGAATTCTAAGGAAATAAATTGGAAATGGGCTGGAACAGAAGGCTTTAAACCTAGAACAGCATCCAATCCAGACCGGGAGAAATACCCAAAAGCAACAGCTGCCAAATCTGCAGAAAGTGCACAGCAGATAATAGGGTGGAAAACCTTCTTGACATCAGATGGCAATCTGCAAACAAAAACCCAGTGAACAAACAAAGATATCAATATAAATATTTATTTGAGAATGAACGAATAGTTCCTCTTTTAGAATGAATTGGAAAAATTATAATTACCCGGAGCCAGTCATATATCCCAGCACTGTTGCAGCGAGAAGAAAAGGGAGGTTCGTCAAGGCACTGGTTCCAAGTGCTGTTGGTGAAACCAGGGCAAGGACAAATGAAGAGATGAAGACAGCCGTCCAGATCAACGCCTCTGTGCTTGAAAATGGTGAGGGCTTTGCCATGGGCTCAGCTGGTATCATCTCCGTCTTCACAATGTTTCTTACAGTCAATGCTGTGTATGCGGCAACACAGAGCGAAGCCAACCAGCCTCCAACTGGAGAGCAGTGGACGGAGAACATGGGTTAAAGAGATATCTGGTAATATATAACGTATATGAACATTTAGCAAGTTCAATTGAGATCAAAATTTCTATGAATTGCAAAACACTTAATAAATGACAGAGTACTGGAGAATAAGAAATAAGCACGCGGATGAATTAGATCCCCAGGAACACACGAATACATGTGCATTTATATATATATATATATATCTATATATATATATATATATAAATATTAAGTTTAATTGGGATGACATCACTTGATAAAATGACAGGAGAGAACCCAAATGAGGGAAAGAACAACCTGCATTAGATGATAAAAGATTGTTGCACTCAGAGTGTATCAAAGTTCTTGAATGATTCTTCCTCTTTTTGGGCTTGAGAATCAAATTGGTTCCAGCAAACCTCACATACACGTGAGGAATTACTAATGAGAATTAGTTGCAAGGGTTATAGAAAGGCATGGGAGCTTACACATATTTCGAGATATTCATGGGGAGCTAAAAACTCCATCAAGAACGTAGAAGAGGAAAAAGATCACCCCATGAACTATGGGAAATTCCATTTCTTGTAGCAATCCTTTAGCTCTGCTCACCTCCCACAAGATCACACACCAATGACAGTTTTTCGGAAGTTCTTTGCATCCCTCACAACATGAATCTAATGTCACACACTTGAACAAAAGTTCATTCATTTCATGGATCTTTATATGCTCATATCTATAAATGTATATATTTTTCAACATAAAAATAAATAAATCATAGATTAAATATATCACAATAAACACAACTATGATTCGTTGATTGAGGTAATCAAAGCTTGATGGAATGGATTATCAGAGGAACTAAAAATTTAAAACTGACAGGATAATAGAAAACAGTGAATTAACCATGGGCAGTGTCCTCTTCTGCTTGATGATATATGACATGTAAAGAACTTGACAAGAAATGGCCGAGGATTGTGAACACAGAAAGGAAGCTGCAATGAGAAGGTAACCAATACTTTCTAGGGAAAAATTTAAGAAACAAATCACTGACGACCGAAAAAATGTCTGAAAATTGAAATCAACAGTGATCAGGGAGAGCTGTGAATAAGCATATTCTCAATAAACATCAACCAAAAGGTGGCACCATACAAGAAAAAAAATCGTTAAGATGAGTCAAAATTCAATTGATCCAAGAATGGAATAATCCAAGTTGAATAGAAAAGAAGGGTACAAAGGTGGTGCAGAAAATAATTTTGTTCGACTCCACAAAAAACTTAGAAGAGACATGACTTTGTCATACAGGAGAGACTATATCTTGAGAAAAAACAACCCATTACAAAGATTTCCCCGGCCATCGATGATATCTTCATGATTTTGATAAATTAAATCAAATTTCGCTAGTACCCAAGAAGCTTCATGCTCATAATTCTTTCTTATGGCAGGGCAATGCGGCACTTACTTAAAATAGAGAAAATCTTGAGCCCTGCGGCGGTGGGGATGTCCCTCACTGCTAGAGGCAAGACGACCAAGGAGGGCACATAGAACAAGGGAAGCCACCTCTGGATGAACAGTGTAGCGGGCTCGAAGAAATTCGCCAACGCCTTCGCAGCAGATGGAACCGCCACGTCCAAAACGATCAAGACAGTGAAAACGCAGAACATCCCAAAAAGAGCGCTGGGAAACTTGATGGCCGCCGCCACAAAAGCTTTCTTCAGGAATTTATCTGCCGCCAAAATCAACCCAAGTGACACGGCCAGATGGAGAACACCGATCACCTGCTCCCCGAACGAAAAAAAAATTAAAATTCTAAAAATGAAACCAATCACTTAGACATGCACCAAACCCCTTGCGACTTAGCATTTCGTTTCACCCACATTTGGGTATCCACCAGTGGAGGTGCCACTGTCACCCTTCGCCTCGGCATAGGTGGGGCGGATTCGGCGGCGGCGTCCCACCTCCTCTGAACCCCGACTCAGAAACCCTGGTCTGGGCTCCCCGAGGTTCCTTCCCGGCACGGCGTACAACGCAATGGGTCTACTAGAGATGACATTGTAGGATCTCGCAGAGCTCCAGGACACATGGCCTTTCTTCAGACGAAGGCTGCGGCCGTCCCCGAGGAGAGGAGGGGGTGGAAGCGTGGGCACGGCCGAAGCAACCGCCATTGGGATGTACACTAGAGGAGTAAGGGGAGGAGATGGGAGGGGAAAGGGAGTCCTCCCCGGGGACCCCCCTTACTGAATTCTAGCAAATCTTGTGGACCGAAACCAACGGACATGAGGATGGGCGCCAGGAGAAGGTATGGCGCAGACACGAGGCATAATCTTCTTCCTTGCCTTTTTTTCCGGGAGATGATTCGCAAGTTACCGTTTTAACCCCTAGATATGGGTATCAACCGAAGAAAGAAGCCGCCCCCCCATGCATGCAGTTCTCCCAAGTGGACCATCAAGAAGCCGCCTCAATCTCCTTCCCGGCCTTCACTTTGCTTCAAGTTAATCTTCCAGTCAGCTCGAATAACCAGTCCGTAATGATAACAATAAAAGTAAGATTCAGTAGAAGCAAAAATTAGCAATTTTATATCATGCCAAAACTATTATTTCTTCTCGAATTATTCAATAAAAACCTTAAATTTAGTGATGACATGGCGTTTCCTCTTTCAACCTTATTCACCCAATAGTGCATGTGGATAGAGGGCCGGTGATGTGTGCTATGATGTATTATGGTGGGGTAAATTATATAATCACTAGGGGTGGGGTAAATTATTTCGTTATAAAATTGAGTCCGAGGTGGTTTAAAATTAATATGTGATCAAAAGTAATTAATATTCGATGAATTTTTAGTGGTCCATTAAAATATTTAAATTATTCTCTAAAAGATTTTCCTTTATCAATGTCAACTCATTATAAGTTGACTTCTTAAGGATACTAACAAAATTTCCACAGATATTGATCATCCTTAACAACTCATTTGTATTAACGAGTACAAATGAGAAACATTATACCCACCATTTTCTATAAATGTTAGAACTCCAATTTGGAGGCTTAAAGAATGAATCCCTAGAACATTAAGGATGCCTAAAATCTAGTTTATTTGACTTTAGAGCTTGGGAACTTAAATTTGGTTTCATTGAAGCAAATGTGAAGTTAATATTGTACTATATGGAGTTACTTTACACAACATCATAGTTAATCAAGGTTAATATTGTAGTAGATGAAAAAGAGCATTGTGGAATGATGTAATACACTATGGTTTACATTTCTACATGTTCATGTCTAGATTGCGAAATAATATAATGTATCAAGGTTAATGTTTAAGTATATACAAATATCTTGTAGACTAGTGGAGAAGGTCAAATTTAATATGCCAACATAAAAGGAATTACATTGTGAAATAATGTAATATACCAAACTTGATGTCAATAGATGAAGAGCTGACATTATAAAATAGTAAATTATATCAAACTTAATATGTCAATACATAAGAAGTTACATTGTAGGAAAAAAATAAATTAGAATGTACATGAAATATTACATGAGAAATTATAGCAACAAGATGAAACCTATTAGTTTCATATTCATAAGTTTCAATTGGCACAATAAAGAATGTAGCCCTACTAATTGTTAAAGAACATATGAGCTAGATTGGACTTTTCATAATAAGAAAATAAATTTGAAATTTGAAGATGGGACAAAAAATAGTCATCAAGCACATACCAAAAGATCAATTTAAAACATAAAATAGGAACATCTTTCTAAATAAAGAGTAGAGTAGTTGAAGAGAGTTGAGGCACTATAAATTGTATGACACTTTTGATCACCTTGAAAATTTGTAGGTAGTCAACTCAGCTCAATTATAGTCTCTCATCACTTGCACAAAATCAACTCATCCCCCCTTTGTTTCTTTTTGATCTACTCATTGGATCCAATACTATATGGCATGCTTTCCTAAGTACATTGAGCCCATTCAACATTTTTCCCAAGTTTTTACTTATAATATTGTTATTTTTGCAAAATCCTCATCCCCTACACGTCCCTTTGAGAGATATAAAAGGGTAAGTGTTGTCTTAGGCATTGCCATTTATTTAACTTGTTAATCCTTGTAGATCTGATTCATTCTCATGCCATGGGTAAAAGCCCCTATAACATATTAGTATTTGTATGACTCTATCTTTAAGTCCATCTACTTTGCACTCCATCTCATCTTTTTACAACCAAAAAATTAACTTTAAAAGCTAACTTATCAGTAGGTGATACTTATCTATAACTGTAAAATTCTGATGACCAAGTAAGAAGGTTGGCAATCAAGAATGAAAAGTGATAGCTTACATCCTATGTTTGGAACATTTGGCTAGGTTCTTCAAGAGAAGTAACGATTTATCCTTTTTACTAAAAGAAAATGCTTTTTCTGTATATTTCCATTCACAAAGATTTCATAAGACTGAACCCAAAATCAAGGCTGTGAAGAAAAATCTGCTCACCTTGACCTCCATCTCTTCCTTTATTTTGTGGAAAGGTGAAGGATTTAGCAAAATATAAATTTCAAACTTTTGTGTTAGTTTTCCTTGTCATAGTTCTGTCCCCTCATGAAGTAAATACCAACGTCTTATGCTTATCTACTTTTGATGTAGAGACGTACAAAGGCTTTGGCCAAGAGCCATTTCATATGCTCCTTGTCTAAGTCCAGGTCAAGGTCTTCTAAAAGATCTTTCCTCTCATCATGGTCGTAGCAAGGAAATGGCGTGGCCTACACTCAAGAAAAAGTCTATTCATTCACCGTTATTCACAAATTAGGAAATAATTATCTTTTCTTCATGGAAAAAAAATATCTTGAATTTTTAATGTTATTACATCTCAAAAAGTTTCTAATTAATTTGCCTTATTGTCTATGTGAACTAACAGATTATTTCCCATTCAGAATAATATGCTATTAAATAACTTAAAGGACATGATAAACACCTACTCAGAATATCAATAAGTAGCTAAATTATTAAAATAACCAATTAAATTAATAAAATTTATAATTTTATTGAGCATTTGCCGATAGGGATTACACTCTTAATTTAAACATCAAGTAATAAAAAATAAGATCATTTTTATTTAATGGGAAGACGTTTTCTCAAGCTAGTACAAAGAGTTTAGTGGACCAAAGTAGCGTGCTCGTTTAGGTACGAAGTGGAGGGAAGAGAATGTTGAAATCCGAGGTGAACTTTGTGGTAGCCTGTCGAAGGCGTATCCGTTGATTAGGGGATCCGTTTGGTTTAAGACCGTTAGTGAATCGAGATTCCGACGAATCTCCTTGCCTTCTGCGGGGATCGGGAGTTCTCAAAGCAAAAGGCTTCTGCGGATCCACATTCACAGTGAGCCCAGGGAAGGCCGAGAGCGCAATGGCAGTCCGAGGAAGCCGCGATCGGGACGAAGTCATGGCCGGAACGCCCCCGTCTTCCAATACGGGCCCCTTGAGCTCCTCTTCCTCCGGCTCCCTCTTGCCGCCGGCCTCGGCTGCCATACACGCCGGCGCTGCTCCCAAAATCCTGCTCGCGAAGCCGCCTGGGATCGGTGCCGCAGCCTCAAAGTTCGGGCGGGAGGACGAGCCGTCGTCCGCCGCCGCCGCCCTCCGCGCCCGCGTCCCCCCTCTCGGTTCGCTCAACCTCGTCATCTCAGATGCCTGGGAGTTGCATGCCGACCGGGCTCTACCCGTATGCACCGCCCTTTCTCCCCCACCCCAAAGTCCAATACAAAATATATTGCCTTCAATTAAATAGAAATTTTGTGCTTAGGAGGAAGGTGCTTTAAAAGCCGTAGAATGTTCATTCCATGTATTTTTCACCGTCGATGTTTTGAACAGTTCTTGACGGAGAACACGGATTTTACCGTTGTTGGTATCATCGGACCTCCTGGTGCGGGCAAGTCTACGATCATGAATGAACTCTACGGATACGACGGAGCCTCAGCTGGTATTACTCAATAACTTTTTCTACAAGATGGTAACTTTTATTTGTTTGTTGTAGTGTTCGAATTAGTGAATGGTTGAAATTAGATGCATTTTAGGAGTGGTCGTTGTCTTTTGAAACTATAACCATAATCTATTCCAAGTTCGATGAGGTTCCTATCGGAGTAGTGCACCATTTAGACAACTATCCGAATTACTTCTCTCACTCATCGAATATAGGCGACCTTAGATTTTTTTTGGGCCATTAGCATGCGTCATGTTCTGAGATCACCAGTTTTCATGGGTGAGAAACTCTATTGTCCTTCTTGAATAAGATGAACACCACTTCCATTGGACACAAATCTCTATTTCTCAGATTGAGAAGTGGAGTAATCGGTATCTCTTACTGTGCATAATGGAAATATGATCAATCTCCTTTCATTGCCCATTCTCGCTTAATGTTTCTCTATCTAGTCAGTTGGAGGGCTCTCAGTGCCAGCTTGTTCTTTTTCAGGCCCTCTTCCCTGCCACAACCAAGAATAAATAAAACTCAAAAAATTTCGTCTATTCCTCAAAACTTGCTGTTAGAAAGAGGTTCTCATTGCTGCTACCATCATCCTGTTCTCCAAAGTATTAGACGTATGTGCTCTTTCCTTGAGTCTGGATGGTCCTATACACATTTCCATGTCCCAAGTTTTGCCACTATAGTATGTTGTTTATCCATATGATCTCTTTAAATTCTTTTGCAATGTTGCTTTTTATTATGCCATCATATAGAGGGCCTATCTTCCCATCAACCAAGGGTCCCTCTTCACTGCCGCCATGTGATCTATCCATATACTACCTAATTCATTGGATCTGTCGTACTGTTTCTCACCTTTGATGGGAAAACAGAAGGCCAAGGAAGATGAAGTTGACATATTGCTGATATATCTGTCCAAAGTGAATCATTTCCAATCAGCAGATACATGAACCATTTCTCAGACCTTGTAAACCTGTAAGTGGGATATACTTCGGCTAGGTACTCGTGACAAATTGAATACCACTTCTTTCTAAAAAGTTGTAACCAGAGTATTGACATGAGGTTTACAGAAAGGCGAAATGATGCTGAAACCTCCATGTCAGTCGAAAGAACAAACTTTCTACCGAATCCAAGCATATTCTGATCCAATGGTTCAATCCCCACGACGTTAGTAACTGGAAGACCGAAAACATTTTTTACGTGTAGAAACTGAATATAATTGGTTAAACGTGCTTCCTGTTGAAGAAAGAGGACATTTGGTGAGCCAAAAGACACAGGATCAAATGTAGAATGGTAGTTGGATTAAGCACAAGTAGTCAGAAATTAATGTTATGCGGGCGGAGTACTAGGCTTAACTGTGATCTTCACTAGCCCATGATGTGGTTTGCTTGCCCTCAGAGAAAGAATTGTGGTAGAACAGCTGGAAAAGGATCAGGGAGAAGCAAGTAACAGGAGGTGGCCTTAATGGGATACTGGTCGAGAATTAGACTGGTTTCATATTCAAGAAAGCATACTTATCATGATCTTAAACTGGATTTCCAATCATCCTTTGGATCTCATATTGCTATTGGATGGTGAGGACCTCTTTATCTGCTCCCTCGGATCCCATATTTTTTGCAAAAAGTTGATGCTATTTTATCTCCAAATGATGACTATATACGATTGCTAAACTATTAGATCCGCAAAAAGGCCTTAATCATTAAGGAGCTAAATGCTTCCACAATGAATCTATCTTGCAAAAGAATTTTATTTTGTGTGGGTGTTAAGGTTCATTTCAGTTCTTAAGTAGAACATGTTTCGTGGAAGGATCATTTCAAACTTTCTCCGATAACATTTTTTTGTCAGGGAGTACTAAGGAAGCATCTACTGCATTTTAGAGGTTTTCTTCATATTACTTGGAGCTATTTATGTCATATTAAATTAGAAGGGAGTTTAATGAAATATGGTTGACATTTTCGATGTTATTTTCATGGGTAGCAGTACAAAGTAATATTTTTTTTCCTTCAACTTTATTTGGAATACGATCAGATTATTTTTCAATCTTAACATTCTATGTTATGACAATGTTCTTACTTGCAGGAATGCTTCCACCTTTTTCTGTGCAGTCTGATGAAACAAGATCAATGGCCAGACACTGTACCATGGGTATTGAAATACGAATATCCTCTGAAAGGCTAATCCTTCTTGATGCCCAGGTTATCATTTACGTCGTTTTTTTCAATTATCAACAACATTGGTTTTTGCATGCTTCACATTTTTATTACCTTTGTAAGGTTTTTTGTCAGTCTAAACTGTGAGGTGCTAAGATCAGCCCTGATATTGTAGTGCACGGATAAGATTAAAAAGGAGATTTCACTCCTTTTTAAGCTTTTATAATTACATTCCCGTCAGTTTTTCCTTGTTGCAATGAGAGAAGACTTTTCTATCCTTCTTTGCAGAAGTTCATTCCGATTCAATTTTTCTATAGTTGACTATTATTAAGCATTGCCACCTCATTCTTTGTTCTTGACCTTTTTACTTGTATTTTAAACTGAACCCTTTATCCTGTGCTATACACACGACTGCTATTTAGAGGGTGAAACCGAAGTGTGGGACAAAAAGAATGCAGCATGAATCTCGAAACAAAAAAAATTAAATACATAAAATAGGATGCTCCCCAAAAATTTTACACATCTAACAATAAGCTAAAATTAAGGAAAAGAAGGAACTATTATAAATTGTTCCTCCTATCCTTGATTCTCACTAGCATGCTTGGGGAAATATCATCACTGATCTTCACTGATCTTCACTGATCTTCACTTGTCTGGACCACTGATCACGATTCATGATTGATTTACTTATGGTATTTTATAAATCTTTGAATTCCCATTAAAATATTCTATTGTTCATTGCCCTCTATGTATTCCATGGCATTGCTGTTGAAGGTGACTTCTACCACCAATCGGCATCAGTGGGCAGGGACATAAATCATGCTGCAGTGCCATCATGTCCTTGTCCTGTGTACTCACCCACATGACTTTGAACAACTTCAAATATGGATTTGATATGGATGTTATCTTTTTCGTTACTACATCAGTCTCTGTTTCCTTCCTGCTCTTATTCTCAAGGGATTTTGCAATCACACAAGCTTTTCACGTTCATATTCTTTAAGAATGCTTCTAACTGTAGGTTCCTTCCTTCTTGTGTTGATGACTGGATAGCTACACATGTTTCTGTCCTTAGCAACGCCTGACTCTTATTGAAATCTCTAGCGGACATTTTCAACACATGATGATCTTCCTTTTTGTATCGTCAACACATAAATCAGAAGGACAGTTCCTGTGTTGATGATCATGCACTTTTGATTTTCTCCATTATCCACATGAAGATCTACGAAAATCAAAATGAAAACTGAATTTGCATCTAATTCCTACAAATGGAAGGCTAAAGATAATGCTCTTTTGGAGAAAACTTCTATTCGTTTGCTAGTCAGAAGTATTTAGCTTTTGCATTTTTGTCTGCAGAGTCCTCTTCTGCAATCCACACAAACTACTTTTATTGAAGAAGCTTTCAAAGTTAACAAAGCCCACTTCTCCTTCCTTTGTCTATTAACTGTCTCATTTCGTTTGATGAGTCCTACTGTTAGAGTTTTAAATTGTGATCAGGGTGAAACATTGTAAAAGTCTGAAGGCATTTTGGGAAAGATCTTGTAGGGTTTCTTCCCTATTTATGGGGTGATAAAGGTCAGTGAAGGGTGAGGCGATTTTTTCCATTCCTCCCCTTGTCCTCTGTGACAAAAAAACCTTCCTCCATTCCGTCTATGTTCCTCTTTTCAATCTTAGTTTTCATCGTCGTATCAGAGCCCTAATCATCAGGGTGAGTCATTGGGGTTCATCGTCTCCATCCGCTGACCTCTCTGTCATCGCCCACCATTGGGACAATAACCCTAGTCTTGGAAGAAAGTTCTTCCTCATTGGCAGCTTCTTCATTTGTTAGGTTGGAGACTATCATCCTCCGCCTTTCTCATCCAATTATCTGCCCATGGAGTCTCCGTTTCTCACCGCCATGTTGCCAACTCTCCTCTTGTTCTCCTCTCCATCAGTGTCAAATTACTGCGCTGTCTCGTACTGTCCCATCCTGTTGCTACGCTGTTGACATTGTTCCTTCCTGGTCCCATACTGTCACTGTCTGGCTTAGGAGCTCTCCCACACCGTCGTTGGTCTGCAGCCCCATTCTGTGTCCTTCAGCTGCCATCTAAAGGGGTTCTGCACGCCAAAAGGTGCCCCACACTGTTTATGTGGTTCTGAGCTATCATCTACCAGCAGCCATCATCTCCTGCTGGTTCTGTTCTCTCCTCTTCAACTGGTCTCCAACAACAGTCAGCACTCAGCAGCCCAACAGGCCAATCCTCCAGTACTGGGGACAGTTTATCTAAGCTGCATCCAGTCTCCTCCATTCTGTTCCATCACCATAACATGGTGTATTAGAGGAAGATAATGAGATATATCCTTCGGCATCTTCTTTCTGATATTCATCTTTTTCCTGTCCTCCTATGCCAAGGGTATTACAGCCCTTCCGAGGGTAGGAAATGTACCTGGGTTCCATGTCAGCCCTCTGGGCAGCGAATCCATCTTTGTCCATCCGTCTGATTCCTGTGATGGCGTATTCATCTTCAAGGTGAGGTTGATTGGCACTATTTTGTCAATGTCTTTGTCGGGAGTGCGATTATCAACTGTCTTCATCAGCATGTTCATTACTAGCACATTGATCAATGACATCTTCATCAACTCTCTAGCCAAAGGGCAGTGTATCTAGGTCTATTACTATCAGTTTTGAGAGAAGGAAAATAACCCTCTAATATCTACCTTCATGCTTATTGGTCTTCTTTTTTTTTTACCGTCCATGATGAACTATCCCGAAGTTCATCTCGAAGGGGGGGTGTTGGAATTATAAATCGTGATCATATTGTGTGGGAAATATTGTAAACGTTTGAGGGTATTTTGGGAAAGATCTTGTAGGGTCCCCACCTATTTAAGGGAGGATAAAGCTCAATGAAGGGTGAGGTGGTTTTAGCTGTTCCTCCCCTTGTCCTCCATGACAGAAGAAACCTTCCTACATTGTATCCATGTTTCTCCTTTTCAATCTTAGTTTTCATTGCCTACTAAAAAGAAAATCTAATTGCATGAATTCTTATCCTGAATGATTGTTTTTTAAAAAATATTGGCATCCTATACTACTTAATTTAATGAGGAATCTTTGTAATTGTCGTATCTTTTTGCCATCCTATTGAAGCTTGGCAGGTTCACCTGTTTCACATTTGACAAGCCTGGATAACCCTTCTTTTTTACTGCCACCTCCCCCTGCTAGTTCTGAACTTTTGATGTTGATTTGTTGCATTGGTTTCTGGTTTCAACATTTATTTTAGTTCTTAGAAGCTTTCCTGTAACAGATTTGTCTCTCCTTTGTTTCATTGCAGCCAATATTCAGTCCATCTGTTTTGTCCGATATGACAAGACCTGATGGCACATCTTCAATACCCGTACTAAATGGCGAGCCTCTCTCTGTGGATCTGGCGCATGAGTTAATGGGCATCCAGGTTATCATCTAAAGGGGGATAGGCTTACATCCTTCAAGTTTTTATTCTAGTCACTATGACACATTTTTTTCCTGTATCTACCTGAATTTGATCGTGAATTATCCTTTTCTGTCCTGCTGTAAGGAATCATTCTAGCTTGCCGTTTTCCTGGCGTCCGTTTGTCATGTATTGCTGGTGGTCACAGAGGGAATCCATGATGTTAGTATGTGGCAGCTGATGCTCACGGTATGAAATTCTCTGCTGATGACAGTTTTTATTTACTTCTATTATCATTCAGTGGTATTTGACATAGCCACCCACATGTTTTCTTCAGTCTGTGTGCTTCTTTTTCATTCCTGAATGATGAGTGGAGGATCTAGAATCTAGAGGATATGTTTTTCTTAATAATTATTATCAGGCTGCAGACCAAGCCATGTATGACCAAGAATTACACGACCCCTGGGAGCGTTAGCCTTTTTTTCATGTATTTCTTAGCTTTGGTTACAGGGTGTCATTTGGCTTGGCTACCCAGAAAGCTGGCTTAGTGCAGCCTGATTTTCTTGGGTTAAAAGTCATTGTAAATTAAGGCCAGAGCAGATAGATTGCTCAGCCTGGCCTCTCCCTGGTGCTCGTGCTCCTTGGTTGAACATTCACAATATTTGGCCTTTGATTCTTCAAGCCTGCTCCCCTCCCTCTGTCCCTCCCCCATGGTAGCATTCCTGCCTCTGTTCAATATCTCCCCATCCCTGAGGACAAACATGCCCGTTCACCTCGAAAGTGACTCAACTTCGCCAGTACCATCCACCTGTTTCTGTTTCCCATATTTCAGGCTCTAGGCTCATAAAAATGACTGGTTCAAGGCAGGTTATTAGGTCCCCGCCCTTTGACATTCATTGCTTTGGTAGCGATTTGTTCACTTTTTCCGCTCTTTATTCCGGTCATTTTAGTAGGCTTTCTCGTTTTATTTCTTCCGCTTTCATTATCTTTCATCCTCTGTTCTTTTCTCTTTACGTGACAAACCGAGCCTCTAACATCCTACTTCAAAGCAGACTGCGGGAGAGACATTTTATGAATTGCTTAACAAAATGCCTGACTAATGACGCAGGCATAAACTCGTTAGGAACTTGATACACATGGACTCTGTGTGCTCGTCAACTTTGGCAACCTGCTGTTTGTGGGATCCTTACATTATGAGTCTGGTTGCCCATAGGAAGCTTATGCCCTGAAATCACTTTTGCAGGTTGACATGCTGAAGCACAACATTCCTGATCCATCTTTGATGGCATCTAGTCATGCTCAAGCCATTAAAATGGGTACAGGCAAAGAATGGAGAGACGAGATCTTGGCCCCAGGGGAAGAGTTCCTGGCCACTCCTTTTTTCGTGCACACCAAGTCAGTCCGTTGTTCTGATTTTTGCCATGTGCCTAATTAGTATATAGTGCTGATCTATGCATTATATTTCTGTAAACTGTATGCAGTTATTTTCTTCAGTTCCGTAGTACTCTTTCATACTCTTTGAAAAAAAAAAACACAATTTACTGTTCTTTCCAAATTTCTAAGATAAATATGTATATTATTTTACTAGGGTTCTTCGTATACAATTTTTTAAATTAGTTCATACGACTTTTGATTTCCCTTTTTCCTAAATGGCAATGTTTTATCTTTTACTTTGTTCAAGCATAACATCTGAAATGTGGACCTATAAAATCATATTTCCTAGGAATACACCGTTGATGGGGTTTTGCAGTGCATTCATCAGCTTCTTGGTCAGTTTTAGAGTAGACTTGCGGTCACTTGAGGTGTCAGAATCTGATTTGGTTCCCATTGTGAATCTAGACTACGACATCAAGATCTCTCCCCACGGAATGTGGTGCTGCTGAAGAAGATGCTGGGGGAATACTTCAGGTCCACGTCATTCTGCACAACGTCAGCTGCAGCTGGGGTCGATGGCTCTGGGGTTCATCAGCAGGAGCTCTCCGAGCAGAAGAAGCTAATGGGGCCAGACTTGGTCCTGCTCCCATTGAAAGCTCAAGATAGCAGGCCCCAGCATGAAAGCTTCACATCCACCCTGGGAAAACTGCGTGATCAGGTATTCACATTCACGCTGGAGAAAATTTTCTTCTGCCTCTAATATTGTTACTACCTCTTGGGCTCTTATTTCGCTCTCCAGTTTTACAATTAGACCCCCTCACAGTTAACATTCCAAGAGGAATACTTCTTGGGTTTTTTCAGGTTCTCAGTTTCCCATTCTTCCCCCTTTAAGCTCCTAGTTTTTTCAATATTGTTTTTAGTCTCTGTGCTTTCATCATCTTCAGTGCTTTGAGAATCAGCCTGTATATGACAAATCGTGGACATCAAGAATTTGGATAGTCCTCATATATTTCATATTCAAGTGCCATCATTTACTAACCAGTCCCTTTTTCATATTGGCTCTATTCTAGGTGCTGTCGATGAATCCCCATTCTTTCACAAAGCCCATTTCTGAACGAGACTGGCTGCGGAATTCTGCAAAGGTGTGGGAGATGGTGAAGAGATCTCCGGTTATTGCAGACTATTGCAGATGCCTTCAGAATTCCGGCCAGTTTAGGAAGTAGCACCGACTGTTCCATCTTCATTAGAAGCTCAAGGATGTAAAGATGAAGGCAAGTGACAGGTTCACGTTGGTTCTGCCTACTTAACTGCAGTTATAATACCTCGATTTAGTATTATCGTGTCATATATTCCTTATATATGAATTATGCTGCTTATTTTAGTAATCCTAGATTGTGAAGTCTCTGATACTGGTCGCTCTCCCCAGAATTCAATGCTGAATAATCTTTAGAAAGGGTCTTTGAATTCACTGCAATCCTCCTCAAGGAAATTTGCCTTCTTTACTCCCTTCTAGTTTTCTGAAGGGCGCTTGAACAAGGAATCAACCAAATTCCCCAGTGATGAATAGTTCTTGAAAATTAGCGCACAATATTACATAAGTGGTTAGATGATTATTTACCGTACATTATCCGACTGTATAACCTCAATAATCATGCAACATTGGACATAATACTAAAATAGAAGGATTTCTTATGCTAGAACTTCCTGCTCTGCTCTCACGTTCATATACCATACCATGGGGAAGAGGACCGAACGGAACCTGAAGTCTTCCGTATAGAAGGTTGATGTAGAAGATTGAACAAAGCCTTCCTTCGGCAATGGGCTGCTGCCACTGCCACCGTCTCTCCAGCTTCATCAAGCTGCAGCAGCGGTGGCAGAGCCAGCTTCTGCAGCGGGTTGAAGCGCCAAATGTGGTTGCAGTTTACTCGCACTTAATGGACCGATAGATATAGCGGACAAACAGCAGGGAGGCGCGGAAGCCAACGGTGCCCAGCATCAGGAAGAAGCCGTAGCTGATGCAGGTCATGTACCCAAAGAAGAAGGACGTCTGCATGAACCCCGACATGTCTGACCTCGCATGGTAGTCGAAGCAGTAGAGAAGGATGAACACACCGGTGGAACCTCCACAAAGAACGGACCTATAGAAGAATTCCCATCAATAATATTAGTCAACACTGCTGGCAATCCTTGCTGTTATTCAACACAAAAAATAATGCATTTACCGAAGATTTATCATAAAAGTGTTCAGAAGAAATAAACCAATGAACGAGGCACTATCATAAGAACAACATTACCTCCACCACCAGTTGTGATCCTCCACAGCGAGCTGGAAGTAGGTCATCACCATAGTGTTGAAGCAAGTGACAATGATCAAGATGATGAACACAATGAACAGAATGCCGTATGTGGTGTAGATTCTGTGGCCCCACAAGCTGGCAAGGAAGAAGTCGAGCTCAATGCAGATGGCGCCGAATTGCAGGAACCCTGCCATGGCTATCTGGGGTTCCGTCCCCCTGTACCACCGCAGAGGAGGGATCTCCCTTGGGACCTTGGTTGTGCGGCACGGAGCTTGGAACTCGACCCTTTTCCATTTCGCGGCAACGCCGCCCACGACCAGGAGCGGCAAAGTCACCAGTGCCCAGATGAGGAGGATGGCCAGGATGGTCCCAAATGGCAGCGCTGCAGTGGCGCCGTATGCAATTGCCACGGCGTTTAGGAAGCAGAAGGTCAAGAAGAGGGGGCCGCTAAATAAGCACCCGGTCAACAGCAAATTCCTGACCTGGAGGAATGTAGGGCGATTGACAAAAAAATATAGATAAATCTAAGTCAGCTGAGTCCGAGTCTTAGGAAGGGGAGATTTCATATGGTTTTTCAATTTTAGAGGGATACCATACCCAGTGGTCCCCTTCTAGCTGCAGGTACATGGAGGTCGCAGTGTAGCCAGCAATGCCGGAGGTGAGGGCATATATTAAAACTAGAGCCGTGAAGCAGGCTCCCCTGTTGTAGGGATAGAACACCCCTATTTGCGCGAGGAGGAAGATGAGCAAGGCTCTGGCATATCCTCAACAGCTGTCAGGAGGCATAAACATATACCCAAAATGGAAACAATGACACTCCGAATGGGTAAAAATGGGAGCCGTTCTTACAGAGCTAGAAGTTGAGTCCCTGATCCAAGAACAGCAGAGAACAAGGATTTGTGCTCGGGGAATCTGAATACGTCCCCATGGATGGACTTCCATCCTGTCAGCTCTTGATCTTCTGCAGATTCTTCATCAAGCGAATACCTTTCGGAGAAGATGGCAAAAGAAATCTCAGAAAGAGTACGACATAGGGAACCAGGAAGAGCCCCAGAATAATGCTAAAAATGGCAAGGGAAAAGACTGGATTCTGCTCACTTAATGGAATTGTTCCTCAGCACACGAATGAGGATTACTCCGAGGACCACGGTCAGGATGAGCAGTGTCTCACACGAGTTGATTATGGACCACCCCTGGATCCCCAAATAGGGAAGAGAGGACGTCATCGAGTATGTCTCCATCCTCTTCCCAAAGGGGATGTCGGTCTCCTTCCATGTGGCCGAGTACGAGAAGCTCACGTCCATCTCCTTGTCCTCGGTAATGTCAACAGAAAATTCCGGATCACGCTGGATGTTGATTTCTATGACTTGGTCGCCTTTGTAGAGGACGTCGAAGTGAATGTGAGTGTAGAGGAGGTACTTGAATTCTGGAGGATGATCATACTTGAGGTACTCCTTCTCCACCTTCCCAAGAACCCCCAGAAGGGGAGGTCGTCGTAGTACATCTGGAAATAGTAGTCATTGGACACTGCATCCCTGAGTATCGCAACCTCTTCTTTTGTTAATTTCCTGCTGCAGATGGTTTTGGATTGCAGGTCTTTCCGAAACCTCAGCTCATAGGGAGCATCGACCAGGCGATCCCCGTTAAGAACTTCGCCGAGGGTTTCTCTCTTCTCAGTCACAGGACCTGCCGGAATTCAGCGAAATTAGGTCAAATCGGGAAGAACGTGGAGAACGTCAGATGGTATCTCAGAAACTCCGGCCTGACCTGGAGAGCAGAAGGGCAGATCGTAGTACCGATATGTCTCACTGCAATAAAAAAGTGAAGAGGTCAGAGTAGGAAATGATGAGGAGATGATCCCCTGGAAAACTTATCTCCGAGAGAATCGGCACCAAATGAGAACTGTAACATAGACTCGACACAGACGGAAATGAGATAGGCAGAAACCCTAACAGATCACTCATCGAACTTGATCACGACTCCAAAGATAAAAAATAAAAATGGTCTGATACTTGCGCTAGAAACATCAACGGATAGCTAAGATAGGAATCAGGTCCATCCTATTCGAGCAGAAAACGAAGAAACGGAGGGAGAACGCGAAAATCAGATTCAACAACAGAGAAAGTAGGGGTTTTGCCCCAATTTACCTTGGATTGCTGAACGGACCCACCTTGTTCGCATAAAGAGGGACGAGATCCCACTCACTGTACTTGTGATCGGAACCATCTGCCCCGGCCTTCGAACCGCAGAGCAAGAGAAAGGCCAGAAGGATGCCTCTCCACATAGCTTCCGCCGCCACCGGTCGCTCCTCCCTTCCAGGTCCGCCCACAGCGGGACTCTGGCCGCCTCCGACCTCTCCACCGAAGATCGATCACGTCGGTGCGGGAGGTAGAGCGAGATGTTTGACGTACCATTTCTAGCCACCCATTGACTTGAATGATGATCGGGCTGCTCCAGGTACTCGATTCTCATTGACTTTGGTGGACCAATAGCTGCCCTCTGATACTTCAAGTCTGCTTCCCTCCACATGGCAGCACTCCGGCCTCTGCTCAACATCTCCCCATCCCTGACACCCTTCAACATCTGCGCCATTAGCATCCATAAAAATGACTGTTTCGAGGTGAGCTTCCAAGGTACCAACCATTTGACGAGCCCTGCTGTGGTAGCGATCAGTTCATCTTTTCAGCTCTTTTTTCCTGCTATTTTAGTTGGGTTTCTAAATTTATTTCTTCCGCTTCCATTATCCGTCATCCTCCTTCCTCTTCTCTTTTTCTTCACAAACCGAAGCTCTAACCCCCCTAACTCAGAGCAGATTGCGTGAGACACATTTTATGAATCACTTAACAACATGGCTGACGACTAATGGCTCAGGGGAAGAGTTCCTGGCCACTCCTGTTTTTATTGCTGTAAAATGTGTGCAGTGAGTTTTCCTAAAGTTCAGTAGTCCTCTCTCATACTCTCTTCTTTAAAACCAAGATTTACTGTTCTTCCCAGGTTCCTAAAACGCATTTTTTTATTTATTAGGGTTCTTCGTATAGAATTTTTCATATTAGTCCATGCGATTTCTAGTTCAGGTCCTCATCATTATGCAGAAATTCAGCCGCAGCAGGGGTCACTGCCTCTGGGTTTCATCAGCAAGACCTCTCCGACCAGAAGAAGCTAATGGAAAGCTCAAGATGGCAGGCCCCCAGCATGAGAGCTCCAGATCCACCATGGGAAAACTGCCTGAACCAGGTATTCAGGCCATCTTTTCCATCGAGAGGAGGATCGTTTCTTCCTCTACCTTTACGATACGAATTTCTATAATATCCTTACAATCTCTTGGGTTCGGGTACTTTGCTCTCCAGTTTTACAAAAACGGAATCCTTGTTGAGTTTTCATAGGTTCTGAGTCACCCGTTTTCCCCATTGTTCATAGTCTCACATTCTGCAGATTGATGAGGACCAGGTAACCCAGCAGGGCTCAGATGCCATCATTTAATGATCAGCTCCGTTTTTGTCAATAAAGAAAAAGAAAAAAAAAGAAAAAAAAGAAAAAGAAAAACTATTCTATTTTAGGTTCTGTCGATGAATTCTCATTCTTTTGCGATGCCCATTTCTGAACGTGGCCGGCTGCATAACTCTGCAAATATCCGATTTCTTATGAAATGCTCATTCTTATGCAATGCCCATCTCTGAACGTTCCCATCTTCATTAGTAGCTCAAGGATCTAAAGATGTAGCCAACTGATTGGTTCACATTGCTTTTGCCTACTTAACAGCGGCTTTAACACCTCGATTTAGCATATTATCGTGCCATATTTTCCTTATCTATGAATTCCACCGTCAATTGGGCCTCTTTGAAGGACACTTAAACATGGAATCTGATACGCTCCTGGTGGGCCTAATCGATTCCGAAAGGAGAAACAAGCCCAACAACCATCTCGGGACCGATTGGGGAAAAGCAATTAGAGATTATAGACGAGTTGAGGTAACTATTGAGGAAAGAGAGTCGGTTACAAAGACTGCCATAGAGATGGGGGTAGAACTGCAAAGGTGACGAGAAATCAAAGCTGATTTATGGAGGAGGCTATAGAGATTGAGAAAAGCACAGAGAAGACATGGCAATTGGGCTCAATTGATGAGTTCAAAGGAGGTATTGATGTGGGAGTCGATGCAATCATAGGGAGCGAGCTACATGCACCAAAGGAAAAACTCACTTGACAAAGGGAGAATCAAGCAAGAGAAGGCGAGAGATTACTGCAGTAGATGAGAGACAAATCAATAAGCAGAATACAATGGATCAAAGGATGGAAAACACTTTCAGCTAATAGATTGATTAATTGAAGGCTGTATGGCGTCTCAATATTCCAATATTTGGAGGAAGTAAACCATTTGAGCTATAGAGCTCTGCTTTGTGATAAATAAAATGACAAAAGATTGAGAAGCTAATGGCCTAATCTATAGAGTGAACTTTGAGGATGAAGTATTAGAGTGGTTCCATTGGACAGATGTAAAGAGTACATCCGTGTGAGTTGGAAAGATCTTCAATAATAATTTATAAACATTAAGCAGCTTGTATCAGTGCCGGAATATAGACGAGATTTTAAGCTCATATCCTTCTCTATAGAAACTAGCTTCATCAAAGGACTGAAGTATACAATTAGAATAGAAGTCAAACTTTATAACCTAATAGGGTTGAAGTCAATCATGAGGATAACACAATTAGTGGAAGAAAGAAATAATCCTCTCTTAACTGACCAAAGATCCAATCAAGTTAATAGCACAATTAGGACGAGTACAAGTTTAAGCCAAGGAGAGACCACAAGCACAAACCTTATTCCAAAGTAGAGTAAATGACTCAATCAAATTCACAAACTTAGGCTGTCAAAGGGATCTCATCCAACAACTGGTAGGGAGGCCCAACAAGGGGAATAAAGTTGACAGATTAGAACTCCAAATTTGAATAGCACAAGGACTATCGTGTCTATAATATATTTTCAAATTCTAGATGTAGATGAACTCTTAGACACATTACGTGCTGCAATATAATTTCACTTCCTAGTAATATCCTTTGATCTTTCTAATCCCCCACTTCCTTGTAGTCACTCATTAACAAAATAATTTATATTATTTTATGACATTTGTGTATAGTCAAGATGAGGAGGCACATGAGCACATCTACATCAAGTTTTGATCGTGCTGAAGAAAAGTTATACATTAATCCTAACAAGTGCATGCTTGAGCACAATCTCAACAACAGAAAATTAGGGCTAGGTCAAGGCAAAAAAAGGGAAGAAATTTCATTGTTACAACAGAGGAGAGCAGTGGTCCTTTCTAACTACCATCATTGAGTATTGAGGGTTCCCTCGACGGCCCCAAAATTTTAGTTTCGTTCTTGTTGCTTTGATCTTCTTTTCTCCCCTTCCTGCTATTCCAATTCAGAGTTCTATCAGAAACGCCCAAATTCTCAATTGATGAAGAGTTCCATCAAAGTATCACACGATATAACAAGTGGTTAGATAATTATTTCCCTTAGATTATGTGATTCCATAGCTTAATAATCATGTAACATTGGACGTAATGCAAAAAAAAAATGAAGTCTTCCTTACAAAAGGTTGATGTAGAAGATTGAACAAAGCTATGGCAATGGGCTGCTGCCACTGCCACTTCTCCAGCTTTTTTAAGCTGCAGCAGCGATGGCATAGGCAGCTTCGGCATAGGCAGCTTCTGCGGGGGAATGAAGCACCAACAGTGGCAGGTTACTCGCACTTAATGGACCGGTAGATATGGCGGACAAACAGCAGGGAGGCACGGAAGCCAACGGTGCCCAGCATCAGGAAGAAGCCGTAGCTGATGCAGGTCATGTACCCAAAGAAGAAGGACGTCTGCATGAACCCCGACATGTCTGACCTCGCATGGTAGTAGTAGAAGCAGTAGAGAAGGATGAACACACCGGTGGAGCCTCCACAAAGAACAGACCTGAAGAACAATCCCCATCGATAATATTTGTCAGCACTGTTGGCCGTCTTTGATATTATTCTCTAAAAAAAAAAATTACCGAAGATTTCCATAAAAGTGTTCATAAAAAATAAATTCATCAATGGGAATCTACCAATAAATAGAACACATTACCTCCACCACCAGTTGTGGTCCTCCACAACAAGCTGGAAATAGGTCAACGCCACGGTGATGAAGGCAGTGACAATGATCAGGATGATAAACACAATAAAGAGAATGCTGTATATGGTGTAGATTTTGTGGCCCCACACGCTGGCAAAGATGTAGTAGAGCTCAATGTAAATGGCGCTGAATGGCAGGAACCCAGCCATGGCCATCTGGGGAGCCGTCCCCCTATACCACGGCAGAGGAGGGATCTCCCTGGGGAACTTGGTTGTGCGGCATGGAGCCTGGAACTCGACCCGGTTCGATTTGGCGGCAACACCACCCAGGACCAGGAGCGGCAAAGTCACCAGTGCCCAGATGAGGAGGATGACCAGGATGGTCCCAAATGGTAGTGCTGCAGTGGCACTGTATGCGATTGCCACAGTGTTGAGGAAGCAGAAAGTCAGAAAGAGGGGGCCACAAAATAAGCAGCCGGTCAACAGCAAATTCCTGACCTGCAATGTCGGGCAAATGATAAAAAATACATATAAATCTAAGTAAGCTGAGTCGATTACTAGAAAAGGGAAATATTCTATGCTTTTCCATTTTAGGGAATACCATACCCAGTTGGTCCCTTCTAGCTGCAGGTACATCGAAGTCGCAGTGTAGCCAGAAATGCCGGAGGTGAGAGCATATATTAAAACTAGAGCTGTGAAGAAGGCTCCCCTATTGTATGGATAGAACACCCCCACTAGCGCGAGGAGGAAGATGAACAAGGCTCTGATATATCCTCAACAGTTGTTAGGACATATAAACATACCCCCAAAATGGAAATAAAATATCTGAACGATGGGTAAAAAGGGAGGAATTCTTACAGAGCTAGAAGTTGAGTTCCTGATCCAAGAACAGCAGAGAATAAGGACTTCTGCTTGGGGAATCTGAAGACGTCACCATGGATGTACTTCCACCCTGTCTCCTCTTGATCTTCTGCAGATTCTTCATCATGGGAGTACCTTCCAGAAATAATGGCAAAAGAAATATCACAAGAAGTAGAACAGAGAGAAGCCATAAGAGCCCAAGAATAATGCTAAAAATGGCAAGGGAAAAGATTGGATTCTGCTCACTTAATGAAATCGTTCCTGAGCACACGCATGAGGATCGTTGCCAGGAACCCAGTCAGGAGGAGCACCGTCACACATGAATTGATTATGGAGAACCAGTGGATCTCCAAATGGCGGGGAAGAGAGGATGTCTTAGAGTATTTCTCCATTCTCTTCCCAAAGGGGATGTCGGTCTCCTTCCACGTGGCCGAGTACGAGAAGCTCACCTCCATCTCCTTGTCATTGCTGATGTCCACAGACAATTTCGGATCCATCTGGATCTTGATTTCAATGACTTGGTCGCCATTGTAGAGGATCTCGAAGTGAATATGGTTGAAGAGGAGGTACTTGAAGTCTGCAGGATCATGCTTGCCCTCCTTCTCCACCTTCCCCAAGAACCCCCAGAAGGGGAGGTCGTCGTAGTACATCTGGAAATAGTAGTCCTTGGAAACTGCATCCCTGAGTATCGCGACCTCCTCCTCTGTTAATTTCTTCCTGCAGATGGTTTTGGATTGCAGGTCTTTCCGAAACCTCAGCTCATAGGGAGCATCGACCAGGCGATCCCCATTAAGAACTTCGCCGAGGGCTTCTCTCTTATCAGTCACAGGACCTGCCGGAATTCAGCGAAATTAGGTCAAGTGGGGAAAAACGTGGAGAACGTCAGATGGTATCTCAGAAACTCCGGCCTGACCTGGAGAGCAGAAGGGCAGATCGTAGTACCGATATGTCTCACTGCAAAAAAAGTGATGAGGTCAGAGTTGGAAATGATGAGGAGAGGGTCCCCTAGAAGAATATCATCGTGGCGCAGGCCCAAGAACAATTTGGAACTGATTAGTTTTAAGCAGGACAACTTGTCTCCGAGAGAGTCAGCACCAAATGAGAACTGGAAGATCTGCTCGACACAAACGGAAATGAGATAGGCAGAAACCCTAACAGATCACTCATCGAACTTGATCACGACTCCATAGCTTACAAAAAGAATTAGTCAAATATGTCCTCGGGAAACATCTACGAATATCTAAGATAAAAATCATTGCCATCTTATTCAAGCAGAAAACGAAGCAACGGAGGGAGAACGCAAATAACAGATTTAACAACAGAGGAAGGGGGTTTCTGCCCCAATTTACCTTGGATTGTGGAACGGGCCCACCTTGTTCGCATAGAAAGGGACGAGATCCCCCTCGCGGTACTTGTGATCGGAACCATCTGCTCCGGCCTTCGAACCGCAGAGCAAAAGGAATGCCAGAAGGACGCCTCCCCACATCGCTTCCGCCGCCGCCGGTCGCTGCTCCCTTTCAGATCCGCCCACAGCGAGACTCCGGCCGCCTCCTACCTCTCCTCTAACGATCGATCAAGTCAGCACGAGAAGGAAAGCGAGAACCAAACGGGGCCCAGATCTGAATGCCACCTATAGACCCCCCCCCCTGCCGTCTCCAATTACGGGAGGTCAAAGGCAGTGATAATAACCAGGGGAGTCCACCCAGATCACAGAGAGAGAGAGAGGAGGTCCCGCCAAGTTCCTTATCTCACCGTGCCGCGAAGGTAGAGTTGCACGCTGGTAGAGAGAGAAAATACCTATTTTCGTCCCTTGTTGCAGGTAGCAGCCAAGTTAGTGATTTCGTCGCAGCTCGACCTGATTTTCTCGTTTTCCTTTACAACATGGAGCCGATGCCGAGCAACCCCCCAAACTTGGTCCCCAGGCTATGGACACAGATAGATGTATATATATCGAGAGAGAGAAGCTCTTAGTGAGTTCTTTCTTCCTCCTCCGAGCTTACCCAAATCGACCCGTATTTCCAGTCGAGCCATGCTATTTTAGGAGACGTCCCTTAATTTATGTATGTTTTCACTCATATGACCCTCACTTGTTTATTATTGGCTATTCGTCGCGCACAGGCGGATGAGAGAGAAACGAGGAGAGAGAGAGCAAGGGACGAGGAACGGTGTGCTCCAAATGGCACCATATTGGCTATAATTGGTGGCACAACTCATAGTTAGATTGCCATGTTGGCAGTTGACGTGGAAATTACGTATTTTAGGAAACTACATATATTTCATACTGCTTGATAAAATAATAGTTTTAAAATTACATTCTTAAAAGAAATATACGTACGTACATTCAATGGTTGCAATCCTCACGGACTAAAATAGTATTTTGCGTGTTTGAAGGTGATATTTAAATTATTTACTCTGCATGGGAGATTTTAGGACCATTTTTAGATTGCCACCTTGGCAGTTGACATGGAAATTACACATTTTTAGGAATTACATTTCTCATACTACATGATAAAAAAAGTAGTTTTAAAATTGTAAAGTTATATATATATATATATATATATATATATGTATATTCAATAGTTGCGATCCTTACGGATTGAAATCATATATATTGTTTTTAAAGGTGATATTTTAAAGGATGTGCTGCTTATGGGAGGTTTTGATTATTCGAAGGAAATAAGTCAGGAAGGTGTTTTGTATAAATATGTGGAGAACATGGTTAATACATTATTCTTTCAATGATGGGGGTATTTCTTAAATAAGTCAAAGAGGCATCTTCCTGGGAGGAAATAAGTCAGGAACGCTGGCCGGGCATATGTTCCCAGGAAATTCTGATTTGTTCGGAAGCCGCGGTCTGAACGAGAAGGGGAGGGAGAGGGAGAGGAAGAGGAAAGAGTGATAGATAGGTAGAAAAAGTTACTATAGAGGCAAGGGAGGGAGGGAGAAGAGAGAGGATAAGGAGGGAGGGAGATCGGGGATGGGGCAGGCCTTCAGAAAGCTGTTCGACGCCTTCTTCGGCAATAGCGAAATGAGGGTGATTCCTGGTTATGCATGATCCGTTGGATTTTATTTTTCCTCTGTTGGCGTCATCTGGGCGTCCTCCAAGTTTGTCAAATGCTTCTAACACGGATATGCTAATCGGCGCCGATCTTACTATCTATGCGTCTCGATTTTTTTTATATTATTTCCCTTATTTTGAGTCATTTTGTGGCTATCCGTGGGGCAGAACTGCACCGCAGTTTTTGTCGAGTGATATTGCTTGCCTTGTGTTGCGAATTCCTTCGATTGTATAGCGATGAAACGTGATACTGCGTAGGTTATAGTAATTTTATAGCGATTAAAGAAACGTGAATTTCTTTGATCAACATATCATTTTCCATGACATCGTTTTCTCGAATTATTCTTGCTTTGATACCCCTTAATTAGTCTTTGCCGAACCTTCCTTAACAGGCACATGCCCTCTGTATCAAGTAGGAAGCTTTTTCATGTGAAAATCTTGTTCACTATCACCATCCGCAGCCCGTGAGTTTTTCACATCCCGTGTCCGCATCTGTTCGCCCCTAGGTATAGAAAGGATGGATATGAATTCCTGATCAACGTCCACATCAGCTTCCTTTGTTGAATGATTTTTCCAAAACTCTGATTGTAGGAATACCTTTGTAGCCCACTTCTTCCTTCAATTGTTCCAGGAAGTGATTTCTTAGTGTTTTTTTCTGTAATATAGGAGAAGACCAACTTTAGACTCCAAGTCTCCTAAACTCACTTAGTTTTGACAGATCAAAGTCTCCTCCCCATAATTTATATTTAGGAATTCATATGTTTACTAGTTAAATGGTGGGAGATATACTCTCAGAGACGACGGATTCATAAATACACAGAAGAACTGTAGATATCTGAGCTCCAAAGCCTAGGAGAGATGACTTGACATTAAGACAACAGACCAAAAGTCTTCCATTTCAAAACAAAGACCAACAGTCTATGTAAGGACCGAGTTCAGTAATCCTGCGTGCAGATCATTCACATGTAGTTTTCAAGATTTTATCATTCATATCCTTTCATTCTAGTCTTTCATTAGTCTCAGGCAACAAAAACTTCATATTGCTAGGTTTGACTACCAAACTAGACAAATCATATCGGAGTGAAAGGCCATGGGATGAGGTTGTAGCTCGAAAAGATTGTTTTTAGTAGAACAGTCTTTGATGGCAAGTCCAACTCCAGTATTTGATCCGTTTGCTGAACACCCTCGCTCTATGCCCTCTAGCCTGATGTTGGTAATGCTGATATGGTAGATCTGGGTTCTCCATCTTCGGTTTTATTGTAGCCTCTTCCCTTGAAATCTTAATGGCTATGCCAATGAACATCAGAAATAGCTCCTCCGATCTAGATATAAAATAAATTATAATGACCAGTAAAATTCTTCTCAAATCATTCCCAAAGTTTTAATGCACATATTGATGTTCCGTTAATAATTCAGAGGTAGTAATTGATTCCCTTTCCTGGGACATTCATCTCTGAAATTCCTTTTGCCCTCCCTTTCTTGGGCTATTTCTTTTTTAATTAAATTATGTTTTCTGAAAAAAAGTTTCTTTTCTGATCTTGATTTTGGCAAAAACTCTTTCATTTACTAGGTTTTGGTCAAACTTATTCATGATAATGACATGGAAGGCTAAATATTATTATTTTTATTGTGGTAGACTTACTCAAGTTTCCATTCCATCGTTGCTTCCCCATTGTTTTGAAATTGTAGAATATGATTGTAGTTTGGCTGTTTCTTTGCGGTTTTCCTATTTTCAGCTCGACATTTCAATTCCACTAACTTCATTAGGATTGAAAGATACCATTGTAATTCTACTGGGATGAAAATATTTTTGAAATTGAAATAATAATAAATGCGCAATACTAGTTTATTTGGATCCCGTATAGATTCCAGATACTGCTGTATGGTTTACATAGTCATGCAAGGGTCTGGTGCTTAACAGAATATAGCTTTGCAATTCTTAACTTTCCTTGGGTATAAATGGATATTCGTCGTCTTGGTATTTGGGAATGAAATTCCCTTTATTGTTAGATTTTATTTCCCTTTGTGATAACTGTCATAATTTTCTAGTCCTTGATTTACATTTTTTTTTGGCGAAAATTATCACTTCATTAATCAAAAGAGGCTCTGACACAGAACAAGAAAAATTGCAGTAACCTGAAGTTTCATTTACATTATAGTGTCCTATATGGTGAATATTTCACGCTCTCACCTTCTATTTTAGTCAATGGTTGTGGCTTTGAGCTCTATCCAGGCTTCCTTATTCATGTTTTAAAGTTTTTTTTCCTGTAATAGGTCGTGATGCTCGGGTTGGATGCGGCTGGAAAGACGACAATTCTATATAAACTACACATTGGGGAGGTTCTATCAACTGTTCCTACAATAGGTAGTCATTTTGAGATGATTCTCTTTTCTTGTACGTTTTTCCTTTTTCACTACCACGTTTCTTCCATCAGTTTTGTGCCTGGTTTGAAGTTCACATGTTTATGGACACCTCCAAAGTGGAACCAGGTGAATTTTTAAAAAATAAATTCATTGGGATATCTTATTTTCGGGCTATATTGTAGGATGGGCATAGTGTACCAACTTAGATCAGATCAAAATCTTATTTTTATTTCCAATGGAGTAATTGTCCTTACAAGTTACTGTAGCCTTTTGATTCTGTGAGCATCATACTCATTAGCACGCCCAGGCAGGAAACCCCTTTACCATGATAGAGGCTTATGGTATGCTTAATTTACAGTTCGTGTTGTATGTACGGTAGCTTCTCTTGAATTTGTCTTTCTATGTATGCTCGATTGTTGGTAATGATGATTATACTTGTAGACTGCTTTGATAGTTTTTTTGTGGAATCCTCTCTTAGATTCTTCTGTACAAATGTGTGCATGCCCTTAGGGATGTTGGGTGTTGATTAGGTTAACAAGCAATTGTGGATGCTGGAAGAAGAGATTTGGGTGCAAGACATAGAAGGCTGTTGGTAATGCAAATAATATTGAGAAACAGATTCCCCTGTTAACTTTTAGTATAAAATGGAGTGGGTGTAATGGAATATTCAGTTATGCCATTTGGAGATCTCCGTTGTTAAAAGTTGAATTTCTACTTTATAGTTTCCAATGGTTCATTGTATTATCATGAACATCCACACCACATGGACATAGGAGGGAGATTAGTATACATGAGCATTCCATTTGCGCTAATCCATAAAGTTTGGAAGGAGTTCTGCTACTTTCCTAGGTGAGGTGGATCCTGGCAAGTATTGGCCTGGTGCAAGAACCAGAGAGATCGGGCCCCATTAGTGGATAGAGGCGACCAAGTCAGGTGGCTGTGCTTCATAGCCATTTATTGATCATTCAGATTGAAATAAACGAAAGAGCAACAAAAGAATTTTAGATGTTTGAAAACCTTGTAGAGTTGGGTTTTTAGGTCCATGTAGTGCCTCACTTCTCGTGTATGAAATATGTTCTGTTGAGGTCCGGGATAAATTACATTTGGCATTCTCTAATCTCGAGGAAGGGAGATTATACTGATTTGAAACCATACAAATCTTATAGAATGGATGAAACTACATCACATCACATATCCTTGTATGGACTCTATATTTTAAAATGCCCAACGTCCTTCTCGAAATAGTTATACAGTCGTCTATCTATGTCTCTAATGTGTAATTGGCATGTGAAAGTTGAAACGGTGATAGTAGGAAGACAGAATGTGCAAGATTTTGACGACTTTGGTATCTGGAATCAGCAAGATTGTAGGTTTTGCTACGTCTTGTCGTCCCAATCTTTGGAGCCAGGGATCCTATCTACACGTCTTCAGAAAAAAAGACTGTTTTAAGGTTGATAAAAAAAAAAAAGGAAAACTACAAAAACAGTATTTCTTTTCTTGTAATCTATGTTTCAATTTTTCTCATTATCTCTCTCTGCCCTTTTTCATCTGGTTTTATGGCCTATAGAGTGATTGGCATTTCTTTAGGCAGACTGTCCAATCTTGATCCGTGTTCGTCAGCTTTCCCACTCTGACAAACTGATTCTCTAATCCATGGTCATATGGCCAGTCTTGCAGTATCGTTAGGCTTCTCTATTGAGTCGTAATGCCCTCTGCACATATTTGGGTTGGGGGGGGGGGGGGACAGAGATCAAGGAGAGAAACCCAATCCTTTTATTTGATTCCATCTTTGGTCACTTGCGCTGTCCCTCACTAGATGGAGCATTGGCAGCTCAAATTTTTATTAGATTTGAGTATGATTCTGATATATGAATGTTTTTATTATAGGTCATGAATGTCATCTTTTTCGTTATTCTGGATAGTCTATTATTATAAACGAGAAATTCATTTTAGCTGGTGATGTTCAGTGGGTGACCTGTGTACTATCTACGGTGATACAATTGAAATAACTTCTGGCTAGTTACTTATATATCATGGAAACCAAACACGAACTAAGGAACTTAACATTTTCTTCCTTCTTGAAGCTTGGCTTAAAGATTGATGATAATTGGTTTATCCACAGATTTTTTAGTACTTTGAAAAAAATTTCCTTTAATCCATGTAGCATGTGATTCAAGATATTTGATGAGTAGTGCACGTATTTTTCACTTTTCCTTCTGGCAATCTATATCATTGGAAGAAAGAAAATGGTTACTTAAAATATCTGGCATATATCCCTTTTGCTTTCTCATACTACTGAAGTTCGTTTTTCTCCTATACATTGAGATTCTGATGCACACTATAATTTGAATGTTGTTAGCGTTTCTTTCTTCGTCACATTGAACTCTAAAACTATTCAATCCCCTTTTATATACTCAGGTTTCAATGTGGAGAAAGTCCAGTACAAAAATGTTATGTTTACTGTCTGGGATGTTGGTGGGCAAGAGAAGCTGAGGCCATTGTGGAGGCATTACTTCAACAATACCGATGGACTGGTAAACATATTTTCATGAAGAACTATCATGTTAATGATTTGATAATCTAATTACCTTGGTATGGATTTTTTTTGGCTTCTCCGTGAGAAACAAGCCCAGGCCTCTTCTCCGTTTTGTTAAGAGCTGAATTCAGTGTTTTAGATGCAGATGCATCTTCTTACAAGTGGTCATTTGGAGTTTCCTTTGTGATATATGTTTACTGAATATTTACTTCATTTTCCAAGAATTGCGAACTCGTATTGTGGCCCCGCGAACTATGTACAGGTTCTGCCGATATTAGTTCTCCTTTTCATTATGCCTTGCTCTTGTATATTCAGTCCTGTAACTCTGTGTGTCGGTCATGATTGTTATGAGTTGACAGTGTCATGTTGAATATTGTCACCAAATGCTTGGTTAAGTTAGAGGAAGGCAAGGCTATGCTGTAAGAAGCATCCTCAACGACGAGCTGGAAGTCATCGTGAAATGAGAGGGTAGCGAACTAAAGGTTGTATAAAAAATATTGTTGATCAACTTATAACAGATGTGCAGAGTTGAAGTATGCTATGTGCTCGGCTAATTCATATTGCGGACTTCAATAGCAGGTTCCTTTAAAATGCATGTCCATGGGGGTTTTGATCTCATGGATCAAATTTATGTATAGCCCTGTAGTTTGTGACGTATCATTCATAAAAATGTGAAGAACTGGGGCTTTATTGATGTAGATGCGCCTTGGTCCAGTTGGATAGGCTACTCACAGGATATCTCTGGCTCTGGCAGAGATCTGACTTTGTGTTTTCCAAATGATGTTGCTTCTCGACTTTGTGTTGCTATCGTTTTGATGATGTAGTCCATCCGAAATGGTTTACTTATTGACCATCTGGGTATTCAGCATAGGGTGTTGTGACCCCTCTCCTTGTATTAATCGTACGGATATCTGATTAGGTCTGGCACACCTCTCCTTTTTCTCTTTGGTCATGTCATTTCTACGATATGTCTTGAATCATCAGTTGCCAACACTCAATGGTGCACATCAACAATGTTTATGGGACCACCCTCCTGTCTGGCTATTATGAACCTCATTATATATATTGCATCAAAATGGGAATGGAAATGATGCTGATGACCTTGGCCAGGGGAGTTCTATGCATGATTTAAACATTTCAAGATTCAGTTTTTTCTTTAAATATATAAAAATTGAAAATGGAAATCAGTCTGCTGTTGACAAATGATTTAAAAGGAGATTGCTTCGATAAAGAAAGCCAGATCTCTAGTGGCAGTTTCCTGTGTTGAGCTTTGACTTGTTGCCCCTTAGCAATGGTTTTTTCTTTCCTGACAGGAAAAAATTCCTTCCAGTGATGCAATCGCCTAGACTCTTCTTATGTCTTTGTTTTGGCAGATTTATGTGGTTGACTCGTTGGACAGAGAAAGAATCAGCAAGGCAAAAGCAGAATTCCAGGTCTCAATTGTCACTTTTTCATCAGGAATTGTTTTCTCAAATGCCCACAAAGATGGAAAACTTTCCCTGGGTTCATCTCCATTGACACCTCTCTTTCCTTTCCAGGCCATTATCAGGGACCCCTTCATGCTGAACAGTGTCATCCTGGTTTTCGCCAACAAACAGGACATGGTAAGTTGAACCAGGGGACCATCCAAACCAGCTTTGCATGAACCAGGGGACCATCAGCTAATGATCCTCTCTCATCCGCTGCTCAGTTCTTCCAATATCTTTCAAGGACCATTATACTCCATTAATCCTTCAAAAAAAAAAAAACCCGAGGCCAAGGTTTTCTTTTATATATATATATATACACTTTATTAATTCAGCGATTTCACACCTGAATGTTGATCCCTCAGAGAGGAGCCATGACCCCGATGGAGGTGTGCGAAGGCCTGGGGCTTTATGATCTCAAGGGAAGAAGATGGCACATCCAAGGAACCTGCGCCATCTCAGGCGACGGGCTCTACGAGGGCTTGGACTGGCTTGCCAGTACATTGAAAGAACTCCAGGCCTTGGGCCGCACATCTTCGGCTGGCACCTCCTCCTTCTGATCCCAAACCGGGTAAAACCCTTTTCCCCTTTTGGTAGTGTTTATCGATCACCGATCGTTACCCTTGAAAATTATTTTCTAGGAGATTTATAATCTCTGTCGTGTCAGGTGTGGTTGGTGTGTGGCCGAAGCCTCTTGATGGAAGGGGGATAAAGGGCTCACATTTATGTACCTAACAAGAATGAGCGGTCTCTACACCCTCTTTCCCCATTCTGACATCTCGGCTGTTGATATTCGGTGATTTCTGGCTTTCGGAATCCTCCCAGAAGCCGGGAAATACGTAAATTCCTGTATCTACTTTGGTGTTGTGATTCAGCATGTTCTGTGAGTCCTTTATATCCATCTATCCCTGTGTGGCCCATGAGAAACCTTGCCGGCGGCCGTTTGGATTGGGGTGGAACGGCCGATTCCTCCCGGATCTGGTGTTTGGGTTGACGGAAAATAGGGGATGATTGACTTCAAGGTATCGGATCTTGTATCGGCCTTGGCCTGAGCAAAACGGGCCCGGCTTGATGGGCTTGAGCATACGGGCTTTCTGCTGCTAAATTTGTAGGTCCAAGTGGGCCAACGGTGACGAATGGGCTGAAATGAGCCGTCACAATAGAACGGCCCAAGTGGGCCCCTTTTTAGGATCTCCTGCCAGGAGAGACCTGTCACGTGGCTCCACGAGTGTTTCTTCCGGAGACGGCGGGGTCTCCTGTCAGATCCCTCCTACCCCCACTAACTCTCTCTCTCTGTCTCTCCTCTCTCTGTCTCTCTATGTCTCTCTGTCTAGGTGGTCCCCCACGTGTTTCTTCCTGACACGGGCTCTCTCCATCTCTCTCTCTCTCTCTCGCTCTCTCATATGTCCGTAAGTCAAGAGGGCTCATCTCTCCCTCTAATTTGGAAAAGCCCGAGGATACCTTGAGGTGATCGTGTCTTTGACGTTGACCCGGGCCAATTCCAGAAAATGAGCTTCAGTTTGAACTACAACCATGTGATGTGAGGGTTTCGAAGGGAATCTAACATGTCATTATCGTTAAAAGCATTTCCTCATATTATTACTTCTGATTAAAAATTCCTCATATTATTCAATATTTTTTAGTTAAGAAAGACTAATTTAAGATTACGCCACACATTCTATACTCCTAGAATATTAAATATTTTCCTACTTATTTACATGAGTTTGCTTGTATATTCCTCACGTTATCAATGAGAATAAAATCATGCTATTAACATAGACGGGGCTATTTTTTTCACATGCATTAAAATATGTACCCTATCCTCAAGACACTCATATTTAGTCCATTTTAGAAATATCACGAACATGGATATCATGCTGAATTATACCACATTCATATCTTTGGGAGATAAAAGCATGTGATTAACTAGACAGGCCTCATCTACTATCACACATAAAGATTGTCCATTATTTTACATGATTTAAAATTTTCATATTCTAACCCCCTGGCATATATGCCAGGTTTCTATAATCCGCATATCAAAGCTTCAAAAATATAGTTGGCACATACATTAGTACGTAGAAATGATTCCAAGTTGATTGGGATAGTAACTCATGAGACACAAATAGATGAGTTTAGCCTGCCGCCATGTAGATGAGTTTCCAATCCTTTTCACATGGTGTTAAAGCTCCAACTTAACATTTTTTATATTACATGAACTTTATTCCAATTACTTACTCAACATAGTCTTGTAGAAATTACCCACTTAAAAGGAATAACAATCATATATTTGAACTAGACTACCTACTTCTGTGGGAGTCAATTGACTTGGAGTTGGGTAGTGAGATTATCTAATATATCAATAAATATTAACTTCTTGGAAAATTTCCAAATTTTGAAGATATCTCTTACTTGGATTTCTATTATTCAAATTATCACATCAATTAAGGCCTCTAAATCTTATGACTTTACGTGTACAAATATAGTCAAGGAAAATATATAGAGATATTAACAACACATAACAATGGCAAAGGTTGGAGATCATTATGGAAAGATATTAAAAGCAACCAATTGTTACCTATCAAAAATCTAAGTCCAAATCATCCCTAGTTTACTAGGAGATTGGAAGGACAAGGTCAATGGAAAATAAGTTTGACTTTCAATAAAACCCATAAAATAACTATAAAAGGTCAATCTCATCCATATAATACTTTTGACAATATGCTCTTCTGCAATTTATTTCCTCTATTATTTGATGTGATAAAATGATTTTTTTCACATTTCATGGTCCCACAAACCATTTGTTTATATGAAGATTCATCCCGTTTATTCCTTCACTTTGACCTTTGACCACTTGAAATTTATTTTAAATGGCTACTAATGCCCTCCCGTCACATCATGTATGTCACACCTAATGATCTTAATCCTACATAAGACATGTTGAGATAGTAAAAAGTCATTAATAACCTTCATTCCTAGAGTATACCCCTTTTTTGCTCAGTTCTTTGTGTAGGTCAAAAAGGGGATATAATAATTAGTGAAAGAGAAGCAACAAGTGGTATTTGGAGGAAGGGGAAAGGAGTGGTGGGCACTAGTGATAGAGGGAGGGTTGAGGTTGACAATTACAAGATGAGGAACAAAAGTCAAGGTGGTTGTGGGTCAAATCTTCTAGTGTTGATCACATTATTGACACCACATTCATAACAAGTGGGAATAGAATGGTAATAGCCCATAAATCTGGGAAACATGTGAGTACTTTCTCGAGTCAAGACATCAGCAACCAATGGGTCTCATTTTCTAATGAAATAACTTGCTGGTCATCACAACTAAATAAAGATATGAAGACCAACATGTCTAGCAAATCAAGTATGAGGTTGACTAATTGATGTCATTAGAGTATTTTCATGGGGATCTTGAACATGTGATGCTTATTTTAGTTTCCATCCATAGAAATACTCCCTTCAATGCCTGATTTGGTGTAAAGAGGCCTTTTCAATGCCCCCTAGAATTGACTATTTTCCCATAATTTTCATTTTTTTTATTGTCAATGGTTTTTTTACTTAGCTTGGTACCTATGCCAACATCTATCAAGGCACTTTAGTTTAATGGGCACGATGAACAAATGCATTGAGTGGGCCCACATAGCTGGGCATCAACAATGCCATTGTGTTGTGAATATGCATGGTATTAAATAATTAGTGTCAAATTTGAAGTATAATGAATACACTTTTTATGATGCATTCAATGTTTTTATAAAATTATGTACCCGAAACTTAAGATATATTAAGTCAACTTCAAATAAATGCAATTTATTTACAGAATGTAAGAAATATAAATATTATTAATTTAGAGAAGCCTCAAAATTGGGTGAGAATAGTATTAAGTATTAGAAAAAGCATACTTTTATGATGTACTCAATAAAATATTTTATGTAGCCACCACATAGTTATTGAATTAAAAATAAATAGTCTTATTTTCATTTTATAAATAGTTGGCATGGAGATACATTTCGCAGACGTAAGCACCCAAGAGTTAGGTGGGAACTAAATGTCTCTCTTTCTCACACACATGATGGAGCTAGCTCTTCAACATCCAAGTTAGCGTCAGCACACTTATCGAGAGAGAGAGAGGGAGAGGGGACGCGGAGAGCGAGAGAGGGTGAGAGAGAGGGAGAGAGAGGGAGAGAGAGTGAGAGGGAGAGAGGGAGAGAGGGAGAGAGGGAGAGAGAGAGGGAGAGAGAGGGATAGAGACAGAGGGAGAGAGGGAGAGAGAGGGAGGGAGATAGAAAGAAGGAGACAGTGAGAGAGAGGGAGAGACATGAGACTGTGTGTGAGAGAGAGAGCATGCTGGGTATTCAACTCAGGGAATGAGAGTATTAGGGAAATATCCAAGTGGCATGATTCAAAAGTAATTGGAATTAACTTTTGATGTGGAGTAGGACAAAGGCGACAACGACAATAGTAGGAATAATTTTCCTGTGGGGCCGACGTGGACGGCCTCGTGGGCAAACTTGGCAGCGGGATTGCCGAGGCGTCAATGAAGAACGCAGTGGGGACCAGGAGCGTGACCTAATCGCTGCAAAAGCGGGACTACTATAAAATGCGCTGCACAGGAATTCGCAGAGAGAGGAGAGAGAAAGAACAGGAGGAAAGAGGACAGCGTGGGTGGGGGTGGGAGGACGAGGAACAGAGAAGACCGAACACGGCGGCTTCGGCGGGAGCGCCGGCAGAGAGGGGACGAGAAGAGTGGGGATGGGGGCTCTCCATTGAGGGCTGTGAGTTTTTCGGGCCGACGTCCTCGCCTTCTCCTTTCGTTCTTGTTAGGGCGGTTTCCTCCCGTCGTTGTGCCGTCTTGGAAGAGCTATCTCAGATCGTGGTGGGCTGCTCGGGTTTTTTTTTTGCGGCCGTTCTGTGCGGCGTTTTCGGTTTTCTGTGTCGACGAGCCCTAGGGCATCGGGGGGGAAATACTACTGTTGACACGGGAGAGCTTTGAGAGTTCGCTGCTGGCATGGGGATGGGTTCGTCAAGGGGCCGTGCTACCTAGGCGGAGTGCGTCTTGGTTTGGGTTCTCCAGTCAAACGGACGGAGGGATCGTTCGGACGAGAATGCACGGGGTTTCAATTGTATCGAGTTACTCGTTGTGAAGATTGTGGCGGGGGGGTGGTCCAGTTCTTCTTATTTCAAGACCGCATCGTTGCGCTGGAGCGGTTAGGGATCCCGGGGAACATGTCTTCCCTGAGCAGGGAGCTCGTGTTCTTAATTCTACAGTTCCTAGATGAGGAAAAATTCAAGGAAACAGTCCACAGGTAGGAGATACTTCCCTTCTCTGTTGTTCTTGCCTTGTTATATTGGCTTCATCTTCATTTGGGATTGGGGAATTTGATGACGGGTGGCGGAAGCTTTCCCATGTTTTTCTGTTTGTTTAGTGCAATGACGCGACGTTCTTGCCTGTCTTTCCTTTCTGTCTTCGTAGGTTGGAACAGGAGTCGGGATTCTTCTTTAACATGAAGCATTTCGAGGACCTAGTACAGGGGGGGGAATGGGATGAGGTTGAGAAGTATCTTGGGGGGTTCACGAAAGTTGAAGACAACCGGTACTCTATGAAAATCTTCTTTGAAATAAGAAAACAGAAATACCTTGAAGCTCTCGACAGGTAGCCACCGGACCCGTCTTTCGAGTTTTCCTTCTCCCTACTAGTTGTACTTGATGGTTTAAAATCACTTTTCTAGGCATGACCGAGGAAAAGCTGTCGAAATTCTGGTGAAGGATCTCAAGGTCTTTGCGTCTTTCAATGAAGAACTCTTCAAGGAGATAACCCAGTTGCTTACACTTGAAAATTTCAGGTATGTTACCTCCTCTGTTCTCAAGTTTCTACGTACGGCTGATCTTAGGTTGTTGACGAACTTAAGTTTCCTGTTGAATGAAGGCAAAATGAGCAGCTTTCCAAGTATGGAGAGACGAAATCGGCCAGGAGTATCATGCTTTTGGAGCTCAAGAAGCTTATTGAAGCTAACCCTTTGTTCCGTGACAAGCTCATATTTCCTTCGTTCAAAGTATCTCGGCTGCGGACTTTGATTAACCAGAGGTTCCGATTCTCAACGTCCATCTTTTTCGACTGCCTTGTACTCTTAATTTATTTTTTCTCAATGACTGTAATTCTGACCATTCCCTTTGGTATTTGTCGTGTATCCTACAAACCATATATTTCTAATGTGCCACTCTCTGTTAAATTTTCTAGTCTCAACTGGCAGCATCAGCTTTGCAAGAACCCGCGCCCCAATCCTGACATTAAAACCCTATTTAGTGATCATACTTGTGCCCCTACTAGTGGAGCTCGTGCACCACCCCCAGTCAACAGTCCCCTTGTTGGACCTCTATCCAAAGTTGGAGCCTTTCCTCCTACTAGTGCTCATGGTGTAAGTGTAGATTCGCGTTTTATTTCTGTTATATCAAAAATAAACATTTCGGTAACTAGTTGTAGAGCTGAATGCGATGTTATAAAAGAAGCTTTCGGTGCAGCCATTCCAGCATGTTGTTACTCCATCAAGTACTCTCGCCGGGTGGATGGCAAGTACTAATCCATCATTGCCACATGCGGCTGTAGTCTCAGGCCCCTTAGGTCTTGTTCCACCTCCTAATGCAGGTTGGAATTCCTTCTGTTCCATTAGGTATCACTGCTTTTAGAATCCTTTTGCTTTGTAACATTTTATTCAACTCAAGTCGTGTTTAACATTATTGCAGTGCCATTTTTGAAACATCCAAGGACCCCACCAGGCCCCCCTGGCATTGATTATCAAGCTGACTCTGAACACCTGATGAAGAGGATGCGCACAAGCCCTCAAGAAGAGGTCTTCTGAACTTAATAATTTGCTTGCGTATGTTAGATCTACGCGTGACATGAGAGTTTATGTAGGATTTACATGTATGTTAAAATTGATTGCTGTTTTTCTAGGTGTCCTTTGCCGGTCACGTTCATCATCCCAATGTTTATTCTCATGAAGATCTTCCCAGAACTGTGGTTAGGGCCCTTCACCAGGGTTCCAACGCAATGAGCCTGGATTTTCATCCACAGCAACAAACAATTCTTCTAGGTGATTTAACTGCTTCTTTTATTAACATTGGAAAATGTCAAAGCATACACAATTGAGCATGCCTGTTCGCTGTATCTTTTCTGTTGTAGTTGGGACAAGCATTGGCGATATCACAATATGGGAAGTGGGGTCCCGGGAAAGGATAGCCCATAGAGGATTTAAGGTTTGGGATACTTCAGCTTGTACAATGCCATTGCAGGTACTGTCAGTTAAAAAAGTGCGGACGATGATGCTTGTTGTTCACTGAATATTTAAAGTTTGTTCGGTTTTTTGAGAAGTGATTCTTTTGGTCATTTAGGCAGCTTTGATGAAGGATGCCTCGATATCAGTTAATCGGTGCCTATGGAGTCCAGATGGATCGATAGTTGGTATGACTCATGGGTGACCTGTGATCGAATCTAATTTATTTGCCTCTTTCATTATTTTCACCACAGAAAGAGTATTATAGAATGATATTATTATCTGACGCTTGAGCTAATTAATTTTAGGTGTTGCCTTTTCAAAACATCTTGTTCAGACCTATGTTTTTGGCCCAAATGGTGACTTGAGGCCACAGTTAGAGGTGAGTTCCAATTTTTTTTCTGGTCTTGTTAATTGTTGAAATAGTAAATAAATTCATCTGACTTGGGTTATTGAATTAGATTGATGCTCATAATGGAGGTGTCAATGATCTGGCCTTCTCTCATCCCAACAAGAGCCTTTCCATAGTTACTTGTGGTGATGACAAGACAATTAAGGTAATGACCTTTGTTTGTTTCGATGGTCATAGTAATCAACATCTCCTCCATAGTTCATAGCTGTAAGTTCGTTTACATGTCTGGATAAAAGGTGTGGAATGCTGCCACGGGACAGAGGGAACATATCTTTGAAGGCCATGACGCTCCTGTATACTCTATCTGTCCTCACGTCAAGGAGTCTATCCAGGTACAAGCTTGGGTGAATAAGCTAATATCCCTGAAGGTTGTCCAGAGATTCTTGCGTTTTCCTTGTTTCATGATCCCTCTAACTATGATCTGTTTTCAGTTTATATTCTCCACGGCATTCGATGGGAAAATTAAGGCATGGCTGTATGACTGTGTTGGATCCAGAGTTGACTATGATGCACCTGGTCTTTCTTGTACTGTAATGGCTTATAGTGCTGATGGAACCAGGTAAATCATTTGATTTGAGCTGTTCTTTTCATGTCACCATGTTTCTCAGCTTCTTATCTCCTGCCAAATTGCATTTTTCTCAGATATTCACCATCATAATGTAGATTATTGTATTTCACACTTCCGTTTCCATTTGTGTATAGGCTTTTTTCTTGTGGTACAAGCAAAGATGGTGAGTCGCATCTGGTTGAGTGGAATGAAACTGAAGGATCCATCAAAAGAACATACTCCGGTTTCAGAAAACGATCTTCAGGTGTGGTGCAATTCGACACAACAAGGAATCGCTTTTTAGCTGCTGGGGACGAATTTCTGATAAAGTTTTGGGATATGGATAATAAGGATATTTTGACTACCTCAGATGCTGATGGAGGGTTACCGGTTAGGATAACTACTTGTGACTTAAAATTTTCGTGTTGCGTTTTTAAATGTGTCTTGATTATTCGCCTTTTGTTTCAGGCTAGTCCTCGGTTGAAGTTCAACAAAGAAGGATCATTACTTGCAGTCACCACTAGTGATAATGGAATCAAGATATTAGCAAACTCTGATGGACAGCGGCTGATAAGATTGTTAGAAAGCAGAGCATATGAGAATTCTAGGAGTTCTCAACAGATCAATAGCAAGGTGCTATTTCGAGCATAAGTTTTCTAGAGTGTTCATTATGTGAAATCATACCTTTTTATGTGCATTATGTGAAATCATTGCTATATTCCTCAATACGGAAATATTATCTCAAACATCGTCTCTCAGATCTTAAATTATCCTTTTATCTTCTTAATTTCTTCTTTGTGATTAATATTAAATTGTAAGAAAGTTTTTAGACAAATAATATAACCCCTTGATGATCTACTGTATGGTGTGATCCGTTTTACCTTATACTTCGCCATTTCTTCTGCGTGGCATTTTTAACCAGTAGAAAGTATATCTTTATTTTGAAAACAATGGTAGACTTAATTGCATCCTGAATCTTTCAGATTCCAGCAGTCAGCGTGCTAGGTGGTGTCAGTAATGTTTCTGGCCCAATGGCTACTACAATTGAACGGGCGGATAAAAACGCTTCTTCAGTACCAATTACTGGACTGGTAATAATCTTTTAGATATGTCGTGTCAATGGAGCTGACATTAATTGTAGATCAGATCTTATGGTCAAATGTTTTGCAGACTGCTATGGAGAACAGTCGGACAGCAGATGTCAAATCAAGGATATCAGATGACGCAGAAAAGATTAAAGGCTGGAAGTTGGCTGAAATTGTTGACCATAAGCAGCTCAAAGCTATGAGTTTACCGGATTCAAGCACGTCAGGAAAGGTGCGTAAGAGTAATGCCATAATAAATTTTTCAACCGGAACGAAAAAATCTGTTTAAACTTTTGAAGAACTAATGAGTTGATCTATGCATGACCTAGGGTTCGATCTTGAAGTTTTTGGTTTTTGTCTTGATATGTTTCATAGCTTGGTTAGACAGCTGACAATTAATTTTTGCGAGGATAAAAAATTTGCTCCATTGGTTACAGATTATGCGGCTGCTATTTACCAACTCTGGATCAGCTGTCTTAGCCCTTACTTCGAATGCCATGCATAAACTTTGGAAATGGCAGTGTGCTGAGAGAAATTCATCTGCGAAGGTTAGTAAATTTTATTATTAAACAGCGGCACATCTTAGTCCATGGGTTGTCAAAGTGGATAAAAATGATTTGAATATATCCTCAATTCTGGGAAAGCCTAATCCCAGTTCGGATGTTCAGACGAAAATGGAGAGAAGTAACCATGATCTCCCAATTCTGACATTAATTGCTTTGGCTTCTGCTCGAAATTGTCTGAAAATATTTCTATCAAGATTTTAATAAAGCCTTTTTGTCCCCCGGAGAGCAGCTAATCTGCCTAATCAGCCTATTCAATTTGAGATCAAACCTGTGGCCCATCAGGGACTGAGTCCTGATTCTACAAACCATGTGTCTATCCGGGTTGGGTGTTCGAAAATCCACATGGCATCGAAGCACAGTCTATGGGGTCTTGCCAGTGGGAAGTTGTGTGTGACGGGGGTCTCTACCAAGAGTTTATTATTCGGGTTACATAAGAAAGGGGAGGGGGAATGGTTTACTGAAATATTTCGATCTTATTTATTTTGTTGGCTCTCTAATGATATGCATGGTTACGCTTTTTTCAGTCCTCTCCATCTGTTATACCTCAGCTCTGGCAACCAGCTAATGGAATCCTTATGTCAAATGATACCACGGACGGCAATACTGATGAGTCAATCTCATGCATTGCACTGTCCAAGAATGATTCATATGTTATGTCTGCATCCGGAGGGAAGGTCTCATTGTTCAACATGATGACATTCAAGGTTCGTTTCTTGCTGCACTTTTTCTTCGTTTTGGGAGCTATGTCTTTCTCATTTCCCGTGGATATGACTCAGTGGCAACCTAACCAACCGACAAAGCATGGATTCTGTTGATTTAATAGGTGATATGATGTTTCACAGGTGATGACGACTTTCATGCCGCCGCCCCCTGCAGCTACCTTCTTGGTGTTCCACCCTCAGGATAATAATATCATTGCCATTGGGATGGATGACTCTACTATTCAAATTTATAACGTTCGAGTTGATGAGGTAATTTCTTTAGCATTGTACTTAATTTGGTATGAATTTTTCTGCTCACATTCCTTGCATTCTTACGCGCCTGAAAAATTAGCTGCAGAGGAAAGATGTGTATAGATCCATAAAATTCCAACATGCTGTTATTCTCCCGCATGTGATTTGACGTATGGGTTAACTAGTGATCTTTTGCTTTCTTCAATAACTATGGATTATAGGTTAAAAGCATACTAAAGGGGCACCAAAAGAGGATCACAGGCCTTGCATTCTCACAGTCCATGAATGCCCTTGTATCGTCTGGTGCCGATGCACAGGTGCGTATCCACAAGGATGATCCCCTTTGTCTCTCTGCTCAGGATCCGCAAGATTTTTAATATTGTTTTTATCTTCATCTCTCGTTTTGACCTAAATCTCTTGTGTATTCTGAAGATTTGTGTCTGGAGCATTGATGGATGGGAAAAGAAGAAATCAAGATTTATTCAACCTCCAGCTGGTCGAGCGGCCCCACTTACCGGCGAAACCAGAGTCCAGTTCCATAATGATCAGACGCACCTTTTAGTTTCACATGAGAGTCAGATCGCCATCTACGATTCCAATCTTGACTGCCTGCAATCGGTCAGTTCCTCATCCTTCATGGTGCTTCAGGTCTTCTTAACATACGGTAAAAAAATAAAAATGGGGGTAAATGGCAGAACTATGTCACCATCTTATTATTATCTTTACCCCCCGCCATTTTCTAGTGTTTTTCTGCATGCATTGAACTTGTTCTGTGATGGGAAACTGATTCGTTGATGGTGCGTCGTTTCCTCGACTCGTGGGTTAATTAGTTGCTCCAGACCTGACGGTAGATCATCGGTAGATCAGCTGGTGATTTCTTTCATGCGCATCTAGAAGAAATCCGGGCGACCCGTCTGACCTCTTGCATTCTATTATGTTCAGTGGACTCCTAGGGACATGCTGCAGGCACCAATCTCCTCGGCAATTTACTCCTGCGACGGTGCCCTAATCTACGCCGGATTCACTGACGGTGCCGTCGGAGTATTCAACTCGGAGAGCCTGAGGCTGTGCTGCCGCATCGCGCCGTCCTCGTACACCAGGCATGGCTGCTCGCCTCAGTTGGCCACCACCCCATAAGAAGGCTCTTCCCCTTTTTCTCTTCTCTGGAACCCATTTTGTTACTAAAAATAGCCCATTCTTTCTTCTGCCGCAGCGGATCTGTGTACCCCACAGTGATTGCGGCGCACCCGACGGAGCCCAACCAGATTGCGCTTGGGATGAGCGACGGAGCGGTCCATGTGATGGAGCCGGAGGCCGACATGAGGTGGGGGGGTCCCCCTTTGCAGGAGAATGGCGGCCTCCCTTCCTTCTCCTCTAATACCCCCTTGAATGGCCAGGCCTCAGACGCTCTCTCCAGGTGACATCCACCCCACTCCCGTCCTAACCACAGTTTAGAAGAAATCTAGGGGAAGAAGCGGTGGTGACTGAAGAGAAGGAAAGGGCCCTTTCATGGGGTCCCTCCCAGATCAGCCTCATTTTTTCTTTCTTTCTTTCTTTCTTTCTTTCTTTCTTCCTTTCCATGCCAACGAGCTTCCTCAGCATTCTCCTTTTAGTTTCTATTCCTTCTTCTCCTCCATACAGAGCCTTTGTTTTTCTTTTCCGTTTCTTGTAGATCTTCTGGGAACAAGATGAAGTCTTTATATAGAAAAGAGAGGGGTCCTATACTAGTGATACTATATATACCTGTCCAGCTGCCCTCTTTTCCTCTTCTCTGTGGTTTTCTGTAAATGGTCCGGGTCTTCTCCGATTCCAAGAACTAGGCAAAGAACGGGCTTTGCTGGCGGGGCCTCGTCCCGCCTTTTCGTGGGCTGACCTTTCCCGGGTCTGACTTCTGGGAGGGAAAGTCCGAGGCTTTTGATAAAGAAAAGGGGGCGCAATCATGTTTTTATCCTATTTGGGGCCGATTCTTCGTTGACGGTGTGGATCCGATCAAGGATTCGGATGATCCAGAATAACCTACAGCCCACGAAAATTTATGTCAATTTAGGTTGCTAATAAAATCCTGAAATGCATAATAGAACGAATTATTTAGTGGGGACAAATGGATAATAGCATCCAAGCTAGCTCTCTATCTCCAAGTGGACGTTGACCCATGAAATAAGTCGATAAGGGTCCGTATGAAGATCCTTAGCATGTGTTCCTTTTTGCTATCTTTATGATAATAACTATTATTATAATTTTATGATTCATATGAAATCATGACAGTAATTAACACGGGGTTTTCAATTTTTTTGCGAGTTTAAAATAAATGTATGAGAAAAACGAAATATTTATAAGTTTGCGCCAAATGATTTTAATTTTTTTTTTCCCTGCATTTGAACCTGTCTGTATGATGTTGCACCCTCTTATGAAGATCATGTGGTTTTTAGCAATGTGAAAGGAAGGGGAGCAGATGGTCAAACAAGCCGGTTTTGAGGGACTTTATGGAAAATGTCCTGGACTCAGGGCTGGGTCCCAACCGGCACAGACTTCCTCCGTCGCGTGGTGATCGTCAGCGGCAGGAGAAAGTCCGCTAAATGCTGCTTTCCGCTGTTTGAATGCTCTTTCTTCGACCGCTTCCTCTGCACCAGGCTCACAGCACCACACTCCTACCATATAAATCAGCGTAGGCCAAGGGTCGGGCTGGCGTTGTGGACCGGTGTATGGAATTTCGTCTCATCATCCCCTCCCTTCACACCTTCCTTCTGTCACGCTTTCCTTGATCCCCTTCTCCTCCTCCTCTTCCTCCTCTTCCTCCTCTGCCGCTGCCTCCTACGGCCGTTGTGATCAGGCTGAGGATTTTCCCATCAGGTTCGTACGCTTCACCGTCTTCGACGTAGGGAGAGCGGTTGTCAATCTCATCGACGAAGATTTTGATTTTGTGCCGCCGGTGCCTGGCTTTGTGACGATGGAGGGAGGTCGCAGATCTCCGCGGACGCCTGCTGCTGGGGATTGTCTTTGGTTCCCGTTCCCCAGATCCCGCTTTTTTCTCTCTTTTCGAATTTGTTTGCGACGTTCAATGCCGATGAGGCCTCAACCAGGTCGACCGGTTATGGATCTGCGATTCCATTCTTCTTACTACTGTACTGATTCTCCGGAATTTTTAGCTAAATTCTTCCGACTAGACATTCATTTCCGTTGGATCCGTTCTCTTCTCTTCTCGCGACTAATTGTTGAAGGTGCTTGAATGTATCATTTCTGTTTTTCTGCGCTGCGCATTGTTTCGAAGAAAGTGAACTTGCTTACATCTTCCAACAATCCGTGTGAGGATGAATCAAGCGATCGATCTGCCTTGCAATCACTCTCCCACATTCCGAGTTTCCTGCCCTAGAATCGTCATCCATGTCCTGCTTCTCTCCCATGATAGGAGCATCGAGATCGCCGCTAAGTAATAGGAGCGCCTCAAGAGCATAAGAATCTAAGTTTTCCGCGACAAATGTTTCAGCCTCTCGCATCGGGTTTCTTTTTCGGAATTTCTGAGTCCTCTCCATCGCCTTTTAACTGGAAATTCTCTGATGAAATCTCATCGGTGTTATTATTTGGACATATTTTCTTCGAAAACGGTAAGCTTCTCTGAAGATTGCGAGGTGGGAAAGGTGGGAAATCTGTGTAGGAAGGAAGAACATCAAGAACATCAAGAACATCTTTTCGTTAATTGCCCACCATCGACAGCAATTGAGAGACGAGGGGGGGTTTCCTCTTTTTGGCATGATCGCAGGCACTTGGATGGCCCCCCCACATGAAGCAAGAACACCCAAGGAACTGGAATTGCCAACAATCAAATAGAAGCCAAGATGGAAACTAAAAAGTTGACAGCAGTTCATCACCCAAGAATACATAAAGTTGGCGACTTTGGGGTCAGTCATGGTTGAGCTGGCTTCCGGGGTCGGCCCAGCTGGCAGATGATGTGTACGCATGCTGCTGACCGGCCGCCAGGTTCACCAGGCCGCTGCTGCCACCGCCGCCGCCATCGGAGAGCTCGCTCGAGGTCCCCTGGGAAGGCGGGCTTGCTGAGGCCGCCACTGTGGCCGGTGGTGGAATTGGGTTTGGCGGTGGCGGCGGCTCTAGCTTCGGCGGTTGGCTGAGCTTCGGCTTCCTTCCTTCGGGGATGAAGCTGGCGACCACAACCTGGTAGAGGAAGAGGAAACTCAGAAAGTGAGACGATCACAAGGAGCTTGTGCCGGCCATGAGAAGAGGGGGTGGGGGGTCATGAAGACCTGCACAGGTGAAGCTGCCACCAGCATTCCGACCACTCCGCCGCCGAGGACCCGGCTGTCAGCGCCGGCCAGAGACACACTCAGACCGCCGGTCCGGGTCCAAGCGCCGCCATCCTCAGCAAGGTGGAAGGAACCCGACAGGGAGAGGATCTCGAACCGACCCTGCAAGACAGCAGATGCTCACCTTGATGAGATAGATAGGTAGAGAGAGAGAGAGAGAGTTTTGAGCGAAGGGGGGTTAAGAGAGAGAAATTGAGGTAATTGCACCGGCCTCGATGGTGACGGTGCCGCCCAGAGTGGCGGGCTGGCGGAGGGTGACGTTGGAGATGGCGCCTATGGCCGACACCACGCAGATGGTTCTTGGGCTCTGCTGTGAGAAGGCCATGATCTTTGATGCCACATCCTGATCAACAAGGCAGTTTGTGGAGAATGATTATGATCATTGATATTATGATTATTTTCCAGCGGACGAAGTCGAGGAATTTTCCATGATATAAATTATTGAAGAACGAATTGAATAAGAAATAAAAATAAAAACGACTAGTACTGAATTTTCTAGCATCAAATTCGAACCTCCCCAGGGTTGACGATGATAACATGCGGAGTGAAGCCGACTCCGGCTGAGCCTGTTTAGCAGACGGAGATTTTTAGAGAGATGGCCAGAGAGATGAGAATGAGAGAAAGCTGACATTTTTAGGAAAAAAAATGCAGGATGAGAGGATACCCAGTGCATCAAGCTGCTTCTTCTTCCCCGACCCGGGCGGGCGGCCGCGCCGTTTTGGCGCCGGCGGTTCTGACGAGTATCCAGAAGCAGCGCCGACGGCGGCGGGGGAGACCAGCGCCAGAGACATGCTGCCGTCGGGGCCGTACTTTCTCGGCCTTCCCCGCTTCTTCTTCACTGGCTCGCTCATGCTCATGGTGAAGCCTCCTCCACCGGGCCGGATCTCGAGCGGCAGCTCACCGGCGTGGTGGGAGTCCGCCGTCGGGACGCCGGCGGCCGTCGGGCTGAAGGACAGGCGCACGCCGTGGATCGTCGCCGCCGGCAAAGGGCTGCTCGGCAGGCCGCCGGCGACCAAGCCGGGGTGATGCTCGGAGGAGCTCATCCTCGGGTCCCCCCTGGCATCCATTCATGAGCCGCGCGTCTGTGATCGAGATGATCGGGAGAAGACGGAATTAGGGTTTATGGATCCACAGAGAAGTTGGATGAAAAGGGGGGGAAAGCTTGGAGGAAATCTCAAAGCTTATAGGGTTTCGAAGAATGGCGTGGAAGGAGCAGAACACGTCATCCTCCAAAAGAGGAGCGAACCATCATCAAAATGCGGGGAGACGAAGAGTGAGCGAGAGGTTAAGGAGCAGGGAGATACAGAGGTCGGAGGGGGAGACGGCGTACCTAGCCGGCGGGAGAGAAGTGGGAGAGAAACCACGACGTAGCCCCGGCAAGAATTAGGGTTTTCGCATCGACGGCGAGGGGAAGAAACTCTCCAAATACCACGAATAGACAGCAACAGGAACCGGAAAGCTCGACAGTCACAGGGAACGAGAGAGAGAGAGAGAGGACAGTTAAATCACTCTCCGGGAGGAACACTCCGCCGCCTTTCCCAGCCAACGGAGAGCCTCGTCTTCTTTATCGAGTGGCTGCTTCACGACCTCTCTCGATCAGCTTTCCATCACAGGGCCGCGTGCACAGGGGTTTTTGTCCACCTGTCACCCACCCTCCCCCGTGTCTCCCCGAATCCAGGAGAGAGAGAGAAGAGAGAGAAAGAAAAGAGAGATGATTCTCATTTCCCTCCGCCTGTCCTGTTTTGAATTCAAAACGGTGGGGGCTGCGGTTTTTGGTGCCTCACGTAAAGCGGCCGGCGGAGGGCGAGTCCAAGAGTTAGAAACCGGCCATTCAACCACAGGGTTTTGACCAGAGGAAGGAGAGAGAGGTGGACTTCTACTAGTCAATGGTCATGGTTCTGGAGAGGAGAGAGGGAGGGAGGACAAAACGGAAGGAGACAAAGACTGATGACCGATGGAGGACTGTCATTATAAAGAGCCGGGCCTCGTTCGGGGCGGGCGTTGACTTTCGCTATCTGGGAGATCCGCGGGCCCCACACCACCATTGAAATACATCTTCGAACGACTATCTCACCAACAGTCGGTGGCTAATCGTCAATTTAGCTAGCTGTCTGTCCCATGATGAGATAGATGGAGAGAGGATTTGGGAGCTAGTCAACCCTGGTGGGCAAACAAGAGAGAGAGAGCAACTCTCTCTATCTTCCTTCCTGTCAGTCAGTTTCTCTCTGTGCAGAAGACCAGGCTGGGGAAGAAACAAGATGTACACAACAAAGTGTGCGAGAAAGATGGAACAAATACCTGCGACTGTAGAGGTAACACTGCGGCTTCTCTCTTCTGTTATGTACAACAAGCTGCGACTCAGCCCCCAAACAGCAAGAAGAGAAAAAGAAGAAAAAACCTGGTAGAAATCAATTGAAGACAGCATGATGAGAGAGAGAGAGAGAGAGAGAGAGAGAGAGATTTTCTATGGCTGGCTCTATACACAGATGAAGGGAAGGGAGTAGACCGATCTTCTGCTGGAGATGAATCAGCCATCGGCAAAGCCGTCAAACAGAAGCAAGGAGGTGCCCACCGGCGGCCGCTTCTCCGGCCGGGGAGCGGCCGCCGGTGGCTTCACCTGCTCCTTGCCGGAGAAGGGAAACGCCAGCGAGAGCGAGAGGGAAGCCGACTCATCGTCGACCTCTTGCCTGCCGTAGTCTGGTGGCCTCGCCTGCCTCTTGCTCCTGCCGGCCGCTGGAAAAGGGAAAGGAAGAATCCCTCTCTTTGGCGGCCTCTTCTCTGCACCGCCCAATGCCAATTCAAGGTTCGGCAATTCATCCTCCTCCAAGGCCGGCGCCGCCACTGTCGGCAGGATCAAGCCACCTGCTCCAGCGGTGCTCAAGGGGAAGAAGTGCCTCTCTGAGCCCCACGAGCTCTCAGGAAACACCCCTGTCAGGCCCGTCGGCAGCTGCTGCCGCCGCTCGTCTTGAAAGCTGCCAAGCAGCGGGTGGATCTTGCTTGAGCCGCCGCCTTGAGCTGCCACTGCCGCTGCCGCCACCTCCCGATGGAGCCTCATCCTCTTCTTGCCCTCTCCTTCCCCATCGAGCGAGGTACGCTCTGTAGTGATCTGCCTCCATGGCGGCACATTGAACGATCCACCAAAAGGGAGTGGAGAGTGGGACCTGGCGCGCTTCTTGTCAGGCGCTGCCGCTGCCAACACCGCATCCCACAGTGGATTCGTTGCTGCCGCCGGCCATCCGGTGTCCTTCACCTTCTCGTCATCTCTGTTTCCCACAGGAGGTGAGAAAGCAGGATGATGGCTTGGCGGGGGCTCGGCGGGCTCATCCTCGACGTCCTGAGATTCCAAGTTCAGATCGGGCGGCCAAGGATTCGACTTGGCCCCGCACTTTGGCCGTGATCCATCCGTAGCTGGATTGTTGTCGCTGCTATTCTGGGCGAACATTGGAGGATCGACGACCGGCGGTCGGTCAGAGCTGGCAATGGCTTCCTCCTGCAGAGAGAGAGAGAGAGAGAGAGGAAGGGAAAAAAAAGGGTTTAACTTTTTCGGGAATCATTCACCATTAGAACAAGGAAAGAGAGAGAGAGCATTGCCAAAAATAGCCCCGAATGCTTTGGATCACATAATGTATCTTGGTGGGAAGTCACGAATGGAACCCAAGAAATCAGAAAATATATAGTCTATAGTAGGTACATATAGATCAGGATAAATCCGCAGCGAAGAAAATTTGTTCTACACGAGACTAATTGGTCATGATGGGTGGTGAAGATTCCAAAGGAAAGCCCCACCCAGAGTTGCAAGTACCCATCCAACCTCTACATGGAAATAGTAAAACTAAGAAGACGCTGCCCAGCAAGAGCACCCCTGAACCCTGAACATCATGCATGCAAATTAACACACAAACCCCAGGATCTTGTTCTAATCATCGCAAGAGCTAGATTGATTTCAAATGCCTTTAGAGAAAAATAAGCTAGTTGCATTAATTAAACAGAGGAATTGCCATGAATAAAAGGTAAACGAAGCAAATACTACCTGGGAAGCGCCGTTTCTACTCTTGATTTCCAAGCATGGCTGTGCACCGCCACGATCCTTGATCCTTGAGTCAGGGGAGGCGCCCTGCAATCCGATCTCTCCGCTCTTACATGTTGAGGAATCGATCGCAGCAGTCGCATGAGATGGGTTCTTGTCAGGTTGAACAAGCACACAGTCTGTTGCTCCCGGACTGGAAGTTCTCTGAGCCGGAGATTCATTATCTACATGGGATGCCTTCCTCTCAGCTCCTAGCATCGCCACAGCTTCGGCGTTGACCAATAGGCCCTTTGTGGGTATCCCCTTGGGCTCCCTCTTCAATGAAGGGATTTCAGTCACAGGCTGAGTGGGCAACTCCTGGGGGGGGCTCTCCAAGTCGAGGTCGGCTATGGCGGGTTTACTCTCAATAACAGATCGAGTTTCTGGGCAATTCGGCCTCCTTTCTCTGAAGACACCCCAGAGGAAAAACAGTCGGTTCCAGCCTGAAAAGATCAGAGATGAGTTCATCGAATTAAACATAGTTTTCAAGACAGCACTAAGAGAACGCACTTGTGCGCCTGGGCAAGCGGGCCCAAAAGAGCCCTGCTCTAGAAACCGTGGCCATGTATGTAGTCGCCTTGTGATATTGATGCGATATATTTCCTAAAACAGACTTGGAGTTCCTATGTTGAATGGCAGCATTGAAGATGCAACCTCATTGAGATTATGAGCTTATGAAGTAGATTGACAGAACGAGAAGAAGATTGTGCCGTGAACTGCTGATGCGAAATTCCTATTTAGGATATCACGAGCATTTTTCTCAACAGAGGGAACGCCTGGTATGGTCTGGAACTTGATCCTTTTAAGTATTCTTTAGGAACTAGTGACATGATTCTTGATGCACTTCATGAAGGGATGGATAACCTGAGGGTAAACTGGCATGCCATACTTAAGTCAAAAGAACGTATTGATTATATATAGACAAACCATAGCTTTCATTAAAATCTGTGGTAAAAGTGGGTTCGGCCACACTAATCATCTGATGAATTGTCACTGCCTTTGCCCCCCTGGGCAGCATCGATAACAACGTTACAAACAGAAAATCAAGGAAACATTATGCATGATTGGTGACAATATCTTCCCCATGTATCTGCATCTGGATTGTAGATCACAAGAGGGAAGGTGTGCATTTAATGACACTATTTGATTGAACAGCCCTCTGATTTCCATCTGACTGGCTAGGCATGAAAGAATTAGATTAATCAGAAGATAACATATAGTGAGAGGAAAGCAGAACTAATACAAATAAAATATGAACAAAACATTAAAGGGTAAAAACGTAATCTGGAGACTCATATCATTAGCATACATGCAAGGAAGTACATCATTTAAAAATTATCCGGATAACTATGGAACGAAGGAAGCCTGAGCATGCATGCTATAGTATTGAAAAAAAATGCATTTACGTCGGACTACAGTTCTTACGCTGTGATTTCTCCGGTAGATTGGTTGAAGGGAATATAAGGAGCTCAATTCCATCAAAGTTTCCTTTCAGAGCTAAGTCATTCTTGATCATGGTCTCCAATAATTTTCTGTAGCCTTTTTCATAGCTGTATCACGGAAAAATATTAGTATGTTTGAAAGATATATACCACTTGATGACTAGATGGTGACTCTTCAGGAAAAAAAGTTTCAAACAGGCAGACCTTTTCACATCTTTAGCAAAGAAAAACAGGGCTATGTTTTCTTCTGTAGGACCTTCCTCCTGAAACTGCAATGGCCAAGAACTCAGCCTAGTGACTTCCTCCAACTGGACTTTCTCAGGAAACTTAGTTACTACTTCAGGGACTTTAGGGGCCGCACGGGTTGACAAATGCGCCTGGAACCCATCACATATTTCGGGAAGTCTTCCAGATCTTTTCAGATCAAAGCTTCCTCTGCAAGAACAAATGATACAATGAGCATTTATTTTTAATCAAGAACTAGAAAGCAGAATGTCGTATGACAGGTCTTGTTTTTGGAGGTTAGGGGAAGGGGGAACATTAAAAAACAATCGCAGAAAAGACATACTGCCATATATATTCGTGCTCCGGAAGGACTGAAATTCTAAAAGGATCCAAAATTAAATTCTGATGCCCAGGCAGAATCTGCATGAGAGGTTTTGCTTTTAAATCCTCTACTTGTGTAGAAAAGGAATCTGATTCATCATCTCTATTGGTACATGCGGTTGCCATCTGTGGATCAGGCTGTTTGACATCATTAATAGGTGTCTTGCTTACATCAGCAGCAGGGCCTCTTGAACTATTTTGCTTACTAGCCAGGCCTTCAGGGGTAGAGAGATCTTTTACACAACTAAAAGAAGTTGATGTAAGGCTTTGGGAAACAATCTCAGAACCCAAATCATTGCTTGAAATGTCCTCTGATCGATCTGGCAGGCTCTTTTGCCCCCTGCCCTTTGAGATAGCAATGTCAACAGCATCCTTCCACTTATTGCCTTTAGTAACTGCTTCTCTTGAGCTTCGCTCTGCAGAAGGTTTCAATGCAGAAACTCGAATTTTGTCAATTGAGCAGAATTGTGTAGAATGACCTGCCTCATTACATCTTTGGCAACGCAATATCCGTTTAGAAGATGGAGCTAATGGCCGTGAACTGCCAAATGTGGAAGAATCCTTGATTTTCTCGTCACGGTTACAAGAATAAGATGACGTATGCTGTGGGAGTGTGTTAACATCACCAACGGGCCCAACATGTGCATCTTCCTTCGTGACTACCTGGGTTGCCCCGTCATCAGCCAAATTGCATGCTACATTAGCAGGTGGATTACCAAAAATTTTCGATGATGTCTGCTTCTTCAATTCTTTCAGTCCTGCATGGGCTGGAAAATAAAAATGTTAATAAAAAAAAAACAAAGCGAGCAACAGGAGCTGGAGACAATGAAAGATGAAGAGGACTTTCACCTTTATCATATGTATTTTCTGAACCTACATTTGAATGCGAAGTGCTCTGTTCTGATACACTACTCACTTTCCCATCACTTTGTATAGCTTTTGAGTCTGTCTTTGAAAGAGAGACACTTGGAATGGAAGCTACTGGTGCACTCGGCAAGTTTCGGTTTAGCACAAGAGAATTCTTCCTTTCCATAGTTCTCTCTTTATTTTGCCTCTGGTTCCTGGACTCCTCAGGTCGATGAAAGACTACAGATTGGGATTTACTCGTTGATTCAGAGAGACCAGGGCTTATGTTTTTAAGAGATACGGATTTGCCAAGTGTTCTCATAAAACCTTCTTTTATATCACCTGAAGCAGATTCCTTAATCACTTGTGGCTTTTGAGGAACATTTTCTATTACCTGCTTGACTTTTGGTTTCAGACCGGTAAAAGATCCGGACCTAGAGAGTAACCCTGTAAAAAAATGCAAATTGAGGTTGTGTAAGCTTCTCATTCCCTCAAATGGCTAACGAAAAAGTCATAGCATCAAAATAAAGAAACTCAGTCAACACTTACCCCGAGAAGGTTGAATCTGTCCTTGGATCTTTGGTGAGTTGGCAACAGGAGCAAGTGAGCGGGAAATAGCAGGACTACTGGAAGACTGACTCACAGAAGGTAGTGTCAAATTACCTTGTTTTACTTTTCCAGCATCCAGGCTCTTAGATGAACTCTCACGTGACAACATGGACTTCCTGCTGGGACTCGCTGTCATGGAGGAGATCCCGCTCGTGTCAGGTACTTTACTACTTGTAAGTAAAGTAACATCAGCTTTTCCTAACGACCTTTTCATAGAGATCTCTGAACTTTTAAGCCCTATAATAGGCAATGGTGCCTCTGCATCAGTGGCACTGACATCCAGCTTTGGTAAAGCTTTAGGACTAAAACTGGACCCAACTTTCTGAATTTTTTCAGCTGAGCGCGGTTCCTTCAAAGTTGCCAACAAAATTTCAGATTTCTCCACTTTAAATGTTGCCATGTCCTTTATCGTGCACTCCTCACAAAGCCAATTTCCTTCTGGAAGTTTTCCCAACATTACTCGCATGCAATAGCTGTTTACAAATAACCAGAAGAATTGCCATATCAGATAGGTACACAAGTCCAAAGTAACCAAACAAAAAACGAAACAAGAAACTAAGAAAAAATGGTTCATCAAATGTGTTCTGCTCACGTGTGTTCTGCTCCGTCACTGCACCTACTGCAAATGGCGAGCAAATCCTCACGACCAGCATCACCGCATATATCACATACTTTTACCTGTAAAAGATGGCACGCTAATCCATCAGATGGTGCAGGAAAAATTGAACTTACACTGGATACAAAAAAGGAATTACTATAGACAAGAAAGAATGCAAAGGTGAACGAAGACAGAGACATCATCATCATTAGAAAGCTAACACAAGAAAACCCAAGAGTAGGAAACTAGAGCTTATACCGATATGTCTAGAGAAGGTCGCATAGTTGAATGACTAACACTGTAATTGTCTAAATGATTCAACATTTGTTACGGGAAATAATTTTTTTTACTTTTAAAAATCTACTTTAAGCTAGAAATAGTACACACACATGATCTACAACATGGAAACTTGGGAACCAAAGAAAAGCATACAAATCTTCATGCACGCATAAAAATTAACACATATATATTTCTTTATGAATGTATTTATAATTTTGTCGGAGAGAGTGAAAGATATCAAACACAATCTCATTTGAGAAGTGTATATCTCCTATATTACACAGTAATATGGACCAAGAATTTTTTGTAAAAATTGAAACACAAACTTCCAGAAATAGTATACAATTTCCCATGTCACACAACAACGAATGTTCTCCGTGTGGAAGCCATGAATAACCTTCCTCGTCTAAGATGCATAATCTAGTCACACAACTAAGCATGGGCACCGTTTGTGTTATCAAAGGATCAAGCACTACACTCATTGTTCAAATTTCTGAGGAATATAAATAAAAAAAATGAAGCGTTGGAGTGAAAAGCATTATCTGGTGAAGTAAGGATTAAAAAATATGAAAAACTACAAGGCAGCATTCTGAATATCCAGGGTGAAAACAAAGGGATTTTTTTTTAGACCTATAGCATTTGTGTTTAACGTATTTAACAACATCTTTTTATTATGCTCATGTAGAAAAGGCTATGTAATTTTTTTTTTCCAGTAAATGTGGAGCTACAAATGGATTAAGATAAAATCTACTGCACAACCAGAAAATTAAAAACTCAACAAAATAGTCCAAGTTCATAAAATGCACTCTTCCCCCAAAAGCCTTCTATGATAAAAATACAGGAGAAACGAACTGACTACCACACGCCTGTGCAGTACTCTCACGGGCTCCGGATGCACTCAACTTTAATGAAGGCCTCAGCCAGTCAATCAGCATAAACGCAAGAAACAATAATGTGCAGAAAGTATGCAAGATATGCAACAACTATTATTCTTCCAAAGGGGGAAAAAGGTAAAAACAATGAAACCCGTAAAGGGCAAATCACTCCTCCCTACAGTGATTGACAATCAACCTTAGCAAACAAAAGACAGAAAGCAACAAACGCTAAAATCCTACCAACTTTCTTGCCTGACAAGTAGTAATCAACTTCGTCTGAATTACCAGGCATAGGAGGCGTCATAATCCTCAATGTTTGCCGCAGAAGTTGGGATTGAATTCGAACTGAAATAGAGGTCGAAAGATAATCCCAAGTAACACAATTGTACTCTTTACGTGGATTGATTCATTCTACACCTTGCCTCCTTGCAGGGGAAGAAAGAGAGGGAGAGGGATGGGAGAGGGGAGGATGAGGCTTAAAAGGAACAATGGAAGAGACAGTTGGACGTTGGCCCAAGCAACTCTTTCTCACATTTCCATTTAAGAAAGTGCAACCATGAAGAAAACTGTAGGATCAGTTCAAAATATGACATTTGAAGGTGAGAGTATTCTGTGCTTGGTAATTTAGAATGTAATTGACAATGCACCCACCCCACCTAGGTATGAAGATATAATACAACGTGTGAAACACTGGAGTATTTGGAACACCAAAAGCGAGTTCATGGTGCTATTTTGACAACCTTGATGATCTTGGACAGGAACACATTCTCACAATCCAAAATATTATGTTACGGATCAAAAGCAAATCTCTAGGAAGTCTTCTCAATGTATCCTCTTCATTCTCGGCAAAAATTAAATGGTGCCATTAGGCAACACTTCAATTATACTTGGCAGCGAGACAGGCACCTAATTTCAAATGGTTGACTTCCCAGCAGTGAGCAGATGAGCAGTCTCTAGGCCTAACATATGACTAGTTTTCACTTCCAATGATAATCAACGGTCAATCAAAAGTTTGGATGCTGGTAAAACCTTTTCCGCTTCGTAACTCCTTCCAAAAACGCAAAATTGCAGAGGATGGTACACACCTCTACGAAATTAGTCCTAAAATAGGGCACATTATGGATGTTGGTAAGCCCCTTCAATCTTTCCTGTCCTTTTCAACCAAGCAAATTACAGACGAAGGTCAGATGTTTACCTATTCAAAAGAAATGGGTTTTATTTTATCTGTCTAATATGCACACACACAAAAATTCGCATGCATATCTACATTCTGAAACAGAGTCACACAAAAAATAGCAAATAGAATTGAAAGCGTGGAAATAGGATCCTCAAAACGACACCTCAGCTGCAAGAAGCGAGGAAATCTGCAAAAGCCAAAAACCTTTAAGACGCAAATGATCAGTATGCCTAATTTTACACCATAGCTCCTGATTCTGGACGATTCAGAACTCAGTAACCAATGCAAATTTAAAAATCATAATTTAGAATATTCAGTTGAATTAACTTTACAGATCTGTTTGATTTAGCTGAAGATGGGATTAATTCTCGTAGCAAATGTATGAAGTGTTAATTGAACAGAGATAGCACAACACTACAAATCCCAGGAATTTTCAAATTCGTTTGCCTCAAGCATGAAGCTTCAGAAGAGTTTATAAATCGGATGGCTCTTTAGACCATCTTCTTCCTCACTGCTTCAAATTCAGTGGCGATTCAAAAGTTATTAAAGATATCTAGGCATCTACAAACAATTGAGAATATCAAATAATGACATCATAAAATAGAATAAGGGAAAACACTTACGTCATCCTCCAAAATGTCTGGAACAGGATAATCATCCTCTAATTTCAGCTCAGGAATTGGCTGAGGCTCCTGGGAATTAGATGTGCCCACTGATGAAATGGATTTTCCAAGTTCCTCGTTTGACATGCCATGCTCCCCAGTTTTTGATTCTGAGAATTGACCAGAGGCCCTTGGAGAAGATGCATGAACTGTCATGTCATTATCTTTACTAATCTCATAGTTTGTATTAACACTACCCTTAGAAAATCTGTCACACTTCTGCTCATCCATATCAACGGCTGTCACTTGTTCTCTTACACAAGGTTCAACAGGATCCACAAAGCTTTCAAGAGGTTCTCCTTGAAGATGAGAGATCGAACTTTCTTTCTTATCCTTCAAACCAGCATCACTATGGAAAGAACTTTCAATTCCAGAACTTGGATGAAGACAATGTTCTCTTGGAGAAGGATTACTATTCAAAGAACGGGAATCTGACGGGTTGTGAGGAGATCCAAGATTCAAGGAATTCGAACTAGCACTCTTCATCTGTGAAGATTCTTTAGCCAATTTATCGGATTTCCACAGGTCACTATGGAGTTCCACTATATCACCATCGACAGCTTGGGCAAGGGAAGACATTTTAAAACCCCCACTATGTAAAGCACTTGTTGAAGTGCAAGGCATGTCTTCCCTGCCCATATTTTTATGGAGATCATTTGCTGCAATGTTTCTATCTATACGGCTAGTCACACATGAGATATTGTCTCCATGACATTCTAATCCATTAGGTCCTTCTTCAGGATTTGAGAATGTTTTCGGAAGCATGCTGGAGTCTACGGGTTTACGTGAAGATGGCGAGCTAGCACTGTTCTCTGCCACAAGCTGGTTTTCTTCATCGGTTTCAAAAGGTGACACTTTCAATGGCATGTCAACACCTTCAGATGCATCATGCAGATCAGTATTCTTCCCAATAGCTTTTCTTTCAGCATTTTCAGAAAATGAATCATGACTGAAATTAGAGATAAATATCTTACTTGTTTCACTAGCTGCGTGCATTCGATCATCACATTGTTTGCTCTTGTAAACTGGAGTCTCAGCATCACTGAATGAACAGTTGTCTGCCTCCTTTCCTGCACAGCTGTTCTCCGAATAGCCACCCTCAGCTTTGGACTCCATATATGAAGTTGCTTGATTAAAGTGCATACAAGAGGAACATGGAGCAGCACAAACATTACATGTCCCAGATCCTTTCATATGAATGTCCTTTCTTAAATGACGGTTCACAAATCCTTTCTCCTTTGGCAAGAAAATCTATAAAAGAAAAACCCACATTTAGTACAGAAAAATGATCCATCAGAATAAAAAAGTTCAAACTCACAGTGAATGCACAAACAAAGGTAACAGTCTAATTGATGCATTAAACCCTGGAAATCCTTTATCAATGAGGTATTCCTTAAAGACTAAAGTTCACCAAGAAACTTTCCACGCAGAAATATTGAAACCAACTCGAATGCTTTCATATGAACTTTCTCGTTAACATAATCCTTCCCAAATGCTTTGTTGATCAATGTGGCTGACTCAAACAAGGCCGTATTTGTCACATATAGTTGATGCATCAGAATTGCTAAAATGGATGTGCTTGACGACTTCTGTAAAATGGATGGGATAGCAAATGCACAAACAAATTGAACAGCTTGATAGTTTGGTCTAACCAAGTAAACTCTTTAGCAATCGAGGTCTGGATCTTTAATCTGTAATATAAGCAACAAACAATCATTACAATCAACACACAAATAGACAGATCACTCACATAAAAAAAAAAATAGAAAAAGAAATATTTTGAGCCACTTCCTGAGATACTCCTGTGATTAGTCTCGTAGAGGAATGACAAAATGGCAAACAAAGGCAAGTTCAAATAATAGTAGAATCGCAGTTAATAGCAAGAAACTAATTTTACAAATCTGAAAGTGGCCACATGAGATAATCCTTTGATCCGAAAGATAGACCAAACAACCACAAAACTGTTCATGCATGACCTGGGCTTGGCTTACCAAATTTTTCCCTGTATCACGCTCCACATCGATAACAGGTCCTTGAATGTGGTAGATCCCTTTCAGAACTGGAGTAATCTACAAGGGAAACACATAAATTACTCTGTATCAAAAGGGAAAGTCATACTGAAAAATAGACATCGTAACATAGGAGCTTAGGACTGAGATTCATATGGGAAAATCTAGTGTGAATCGCTCGTTCCTTCACTCGTCGTCAAACACCGGCACCTATTAGTTCCTTGTCGAAGTTAAAAAGAAAGCACCAAATCCTGACAGGTAAAGCGTAGCTACGGGCATCTAGAAGGCGTTCCCGTAAAGGGAGTGGCAACCAGATCCCAACCATTAGAACATGTTGGAATAAAAATAATTGATGAACACATGAAAACCCATCTAACAAAATCGACTGGGGCACAGATTAAGAAAAGCGGGAAAATCGGCATATTTACGTGCCTTTGGTTCCGATATCTGCAGGGTGATCTCATAGAGCTCCTTCAGAGTCCTCACCCTCTCCTTCATCACCATCCGCCGATGAGCAGACCACTCAGGGCGATCGGGGGGGATTCAACACCCCGACGATAACTAATTGCGATGGAATGAGAAAGGAGTAAATAAAACGGGGGAGACCCAGCGGTGCGGCTCACCACGTGGACGCCCCCAATCCCTAACCAGGCAGTCGGAGCAGGCTGGGAGTTGATAAGACGGAGGGGAGGATTATGCGGCGGGGCTCCTACACCTTGCGCCTGATGCGCTATCGTATGCCGAGATCGGCAGGATCTGCGCCAGAGGAAAGGAAGATCGAGGAACCCGAACGCTTGACTGGGACCCCTCAAGAACTCGTCGCCGCTCGGCCGACGCTGCAACCGGAAGAGAACTGCAGCAGTTGCTTCTCCCTTACGTTGTTGCCGCCCTGGTGGGAGCTGTTCCCCATCCCCCTCTATTCCTCCTGCTGTGGTCCAGAGCATCCATCGCGAACAGAGAGGATTTCTGTGGAGCAAAGCATGTGTGGAGAGGTAGACTCGTCTCCCTCTCCCTCTCTCTCTCCCTCCCCCTTGTAAGTCGATTTGATCAGGAAATAAGTTGATTTCTGTTTGCTTATACGCCCTCTTGTACGATTTAAATAGAGGTTACGGGTTGGACGGTGACCTTACCTTGACCTCCCCATCAACGCCCTGATTACAGGCCGCGAACTCCACGAAGAGAAAGGGATAACGCGGGTGACAGGCAGATAACCTCACCATCTCATTTACCACTCCCAGGGAGAAAGCTGGTTTTATTAATTGCCGGACCCCCCCCCCCCCCCCATCCCCCACCCGGGTACTTCATCGACGGATTCCCCCCGCCGGGACGTCCATCGTTTGTGCTCACCGCAGGTAACCCGACTCCAAGGATCCCACCTGTGCCAGTCGATCACCCACACGTTGGAGATGTGAGGACTAATGCCACGTGTAGAAAATCCGTCGACGGAGCGCGAACAGGGGTGTACGGTCGTGACGGTAGTGAAAGCTCATGCGATGCGTTTTCCTCATGCGTGGGGGAGACGTACATCCGGAACCGTTGAGGGGTATTGCGGGAATTTCCGACGGGCCATTTACGCAACTTCCTTGTCCTCACCTGCGGGTGTTGTGATTAACGCCGTCTTAATGGGTCGGTAAACCCAAATATCTATCATCCCTGTTTGGGCCATACTGGGCCTCCACAGAGTGAGGCCCAAAGACATGATAAACCTATAACGCCGTAAATCTCTCTCTCTCTCTCTCTCTCTCTCTCTCGTGGAGGTATAAATCGAGGGACAAGCTTAGCTTAGTTCTCCATGCCATGTGTCTAGATTAGAGCTCATTTTTTAAGTGTTTTGCTGATCATTAGAAAAGTTAAATCCCAAATTTAGTTGGGAATTCACTCAAACCTGAAAATTTAGGACTTTGTTTACAGCACAGAACAGCCCAATGAAAATACTACGACCTCAAAGTGAGGGCAGATAGGCCTCCCTAGACTGGTGCAAATGGAGTTTTACATTGCTACTCCATTGATTATCATTTAAAAGTGTATTCTAAGAAAATTTTCACATTGGACTTTTTTGCTTTAATGAGAAAAAAATCCATATAACAATGGCGTATGGGTTCCATGGCACTTTTCCAAGGCACAAATGTTACACACAAAATTGAGGCACTTGTAAGGGGTGAAGGGCTTTCATTTCCACAAGAAACTCATCACAATCACATTCAAAATTTCTTTGCCTATTGACAACTCTGATATGTTTATACATAAAGTCCTTAGAAAATGATATTTAGATCATTATGCCTAGAGGGATGTATTTTATTAAAAGAATGTGATTTTAAAAGTTTTGAAGTAAGGAATACCAAGATTGGTTGCCTTCTCACATGAAAATAGAGCATGTAAAAAAGGGGGAAAAGGTTTCAAATCATCGGGCTTGTAGCATTTCTTGCATCTTTTGGAATTCTTGGCTTTGTAGACATGTATGTCAAACAAGACTAATTCTAAATTCTTGGGCTTCTCCCTCTAAAATGAGCTAAATTTTTGAAAATATAATGAGTGAGTATTTCTTTGTTTGAACTATTCTTTTAAGGACACTAGATTGGAGATCATGAAGATAAACTAAATGACAATCTTTAACCTGAATTTTGAACAAGAAAATATCAAGAAGAGAAAAGGGGAGGGGGGAGGGGAGATGGCTTCAAGCCACCCCAACCTCTTTCCTTTTCTCTTACTCCCTCTTTTTACTCATAGTCATTTCCCTTACAAGTGACTTAGGTCATTGCTTCTTATATTGAGCTAGCCTTTGGTCTTCCTACAATTATAAGTCAGGCATAGGGGGTTGGCACTACCCCCCACTACTTTTAACACTTTGTCCCCAAGGTGTAGGCTGGGAAAAAGACATTGAATATATTGGCTCTACTCCCAAGTGGCTTCAAATAAGGAAAGGTCCTTCCATTGTACGAGAATTTTTGATCCCCACATAGTTTACATTGGTGAAAGTGCTTGACCTTTTTGTTGTGCACCAAATGCCTTCTTGACTTGCGAACATAAAACATATTGTAAAATTTGTATGTTAAAGGAAGTTGGAGGTAATAAGCCACATTCTCAATATATTGTGATCTCTTATGGATTAGAATGATGTGGGCCAAGTTTTTCATTGTGGTCCCTAGCCAAAAACTTCATGCATTATGGCTAGAGTTTGATATAGACTTACTTGCCTACCATATATTCCACCTCTTGTCAGTGTTTATCAACATAGTCTTTTATTTAAGCTTGAACTTGAAATAAGTGCACCTTTAAGGTATTTAACATTGCGTCCTAATTTATCAATTGTTGTTCCACTACTAATAACATAGTGGGTTGAGATTTAAAGGTTAAGATAGGAGGCAAATCTCTTTCGTATGGAACCCAAAAAGGTGTAGCCTAGAGTGACTAGTGGAAGGAGGTGTTATAATATAACTTGGCCCATTGTACCGACATTCTCCACTAATTTGTCTTGCTAGAAGTAAAGCAATGTATATAAGCCTCTAGACACTTGTTTACTTTTTTATTTGTTCATTGGTATCTAGGTGGAATTTGGTAGTTTTTTTGAGTTTAGTGCCCTAAAATGGATGAACTTCACATTAGAATTCTCTAAGAAAAACTTTGTCATGCTTTGATGTGATGGTCTTAAAGATTTCATGCAAACAAATGATGTCTAGAGCTGAGAATGGGTGATGACTGAAAAAAAAGAACATATTTGGTTAGCCAATCCATCACCACAAATATAATATTTTTATCTTGAAAGGTAGGTAGTATTTTTATAAAGTCAATGAATATCTCATATCTAACCTTGTCTATATAGTGGTTACAAGAGTTCTACTAACATTAGAGAGTCAATTGTTAGTTAGAACAAATTAGATAATTTGTAACAAACTCTTATATTAACTTCTTCATTATTAGTTTAAATAATTCCTTGGTAACTCTTTTGTAAGAACTCTAAAAATTTAGAGTGTCTTTCTATTACCATGTCAGTCTATTCTTCTAAAAGTGTAAGGATAGGTATAGAAGCCAACATAGTAACCACTGTCTTTATAACATAGTAACTTTGGACCAAGGAGTAATAAGACTGAATTAATGAGAGGGGTATGTCAACACCATTACTTATAGGTCTTGAGTAGAAGCTATTTTTGATTAGGCATCCACCATAATAGTGGTCAATTCTTTTTTGTATTTGATTTCAATCAATCTAAAAATCAATTTTTGATATTGTGACGACATCTATTTTGTTATAGTAGGAAATTCAAGCGATATTGATCTATATAGATGATAAATTATTATCTAATTAAGTAATGGCACAACTTTTGGATTACCAACGCTATGGTCATTAATTCCCTCTTATATATGGGTTTGGCATGATTCATCAAAGATAACACCTGACTAAAATAAGTACTACCTCTCTTTTGGTGTATTAATACTAGTCTAATTTCCTACTACAATGTATGTCTCCAACTCAAAGGGTTTTAATTTTTTTGATAATATTAGTACTAGTGTTGAGCTTCTAACAGTCTTGAGGTATTGAAAGGCCTCTTCTATTGTATTGGTTCATATAAATCTATCTTTCTTGAGTAGTTGATGTAGTGGTCAAAAGATGTTGGCATATTGGTGATAAACTTATGTTAATATCTTGTTCGGTCAAGGAATTTACGTAATGCCTTAGGAGGTAGGCATCCTCTACTCTCTCATCATTAATACTCTATTTTTGTTAGCTTTCACCACTTGTGCTGAGACCCAATGTCCTAAGAATTTAATTTTTTGATGGTTGAATGAGCTCTTCTTATAATTTAAGTTGAGCTAGTTTGACTACAATAATGAGAAAATCTTCTCCAAGTGGAGATCTGCCTCAATCATGCTATAAACTAGATGTCATCAAAAAATATTAAGATGATTTTGCAAAGATGTGGATGAAGTACCTGATTTAGTAGGGTCTGAAATGTGACTAATATATTCTTCAATAAAAAAGGCATCACCATGAATTCATAGTGCACTTCATGGGTTATGAATGTTGTCTTAAAAAAAATCTTCTAATCTTATTCGAATTTGATAATAACCTAATTGTAAGTCGAGCTTGGAGAAGATTGTAATCTTATATAATTCATCTAAGAGCTCATTTATGTTCTTTATGGAGAAATAGTTGATAACCTAATTAAGTGTTTTATAATTTATACATAATCATAACTTTCGTCTTTTTTTTAATAAGTAGAGTTGAGCTTGAGAATAAATTAATTGAAGGATGGATGACATAGTATATATCATCTTCTTTATTAATTTCTCCAATGTATCTTTTTGTGAATGAGGGTACCAAAAGAGATGGATGCTAAGAAGTTTTGTTCCTAGCTTGAGCTATAAGGCATGGTCTAACAAGTGTTGTGGTGGTGTTTTTTGTAGTGGTTTCAAGACAATTAGATAAGTCAACACCTCTTGAGAGTATATCAAATGCGATAAAGTGCCATCACTTACTACATAGAATTGGAGATATAGCTCGCTAAGACATACTCTACCTCTATTTAGCATATTTTTATCAAGTGACAACCACTAGAGATCAATAAAGTCATCATTTTTTCACTCCGCTAGATGTTAGTCATCGAAAATGATTTGTTGACTCACTTCATTGATTTCTAAACTTTGTAAGAAGATTTAAAGATTACGCGCATCATCCTTGTCCAATGAGAGCTTTTAAGGTTGTAGACATTGCATGATAATCCTTTCGAACATAGAATTATAATAATTGTTATTGCAAGGCCAAAACTATATCTATCTAGGTGTAAACTTAATTTCTATTTAATTTAGTGATAACTTGTGTGATTTCAAGTTTCAAAAATATTATTAAGTCAAATATGATTATTATAGCTTTTATAAATCTTAATTTGATCAATTAAATTATTTATAATTACTTATGTAAGAATCGGTGGATAGAACTCTATTTTTATCTAATTCACGCTTATCAAGTCAGTGACGTCATTTTGTCATCCGTGCCCTTATTTTCCTTTTTCATAAATTTTAAATATATTTTATCTTTATTATTTAGTCTAAAAATTATAAAAAATTATATTCTTTAAAAAAAATTATGAAATCAATATTATATTACATCTCTATGATCGACCTAGAAATTTTTCACTATTTTTAGAATCTCTTATCTAATTATAATTAAATTAATTATTCTAAAATAATTTTAAAATCTAAAAAATTAATATTTTATAAATTTCAAATTTACATAATTTATTATATAATGATTAAGTCACGTCATCATCACTCTCATCTTTAGCATGCTAAGGGTAGATACACCTAGTGTGACTCTATGAAGAGAGACCTTTACCTACAATAGAGATATTGTCTTAGTTGTTCCACTAGGAGCTTCCTCCACTAGTTCTCTACTTATTTGATTAGAAGTGTCATTAATATTATCTTCATGTACTACTAGCAATTAAAGTATCTATTTGTAGTGATTGACTAATTAAATTTCCTGTCATAGTGAAACCTAAGTCTTTTTGCCTTGCAATATGATAATTCTAGTGAGCTACAATCACTTCTTGTTGCTACTATCATTACCTTAACCCTTGGGTGTGTTGTGATTGAGGAAATGGTGGTCATATAATGAATATTTTTGTTGAGTGATTTTAGTTTGTTGGCTTGTTGATTAGTCAATCTTCTAACCTTCCTACTTGGGTGGTGCAAGTTAGAGTGATTTACTAGGTCAAGACATTCACATAGCCTTAGAGTAGTGATTAACTAAATTAGAGCTGTCGTTAGGCCTCAATCTACTCAATCAAAATATAGACATAGATTCATGATTAAATGTTGATTCACCAAAATAAATGTAGACAAGATGAGTTAGGTCATCTCCTCAGTGAATTAGGATGTAAATTTATCAATTATTGATTAGAGATGACAAAGATTTGAATGTGGGAAAACAAGAGGAAGAAACTTGAGCTTGTGGTTACAAATGATAGATGATGAGAAATAAGAGATGATGGAATGGGAGATGATTACACAATCTCAAGGATTATGTAATATGAACGAACCCAATAAAGCTAAATCTTATCTATAACATCCAAATCATAAGTTTCCATAGAGCCAACCTGATTATCACCACGTCTCAATCCTTAGTTCCACCAAGAGGAGGCGATCATTGCTAGCCATGGGAGGGAATCTCATTTAGGGCAAAGAATTTGATGATCAATAGATGAACTCACCTCTTAAGCATGAGATGAGGAGCTTGGGACCCTTCAAACCCTTATGGGACAGTTGTTGCTTGAAGTTCCATTCCATGAAAGCTAACCACGAAATTCGTAATTACATGTTTAAATAGGGCGGCTGCTCTCTCTCCTTCCCTCTCTCTCACTTACAAGAGATTAGGTTAAGAGATCCAACGGCTGTCACCCTTTAACCTAAAAATAAACCATTGGAGCTTCACGCCTCCAATAATAAGTCTTGGCCCTTGGATGGAGATTAGGTCGTCAATCTTTTAATCTCCTCCCTTGGATCACTTCTCCTCCTTATGGTGTGTTTCTCTTTAAGTTTTAATCTCCACCATTGGATGAGTGCTACTCCTTAAGTAAAAATAGGCGGTGGATCTTCTTTCACTTATGAATGCCCTTTTTAAGTGATTATGGGCCAAAGGTTCACAACTCCTTTTAGGCCCATAACCACTCTTCTGGACTCATGGATGTCCTCAATCACCTAGTGGCTTGTTAAAGCATAACCTCAACACAAAACATTAGGCAGCAAGATTGATTGCCAATCTTGTTACATGATATAAATCAAATCTTCTAAGAAAGACATAAACCAACACAAATAAAGAGAAATTTATCAAAGGTATATAAATATCTATGTATTGTAATATTGTAGTAATATCGTGATGATCTATGTTTTCCTATCCTAAATGAGTCCTACTTGATGCAGTAATCTATGTTTATACATGGTTAATGATGCCTTATAAAGTAAGAGACATTTTTTTACTATTTGTGATAAGTCCAACATTTCCTTCAATCTAGTGATCTTGAATATCTTGATCTCTGCAACTATCACATTCAAGTCATTGAGCATAATGACTTGTAGAACAAGGGGTGCTAATTATGGAAGGAATATGACAATTATTTTAAACTCATAACGAAATTCAATCACAATGCCTTATGCTTAAGGTTGAAGAGTTTCTAGTACAAGTCATGGGTGTGACTTAATCATTGTATAATAAATCACACAAATTTAAAATTTATAAAACTAGAAAAAACTAATTTTTAGATTTTTAAAAATATTTTATAAAAAATAAATTAATTATAATTTGATAAAATATTCTAAAAATAGTGGGTAATTTTTAGATTGATCAAAAGATGTAAGATAATAGAAGGTAATATTTTAGAATTTTCTTAAAATAATATATTTTTTTATAATTTTTAGACTAAATGATGAATATAAAATATATTTAAAAATTTATGAGAAAGAAAAATAAGGGTGCAGACGTCAAGATGACATGAGTGACCCAACAAACATGAATCGAGTGAAAATAGAGTTCCGCTTAGTGACTGTAAATGATACATATGACTTAATTAATCAAATTAAGTTTTGTAAAAGCTAAAAGAATTTTAATTTAGTGAAGAATAATTTTGAAACTTAAAATTACACAAAGTATTACTAAATTAAATAAAAATTAAGTTTAAAGTAAGAAAAGTAGAATTCTGACCTCGTGACAATGATTGCTGAAATTCTATATATTTGAGAAGATTATCGAGTGATGCTTACAACCTCAAAGGCTCTCTTTGGATAAGGACAATATGGATAATTTTTAGATCTTTTTGTGAAGTCTAGAAATTAATAGAGTAAGTTGTCAAATCATCTCCAATAATTGTCATTTGACAGAGTGAAAAAATAATTTTTTAGATCTCCAATAGGTGTCACGTGATGGAGATAAGCTGGATGGAGGTGGGGCACTTCTTAAGGAGCTTCATCCTCAGGTTTGCACAATAAGAAGAGGCTCTTCATCACATCTAATACACTCTCAATAGGTGGTGACTCATCTCTCAGTAGATCGTCCTCTTCTTGATAGTGACTTGTTCGTTGATCAATCGAAAATCTTTTACTCAATAAATTCATGATCCTTTCATTTAGAATCGTTTGACAATTTTAGTAATAATACTCCACGAATCGTATTAATGAAATTTTCACTAATGATTGAGTGATTCTGACAACTTAATCATTCACCAACAATATGTAAAAAAATCATGACTTAATTAGATAAAAATATAAATTTTGACTCTAATAAAATTCAAACCCTCACTGATCATCTGCTTACATGAGAGAGTAAAATAAGCACATGAATACTCTTATAAAGTGATGTCATAAGGGTATCATAAATCGATCACCAACAATATGTAGAACATTCTCTTTCAAATTTATTTATTTATTTTAGTTGGACAAAGCACATACATCATTATACAGATTTGGGGATTACTAGAACTTTGGGGACTTAGTTGACCTATTTTTTTATATTTTAATATTAGTTAGTCGTCTTTTCATATGAAAGCATCATGATTACCAATAATCAAACAATTGATGTTGCTCCTCTATTTTTCTGTCCCTATACATCATGGAAAACCACAAGAGAGAAGAGATGTTGCTATTGGCCTATCCTCTAAGATATCTTAGTTTGACGTATATTTAAGCTTCATATGAACATGAATATGTTGAGATGTGCTTTTTCTTCTACAATACAAACTAGTTGAATGTCACTCACCACATAACAATGCAACACCAAATCAAAGCATCATTGAGAGTCATTGTGTCGACACTCGTCACTTTCGGCTAGTGATAAATCAACCATCGTCGAGTTTCCATTCGTGAATTAAAATTACGAAAATCTAACTTGGCTTGTTATTTGAGTGACTATTATTAAAAGCACAGTAGTCCTTGGATTCTCTAGTTGATGGCAATAGGAACCAAAATCCTAGTCATAGTTTATCTACGCATTTGTGTTTGGAGAGAGTAATGAAGGATCTTTTGAAAATAAGTATATGAGTCTCACAATATCTATATGCCAATGGAAAAGCATATTTATTCAATGGGTTAGTCGAGCATTGCATTTTTTTCCTCTTGATATCCAAGTTTTGCTTACCATTTGATGTTTCTAAATGGCTAAAGTTGGACATGTCTTGGGGGAGAACATCGTAGCATTGAGTTCGTCAAAGAAGAGTAAGCAAAACGTCACAGAAAATATAAATAAATGTTAAATTATTTTGTCATGTAAACCAATTTATGTACGTTCATGAGCACAAATATTAGTCAACTACTCCACCTCTATGATTATTTCAAACAACTTGTCGCCACTTGCTGCACCAGTGACCACCATTGGGTCATCGTTGCCTGCCAAGCCAATGAATGTCCTGAACTCCTCCTCCGGCATGTCGATGAATTTGTTGAGCTTCAACTTGTAAGGCTCGTCCTTGTTATTGAACTCATGGGTGAAGCTGATATTCTCCTTGAAGATGTCGAAGTGCTACTTGAGCTCCTAGTTGTTTGGTTCACCAGCATTCTTGAGCCATTGTTTCACCCTCAACGACACCATATTCTCCCTCCACCTCTCGTAAAGGGTCGATAGGCTCTCATTTGACTCCATGTCTTTCATGTTGAAGTCGATGCCTTCCATTGAGGAGACAAGGGCCACCACCAGAGAAGCTGATAGCACAAAGGTCTTCATATTACTCATTGTATGCATGTTGTCAGGAGGGATAGTCTCGATGGTTGAACGAGGAAGATAAGTTACCTTTATAGTGTTGATTGGGGGGGGGGGGGCATGCTATAAGTTTTTGCATGAAAGGAATCATTCCTGCTGAAAAAGAAAGTAGAAGATGATGTTAGGTGTTGGTAGTAGAGTGTGAGTAAGGGTAAGCTCTTCTTCTTGGCCATCCTCTTCATCTTCTTCTTGAAGAAAGAAGCCATCTGTTTACCAGTAAACAGATAGAGAGAGAGATGGAGATAGAGAATGTGAGGGATGGAGATAGAGACAAATAACATATATTTATCTATATCGAGAGAGAGAGAGAGGGAGAGAGGGAGAGAGAGAGGTCTAGTCATTGACCAAGAAACCCAATATGATCTCCAAGCTGAAGAGAACTTCAACTGCCATGCAACACATAATTCCTCATACCAAAAGACCTAGTAGAGCCTTTCAGATGATATCATTCAGAAATTCACATTCCTCATCATTGTGATGATGGGTAGTTGCCTCATAGAACTCTGCTCTTGTTAGCTGACATGTCGTTGATCACTCTATTTTTATGCAGCATAAAGTTCACATATCAAAGTATTAACTTTAATGTATTGTTCTATTATGCAACATTAAACGACATGTTTGTGATTGCATGTTTTCATTAACACAAAAAATTATTCAAGGTTTCATAACTAAACAATTACTTTGGATATTTTTAAAATGAGGAATATATAAGGGTACTAGTCCTAGTTTGTTAATACTTTGTGTGAAGAATATAGGCAAGTAAAATCCTAATTGAGTTGACATGCATAAGAATATATTTCGAATTTTGAAAATGACTAATCTTTTATTTTACAACTTTCACTCCACTCTTTCTTTCTAATCATATTAGCTTCAATCATGTCTTCGTATAGTGAATGCAATGTGTATATTGCATTATGTATGCCATAATACTAGAGGTACCAAAAGCCACCATGTATGATGAGAACTTACCTTAGAGGGGAAATTTTTCACAAAGCACTCACTAAAATGATCTAAAACCCCTCATGTGAATGGTTTGTAAATTGGTATTGTCACTCTACAATTCGTTGGGCAAAATGTGAATGCAAATGGTTATGATGCATACAATCTTGTTGGGCTAAATTTTCTCTTTGAACTTAATTCTCAGGGTGAAAGTTATAGATAGTCAAGATTAGTAAACTCAAAACTTAGAGTTGGTCAATAATTATCCTGCATTTATATTTGATGCACTAGAAGCTTGAGATTCTTGACTTGAGGATCATAAGTGTGTCACTATTGCATCTTAAAGTGCTTTCAAACACAACATCCTAAGATTTGTTCTTGGTTATTGAATACTCATTATTTAATTTTTTTTCTTAAATTATTGAATAGGCAAGTAAGAAGCCTTAATTTAAACCACTTGTCATGCAGAATTATGTTAATAACCTTCATTCTAATTTAAGTAATGATATGATACACTAAACAAATAATAAAATTATGCTTCATTCACAATTGTATATTTCATCTTACCAAGAGAGAAAACACATTAGTTCATATTCTAGTAGGTAAAAATGCATTTCAGTTGTTGCCTCTCAATTAAGGATACACATACTTGACCTATTTGAATCCATCTCATCATTTGTTCTTGCTAAAGTTGATGACATTCCTCTACAAGTAAGATTAGAAAAGAGATAGGAGTATTTACATTTTTATGGAGAACATGTGTGAAGTTAATTAATCAATATATTTGAGTTACATCCACACATATTTCTGTAGATTACATTCCTCTATTGTTTATGCTACTTAGTTTGATTTCTTTTGAATTAATGAATTTGGGTTATCCAATCATGAGTGTCCTCTCTCACCCATATATGATCGATAGATGTAACAACGAAACCTAAGCTCATAGAGCAGCATCTCAAAACCTTTTGATGATCATAAATCCCATCATTTATTTAGTAAAATTTCAATTGCCATTCTGAATTCATCAATTTTAGGAGTAGAAGTATGGTTTTTGATTTACTCTCCCATATTTCACCCTTATTTTTAATATTTTCTCTGTGAAAAAAATATTTTTTAATCATATGATTTTGTTTAAATTGTCTGAGTATGTTCTGATCTACGTATTAAGATCATTAAATTGGCAAGATATGCAAACTTTCCCTCATAATACTGGGAGAAACTCTATGATAATGAAAAAGATGTAGATATGAATGATATATTGAACGAAAAGTGATAAAGGCTTCTTTGAAAAGTCAAGGAATTATTTGAAAGCTTGATCATTAATGCTAGAGAAAATTAGAGGTTGAGTTATTATTTTAATGAAGAAATTAATGTGTGCGATTATTATTATCATTATTAGTATTATTAATATACCAAAACGTTAGCTCTTGTTATTTTTAAATGAAAAATTTACGGAAGCTGTACTATAAAGTTTAAAATTGCCATATAGTAGTTATTTTTTAAAGCCCGTGATGTTGAGGTATGTATAAAGACAGAATGAAGAGTGAGAGAGCGGGTGAGAGAGAGAGAGAGAGGAGCCGTAAGCTATTTCTACACTGAATTTTATTAGCCCTAAAGGTCCTCACAGAAGGTTATCCGGAAATGATAGTTTTTTTTCTAAATTACCCTCGTTCTCCATCCTCCCGGTCCTCGTTCTGGTCTTTTTATTTTTTGTGGTCTCATCGTCTGAAGGAGTACAGATGGACTCGCACGAGAGCCTGGAGCGGGAGGAGCTGGACGACGGTCTGATGGAGGCCGACGACGACTTCGCCGGTGACGAGCGCGAAGAAGACCCCGAACCGAGTACGCATGAGGTATTGCCCAGCTCGCTCTTCCCCCTTTCCATCTCTTTACTCTTTGTGGGTTTTGATTCTCAGCAGTTTAAACCATGAATCTCCCCCCTCTTCGGGGTTATGGCAATGGAATATGTCTTCCTTTTTATGCTCTACCTCCTCTCTTGATCGGGCGAGTCGTCTGTGTGTTGACGCGCATTAACGTTCTCAGAGCATCGAGAACATGAGGAAACGGCTGAAGGAGATAGAGGATGAAGCTGGGGCCCTACGAGAGATGCAAGCCAAGGTAGAGAAGGAAATGGGTCTTCAAGGTATTTTCACTCTCTGTTCCCCACTTGGCTCTTTTCATTTTGTCGCTGAGTTATTTCTAGGGTTTGTCTTCTGGGTTGAACTATTTATTTGTTTTCTTGTAGTGTATTCAAATGTTCGGTGCCGGAATAACTATAGTGCCCTATCTCTTATGACTTGATTTCTTAGGCCAATACAATGATTTGAAGGTTTTTTTTGGAGAATATTTTTTACTCAATGGTTGACGTAAAAGTTCGTTAATAAATGCACGTTTTTATAAACCACACCATGACGTCTAGCTCTCAGATTACAATTTGCTCAATATGAATGCATTTCGTAAAATTAGAAATGAGTATCGCTTTAGATGAAGGTGGAGTCACAAATATTAAAAAATTATCATGGTCTGGGGGAATTTCGCATGTTAAACTTTTGTTCAAGTTTATACGTGTTCATGTTCCATATAGGTTAATCATTTTGCATGATAGCATTGATAAAATATGCATACAAGGATTATATATAAAACTCTCATAACGCATAGAAATTAATAAAAGAAATACCATGTAATAAATAACCGAGTAATACACAATTATGTGTCAAAATAAAATATCAAGTGATAGTGACCAAGGAGTCCAATAGCATGCAGACTCAGTGTCAGCTGTGAACAGATGTTAGAAATCAGTTATTATCTGCTGTAAGTGAGATGATATTCACTCAATTTTAACCTATTCATTCCATCTTTGTTTGACCGTGAGTAGTAGATAGGGATGTAAAACCATAGAAGGTCATTTAGAAGTATCCGAATTGGTTAAATAACCAATACCTAATATTTGGGAATCCCTGTATTCATTCAGATTTCTGTAGCTCACAGTAATGGGTTTTCCTGGAAATATATGCCCATATTTTTCTACCATACCATCCATATCCGGTCACTGCAATCGTTATTGAATGAAAATGGTGTTTTTCTTATCCCTGAGAAAGGACGCCTAGAACATGGTTCTCAGAATCAGTTGATTCCAAGTTGGATTGGCTGATCGAGATCTGAGTTGGTAGTTCCCCACTTTATTTGGTAAGCAATTCCATTGCTCCAACATCTTGGTTGCTTCAACTGTCGACATGTTGGCTTTGGATGACTTGGGCAGAAATTGGCTGAGTGCCCAATGTAGACGGAAATCTTAAATTGGCTGCTACCTTTTTCGACCTGTTATATTGGATCCATGCATGACAGAGGGATCTGTATTCGTGATAGAAGGATCCGTGCAATGAAGACATCTCAGTTCCGTAATAAATGAAATTCGTGTATGATAATTTTTGGAAACATGGCTATTACTCTGTAATATAAATTGTAGGTTATGGTCTGGCGGAGATTTATTTTTGTAGTCACTTTGTACAGGTCTCGACAGTTGAGAAAAATTGTAAAGTATTTTTACGTATCAACATATTATCTTTTAGATATTATTTTAGTATTTTACACCATCAAAATTAATGAATTTTGTAAATGTGTATGCATTTATCATAATAAATAACTCAGAAGTAAAACATGTATATATTTGATGGTTATCAGTCAAAAATTATATCTTATTATAACAAATGTAAATAGAAACCTCCACGATCTTGAGAAGTTTATGTTGGAACTCAATTTTCCTCCATGGCCTGTGATGGAGACTCTTTTGCTACTTAGTTTATATGTTATTGGTCCATTTGCAGAGCCATGAGCACTTACCTTTGTACGGCCCCTTTCTCTGTCTTGTTCTCTCTTTAATTCTCCATCCACTTATCTCTCTTGGGTTTTTCAGAGTTGGTAGTTATGAGGTTTGGACCGTCCTTTGTTCTCTCTCGTGATACTGTATACATAGCCTGTTTGAAAATGATTTATATGAAATCCAACAAGTCTGGAGAAAGTGCTAATCCATTATAATGTTGAAGCGTATTCCTTAAATTACTAAATCGCTTTATTTCCCATGATTTTTTTAACAATTTGAAACTGAAATCTCATATAATGGGGAATGATGCTATAGGGTTGATGAAAGGAGTTGCAAAGACCCAAAATTAGTTGATATGTTTTAATCCACTCACAAATCCTAGGGAAGATGATGGATCTGTTATCTACTCCTCACTATTTACATCATTGACTAGTTAGAACATGCAACCAACCTTCAAATCCCAAAGCCAGGATTTGAAGCAGCCAACAACAGAATGCAATCAGATTCTTTTATTTTCTGTTACGATATATCAATTGAAATTTCGTTGTATTTTTTTTCCTTTGTATTTGGCCTTGACCTTCACATTGTTGAAACAACATCCCTTGATTTCTGACGGAATTTGTATCGGAAATAGAGAAAGTATCAAATTATATAATAATTGAATTTTATCTGACATTTTCTGGGGTGAAGCTTGTGTAAAACATTTTTGAGTCAAGCTTCGATATCCAACTTTTAATATCTGTTGTGTTCTCCGTTTTAATTTTCATGAGGAAATTGCTTAGTGATGAACTATCTAATGAAAGGCCGAAGATGGAAAAACACTGACCTTCTGGATAATACATCAGGCATTATCATCAGTTATTGAGTGATTTATACTTGAACATAGAAGTTCCAAATACTTGACAATTTTGGCAATTCCTTTTTTTTTGCTTTAACCTCTGGCTAACATTATTTTGTTGAAGAGGTGAGTAACATTGCTTTTCACTATGATTTACCAGTTGGATAGCATATTACGTAGACTACTAGTTTTGAATCGTCATACTAACATTTTTTTCTGCGTTCTTGTTCGCCTTCATCTTTCTGTTTGGTCTTGGTTGCCTGTACATTAGGTTAACTATTTATTGAGAAGGTTTCCGGATGTACCAGAATTTAAGTTCTATAACTCATGCATGAAGATGATGCAGAAGGAAAACAGAAAAAAAGACCCTATGCGAAAATGTAGAATGGAGTTTATATGCTTAAATGAAAAAGATGGTTTCTTAGAATTGTTGGTATGACGATTAAAAAATGGATGAATTCTTATTCATGTATGTGTATAGTTTCTTTGATTTCGCTCATTATTGTATCCTAAGAACATTACAGGAGTCACACATCTAAGCATGTAAAGAGATCTGCTAGTCTTACAAGAAGGTGGCTAGTGTCACCTGTCTTCAATTAAGAAAAAAGTGTTATCTCAAGAAAGGGTAGGAAACATAAGACTTGATTTCAAAGTTGGTATAATTTCGTTGTAAGTTTTATTATTATTTTTTGGGATATCCTATAATTTTATTTTTCGAAATATAGACCCGTTTATTTTGTATTGTCTTTAATTCTATAGTTTTATAGTTTCATTGCCTTTTTTTTTGGGTGGGGGGGGGGGGGGGGGGGGGGTATCATGTAGAACGATTTATTTTTAGGTTTTTCTTTGGTATTTGTTTTTCCTGGGTTATTATGTCACTTCTCCTATGTGCATGTAAGAAGAAATCTGTAGTCCCTTATACAGAACAGTGTCAAACCTGTCTTCTCTTTCAAAATAGAAAGAGCAAGTCTCGTATGTTCTATAAAAAAATTGGGAAACTTTATGCCAAAATAAACTTCAACAGCTATTTGATTTTTCGTTAATTTTTTTATTTTGACTATTTTTCAACCTTTTTCTTTATCATCGTCTATATTGCTTCTTTAGACCTCATGCAACTTTAATCCTCTAGAGTCTTATTTTTTGATCTGCTTTCTCTTCATTGTGAACATGTTAAAAGATTCCTCCGACGCATCTGTGACTCAGGCTGAAAAGGAGGAGGTGGATTCCCGCTCCATCTATGTTGGTAATGTGAGGATTTTTGATACTGAATTACATTTTTTTGTTTCACTTTTATGAACTGTTGTCAGTTGTTTTTGTTTCTTAAATTGGGACTCTTTCTTGGCTTCGTTCATCCAAGGAGCATAATCCTGACTTCTATCGTCCTCCAAAAGTATCCCCCTCCAAAAGTTTTTGTTGGTATTTAAATATTTTATTTGAAAATATAGACCCGCTCCGAATAGATGGTACACTAAGCTCAACGACCTTCTTGAACAGTAATAATAACAGCTTCTAACGAACTTCTACCTGTGATCCATAAGCCATTGGTAAGACCCACCCCCAAAAAACCGATGATATGCCCACTCCTTGATTCACACCTTGGAAGACACCAAGTGTACTGCCTCTGGTGCGCGCGAGATGGACATGGATAGAACCAAGCAGAGTGGCAGTTCTGAGACCAGTCTCAATAAAGTAAGAGAGACAGTACGTAGCTACCTAAGGGAGAGCACAGCCATGAGAAATAGAGTCCGGGTTACACTGTCCAAAGAGACGAATATAAAAACAGATCTGAAGGGGCATGGCAGAGTGATAGGGAGAAGTGGTAAGAGAAAAGGTTCATGTGGGTTCTAACTCTTTCCGTTAGTTGGGAAAATCAAACAGCATAAGCCAGGTGGGTTCCATTTTCCTACAAGCTGGCTGGGTAAATATAGCAATTGTGAGAAGTGGGTATTGTCCCTCTGACATGCGTTGGTCTACTAATGGATTTAACACATGTTGGATCTATCGTTTAACGTGCGGTAACCCATCACTCAGATTCTAGCCCATTGTGAAGTCGGGTCTTGAGTCAACGATTAATCGTGTTTTAATCAATCATTGGGTGGACTTTAATCCATCTCCGAATTGGGTTGCTTTTACCCTCCACACTGGGTTCCAAAGTGGGTCTAGATTCTAGCGTCAAGTGGGTTCAAGTCACCATTCAGTGGATTCTGATCCAACATTAAGTGGAAAGTTAACCCAGGGTAAAATTTTCAATGACTATGTGGGCTTTTGCCGAATATCCTTCATGTTCTGGTCCACTTCCAGGTGGACTCTGTCCCACTGCTGTAGTGGGCTTAGATCCATCCAGAAACTGTTTTAAATAGCCATCTATTGGATTCGGCTGCTAGTTTGCAGAGTTAATTGAATCTAATTGCGGATGAGATCCTTATACGCTTTACTCGAGGGTCAGAGGGATTTATTTTGATTCAATTTTTTAATTTTGGATACTAAAGTGCAATCTATCTCCAACTTCGGTAGCTTTTTCGTATCTGCTTCTAAATGTGACATGGAGGTTTGTTCATGCATTGATGCCAAATTGCTTGTCTAATTTGCTCTGCTGCTTAGATCTTTCCTATCGTCAATTCGTGCTACAACTTGGACAGATCGTGTTTCACTTCTGTGCATGACTGACCAGATTCCAGTAGCTGCCTGCTAAGACTCGAGATCACAACTGGAGGATATCTGTATATTTCTTTGGTAACTAGATAATCAACAATACTGGCCAGTCATGTCAACCATCAGCCTGACTTCAAATACCTTCACGATTCTTTCTACCTTTTCTCCCTATGTGTGTACACTTTTGTTCTTCCTTTTTCCGATAATACATATAGTTTGCATTTGTTGCGTCAAGTTCAATTTATGCCTAATTACCCTTTTCACTTTTTCTCTGGGGCATCTGGGGTTTCTTAACATGCCATCGTGTTGTGTAGACACTTAATGGGCTCCGTAAGGGATGATTTAGCCAATCAGAGTTTTGTACTTTTTAGTCCCTGATGATGACCCAGCTTGGTAGATATAATGGATCCTTGAGAAAAAATGCTATGGTATTAGACTTTCAGGAGCATGACAAAAAATATCACTTTCGTAACTTGTGAAATAATAGGATAGTCATGGCAAGACGTGAGCAGCGTGCCATGCCGTGAGAAATTTCAGATGTAGAGAGTCAGGAGCTGACGTGAGTTTGCTACTCATTTACGTCAAACATATCCCAAAAAAAATCAAATATGGGGTATAATGAGGATGATTGAGAGTTCTGGTGGACTGTCTTCTGGGATGGACTTGTCATGCCGCCAGGGTGTTAAGACGTACAGTTCAAATGGGGTGAGCAATCCCCCATTTTGTTGATTGAGTCTTTGTCGTGGACCATTTTCCTGTCAACTATGAGATGGTAAAATGTTTAGCTACTCTCCCGCCTGATGAAGATGTAGATAAATCGAACTACATTTGCACGAAGCCATCACTTTTTGATAGAAATGAAGCAAGTCAACTTCTTCACACTGTGAGAGATTGAGCACAGATGGTAATTAAATAAGCCGATGTTTCATTATAGGGTCCCAAAATCTATTTGTATCACTGTTAATGTTTCATTCAGTTGAAATTCCTGGAGCCATCAAAAGATGTTACTTTTGTGTATGGAAAGGGAGGCTTCAAATCAGCCAGGGAGTGAGATTAGATCTTGAGTTTCTGACTTTAGGGAGATCAGTTCTTAAATCTGGAGTCCTATGACCGAAGTGTTAAATTACAGTTCAAAGCTAATCTTGCGAACATCACCAGAGTATCTTGAGGAATCAACTGGTGGGAGCCCAACTCTAATGTCTTGTTCAATGTCTTATTTGAGGATCTTGAAGTGATCAGCCCCATCCTCTTTTAAGAACAGTAATGATGACTCCACGAAGACATTCCTTCCACTGGGCATGCAATTCCCGCTGTAAATCTTGCCTTATGTAATCCACTGAGTGGTAACTTTGAAGCTTTGTTACTCTTGATCTTTTATTTTTGTGTGTCATTGTCTTCACCGTTTCCAAAGATGACGGTGTTAAGTATGAAATCCACTGAGTGGTAACTTTGAAGCTTTTTTCCATGGCCCCTCACTGATTGTTAAGTATGAAATTGACATTCTGACAAGGAATTTTACTGTTCATCAATTACATCCTTCGCGTTTGCATACTGAGGTTTCTGGTTCCTGCTCTGCATAAAAATCTTATCAACCTTGTGTTAATTTACTGATGCCAAAGGTCCCTTTCTCAAGTGGGGGTGTGGGGTGCTGTTATGAAATAGTGGATAGGCCTTAACATCCACTGGTTTTGTTTGGACTTATTATTTTTGGTCTGATATTATTTTGTTATTGTTACGATCTTCTAGGCGTACCTAATTCGGATCATTAGGAGTTGATTGATTAAAAATCGTGGAATCAGCCAGCCTTACAAACTAGATTACAAACTAGATTCCAAACCAGATTCCAAACCAGATTCCAAATCAGATTCCAAACCTTCAGGAAATTCTTTTGTTTGGGTTTGCCTATCTGTGGTGTAATCTGGTAATAAATGATTGGCCTGCAGATCGTGCCAACCAGTAGATGCTTTTACAGTACGTTTTATGCCTCTGTAGGAACGTTTATTTCTCAGTTTATCTCAATTTAGATATAGTAATCTGATCTAGGCTTTATTTATTCTGATTTAATATGTTCTTCCATCAGGTGGACTACGCATGCACGCCAGAGGAAGTCCAGCAGCACTTTCAATCCTGTGGAACCGTGAACAGAGTAACTATATTAACTGACAAATTTGGCCAGCCAAAGGGGTTTGCATATGTGGAATTTGTTGAAGTGGATGCTGTTCAGAATGCTCTCCTGCTGAATGAATCAGAGTTACATGGTCGTCAAATAAAGGTCTTTTCAACCTGTCACTGTGAAGCATTTTCTAGTGCTTTTGGTAGTTCCAGTCTTAACTTTAGATTTGTGCATAGGTCTCACCAAAGAGGACCAACGTTCCAGGCATGAAGCTGTACCGTGGAAGGCGTCCTAACCCATATCTAGGCTTTCGAGCACGCAGACCTTTCATGCCCGGTCCTTCTGGTTTTGGATATGGGTAACCACTGATTTCAGAATTTTAACATTGATGGCATGTTCTTTACTAATTCTGAATGTGGATTTGCTATTTTGCAAATTTTTAATGTTTGAGGAGCCAATATTTGCTTTTATTTTAGTGATATGTTATGCTTGCTATAGTGAGTCATGCTAGTTATTCAGCACATGAGATGTAATACGAAGACTTATTTCTATATATTTCTCCCTTTGGTTATCCCGATTTATGTGCGCCTTATCAGCCTTTACAACTATTCTGATAATATTATGTGAAGTAATGAGGGATCTGAGTAAGATGTCAGCTAATTTTGTAATTGGTTAGTCCAATTCTTTTGATTCATGGGATATAATGTGTTCAACATGCTGTTTTGTATTTAGAAGTGTAACATTCTTTTATCCATGGATGCCAACCATTTTCTAGACTCTTTAGAAGGCTGCCAACTAGCAAGTGAAGGTGCTTGGGATGATCGGTTTTTCTGTAGAAAAGTTCGACCAGTAAGAAAAAGTGTTTGGCCCAAGCCAAAAAGAGGTTGATCCACTTCATTCGCCAAACGAATGATCTTTGCTTCGCGGGAACCAACAAAAACCTCCATCTTGCTGAGTCCTTTCTTCGGTGCTACATTTTCTAGACTGTTTAATGCCACAGAGATGAACATTTATATGTGCAGGCCTTCGTGAAGGTTGCTGGGCTCTCAGAAAATATAATGATAACACGTGAGACTTACAAGTAAAATAGAACCACAAACGCAGTAAACAAGTCTTTTGGTTTCTTCCCAATGACTAAATTTGTTTGGATACTGTTCAGATCTGTTGTTGTTTCGTTTTGTCCACCATCTTACTTACCGTACTCATGACTAACCCAGTGGATCATTTTCCAAAAATTTCGTTCCGTTCCTTGGTGTTCAGATCCAAGAGTTCTTCCTCACCACCTTCTCATTTTGCTACTGATTCTATGCAAATTATGGCGTTGATTGATTTCATGCCTTGTGATAACATTACATAATCTCTCCAAACGCAAATGCAATGCATTGTGCATAATCTCTGAAATGGAGATCAAGTTTCCTAGTCCTATTTCAGTTTTGCCATTATTGTTGTGCTCTCATAGAACGTATTTCCAACTTTCTGCAGCAAGGCTCCAAGATTCAGGCGACCCATGCGGTACAGACCTTACAACTGATAGGAAGCTGTTCACATTCTGATGATTCACTTGCTGGAGAAGCTTTCTCTGAGTTGGTTGTCATAGTGAGAAGGCTCATATTGAAGTAATTATCCAAGCTGCAAAATTTAGTTGGGGGTTGGCTTGTTTCATTGCCATAGAAATTCAGTCAGTTATTTAACTGGAAGTTCCACTGCATTTTCCAATCTATCTTTGTGGTTCATGACCAAGTGAAGGTGTGGCTCATGCTCGCCTATGATCACGGTTGAGCTATTTCAGTGGCTGTGCTGCTTGATTGTGACGAACAGTTTATTACATTTTTTTTGTTTCATCACGTGGAGAGCATATAAGTAATTGCTTGATCAGTTTCGTTGGGATGGAAGCCGGATGCATGGACGAACTAAGATTGTCACTTAATCAGCCTCTTCTTAGAGAAATCCTGATTGAAGAAATCTAGTTGACTAATGGAGGAACTCATGGGTACCTCCTCACAGGCTGTCCAATTCCCGTAATTGCCTCTTTTGGTTTCAAATCTTGGCTATCTCCATTAAATTAATGAGAATGAAGTGGATCTCATCCTATCCTCTTGATCGTGATTTACCATCGTTTGTTTACCATCTTCCATTATCTGCCTGCATTATTTCTGTTCAACCTTCATCCGGTCTTCTTTCTCTTCTCCAGATGAACTCCCAATAAATGACAGTATCTCTCTTGACAATTTTTTTGTCAATCCTCTATGCATGTGTCCGGAACATCTCCATAGTATCTGAAAAATTGTAGTTAATACTCGTGGCCTTTCCATCAAGGCTGTTTGATTCTTTGGCTCTCCCAAACATCATTCCATTTTTTTTTTTTTAATTCTTCACAGCTTGCTGAGATGGGTTTGACTTTAAAGTGTGTAATTTTCTTCTCTACAGCATTTAGTTTTCCAAACCCTTGTACTTTTGGGGCAAGTAATCTTGTTGACTGGGCGATCATCTGCTCTAGAATTATAGACTGCAGCTGGTTCAAACGATTTCTTCCGGATGACTCTTCATTCATTCTTGTTTCCACTTAGCTATTCTTGGTAATTAATACCAAGTGAAAGCTAACCAACGTGTTCCTAAGGGACTTGCCATTCTCCTAAGGGACTTTTAAAATATGGGAAAGAATCTCCATCCGTATCACTCGCCGTTTTCTGCTGTAACCATTCGATGTAGTGAAACCTCCTCTAAATGACACACGACAACTTTCAAGGCAAGGAGTTTTGATCCGCGATTCCTCAAACAAACCCAAATCAGCTAAATCTGGGGTATATTTCATCTTATTGTGTTCCATCTGACCAAGGACTCTAGTAGCCAAATTTCAGAATAAATGAAGAATGAGGCCATCATATCTGTGGCAATCATATACCATGAAGCACAAATAATTTAAAGGTTATATGATCCGGGATCAGATCAGGCCTGGTTTGGTCATGCCTAACCCAACCGTTCACACTTACCATCACCTAAAAACCAATAAGCACTTCCTTCTAAGACGTAATTATCTATACACACATGTGGGTAGAAGAGCATATCGAAGAATATTCTTATAGCAAATGTGAGCACCCTCAACATAGAATAGAACATTTATCTACCAGTGGCTATCACCCAGTAGTGCGGCTATAATTTAAACATTATGAAATAAATTTCACAGAAGATTCTTTCAGTTCCTATTTTCCAAAACCCCTACTACCATTTAATAACTAGCATCTACACATTCATAAAAAAAGACAAGTACCCACTCGACAAAAGTTTTCATTTCCGCCAGGTGGATGGATACCTGGCGATTTCCCTACCTATTCACTGCGAAAATAGTTAATTCATATAGCCTCTTCACTATGCTAATCAGCACAAATGTAACACTACTTGGCTTTCTTCTGATATGTACTGGCAAGCTCAGATTTAGCACAGTTAACCGAACGAGCCATGAGTCGACCTGCAGTCAAGCATAGGTGCGCCAACAAGTCAGGTGAAGCGAGCTTGTTGGTTGCCAACAAAGTAAAATTGAGAATAAAAGTTTTAGTAGTTTGGAAAGGGTGTCGCATGTTCCTTGAGTTTTGATTTCACCATCTTCTTCTCAATCCTCATCATCTGCGCATTTCAGTTTTGTCTGTAAGGAAATCACATCTTGAAGGATGAATGCTTACTCAGATCAACATTTTGCCACTATTTACTGTTTTGACTTCATCTCCATCAAGTGTATAACCTCCTCCCACAATTTCATCTCTAAACACACTTAAAAGACTCATGAGAAACTACAGAATCTTCTACATTGAAGTGGTCGTTGGGGATTAGGAGTGGGTATTATGCTTATTTGGGGAATTTTCAAGTTTGGTGGAGAGTGAAATTGATCTCGATTAGGTTTTACCATATTTAGCTCCAGCATGCAAAAAGGGCTAAGCTCAAGGAAGATTCTATAATCTAACGAACTTGAAACAACAAGCTTAGTGATTATGATCATGATAATCTCCAATGAAGATTAAAGATCATTATTGAGCTCTGAACCAAAGGTCTGAACATGATCAGAGAATAATTAGACCATACAGTTTATTAAATAATGAAGATCCAGTACACTGTGGACACAAATCAGGTAGGTATGGAGCAAATCAGATGTACTGGCTTGAAGAAGACATTTAATCATATTACTATCTTTTCTTATCCAACCATAATAAGCAAAGAGTCATTTTATCACCTTATTTTATTTATTTGGGATGAGATTTTTCTTCACTCTAGACAAACACCATCAGTACCTCATCAGGTGCCCTCATTACGTTGTAGTCCCACGACTCGCACATCGATGTTGGGTGGCTGCACCTGGCCATCTAACTGCACCATTCATCACTGTCAAGCTTTCTTTCCGTGATCCCCTGCAATGTCTCTCAGGGACGGCAAAAAAAGCTGATGGATGTCCCTCCACCCCTAAACGGATAGGCAAAGTACCCTTTCTCAACCAAAGGGCAAGGTTAACTCCAGAGACTGTGCCAGGAAATTCAACTAAACTTTATTTGCTGTTGTATCTGAAAAATCCAGAGACGTACAAAAATTTTGAGGAGATGAGTGATCAGCGTTTAGCAATCAGTTTCACCGACACTCAGACCCCAGAGCCATTAATCCTGATCCTCCCCTTGTTGTGGAAAACGGATCAGTTCAGATCATATCATCTCACAGATTGAATGAGAAAGGACCAAATAGGTGACAGGCTTGGAAGACATTCAGCTCAGCAAGTTTGGCGGTGAGATATGCAGTTCTCATGAAGGCCAAGGGACCCAAAATCTATTCAGCCTCAAGAATAAACAGGTGTCAAAGCATCCAGTGAAACTGCTCCCCTTCGGATAGAGCAAAAAGCCCAAATATGCCACAACAACACGGAAAATTGAAGCTCCCAGGCGAGTTTTCAGCAACCATAAATTTAAAACATGGGGCATCCCACCTTCCATCCATCATTAAAGTGGTGAGCGAGTAGATGGCCCTCTTTCTCCAGTACAAACTTTTTGCGGCCACATTCATTATTTTTTTTTTCTGATGATTAGCACGTAGTAAAAACCACGATCAACAAAAAAGCATGGAGCTGACTTGTTGAGCGACCTTTTAACACGATCTAATCATCAGAAAAAGGTAATGAATGAGGCCACAAATTTTTTGTGCCACGAAAAAAGATGGAACGCACTTCATCACGTTCATCCTGGTATCAAAAAGGTGCTAAAAATAAATATTTAAATGAATATTCCGGCAAATCTTAAAGCTGGACATTAGTAGTTTTCTCTGCACAGTTACTCCACAATAGTATGCATTTTTTCTCAATATCATAAAATTTCAGGATCAGGCAGTGACCCAGATGAGAAGTGATACATAGAAATACATCATACAAATGAACCGAAGAAGAGGTGATGTTATCTCCTGCAATAGAGGCGACCAGGAGCGCATAACAAGACAGCCAAAGCTCTAATTCATTTACAAAGATATATTAGTACAGCGAAGAGACCATATGTTCCACAGTTAGTCAGACAACAAGCATTCTCATAATCAACAACAATCCTATAACCCCCAACCATCAAAAGAAAACCAGAGAGTGAGGAACTGGGAGGGCAAAGGCAAATAAATAAACAGAGAAAATCTAAGACCTACGATGTCGCAGCACTATTGCTTGGGCTTGACCTTGGCTCCATTTTTCTCATGCAAACCTCTGATGTAGTCCACAATCTGACGTTGGGAATCGAGGATCATTTTAGTGCGCTTCAACTCCATCTCCCTCCTCACCTTCTCCATATCCCTTGCCATCTTCATCTTCATCTCCTCTATCCTCGTGAACTCGTCTCCGAGCATCTTCACTGCTGCGACCATCTCCCAGACTATACTCCCCTTCTTCTGTTGCTGTTCTCCTTGCCCAATCTCCTCCAACCCGAATGGTCTTGGTGGCCCGGAGAAACCATTGAAGAACCCATTGCCCAATTTGGGTTTGCCGGCACCTACAGGTGCATTCGTCCTCTCCTCAGGCCTGGTTCCACTGACCTTGGATCGCAACGCCCTCGGGATCCGGAATTTCAATCCATCACTCACCAGGCTGCTGCCAACTTCTCCAACTTCACCGTCCCTTGAATTGAAGCGTTGGATAATCGGCGCACTTTCCTTGGGGTTGCCAGCACTAACATTGTGGTCGTCTTTTCCATCATCTGAAGAAGAGGAAAGGGGGGCACTGGAAGGGATGGCGCCATCTCCAGCTGTGGAGCCGAGCTCCATGGAGTCCATCTTGCGGAAGTAGACCCAGGAAGAAAAACGGGGTTTACCAGAGTTGCCCCTGAGGGCGAGGCGCTGCTTTTCAGCGCGATACCTCTGACGGAGCTTCTCGACCTTGTGACGGCACTGGACAGCTGTTTTGAAACCCGTCGTTGCGGCGCCGACGCTCTGACAGCGATCTCGAACTCCATCGGCGACCTCCTCCCAGTGGGAAGCGCGGAGGTTCCCGCGGCGGAGGGCGTACCACTTCTCCCGGTAGGCGTCGATCAGCGCTACCGTCTCATCGTGCGTCCAGCACGGTGTCACCAGCCGCCTGGAGGAGGCAGAAGACAAGGACGAAACCATCGGCGGTCGCTGAGCAGTCTCCGGCTCCGGAGAAGTCCCCATGGCCAACGCGGTGAGCTCCGAGCGGGGGGACGACCAAGTCGGCGGCGCACCCGCCGCCGGATCGACCCTGAGCTTACACCTAGGGTTTCCCGTTCAGGACGCCGCCGCCGTCGATCAGCGGCAACACCGCCCGGAGGAATGAAGGGAGCGAGTATGAGTACGAAACCAGTAGAGATGAGGATGAAGAGCTTGGGGAGAGGGGAGGCGATGGTGACGGTGCCGGTTGTGCTGGCGGCGGCGGCGGCGGCGGCGGCCTCATCTCCACCTGCTCCCCCCTTATTCTTTCTTCCCTTGTTCCAGATGGGGGATCGGATTGGGGGACGGCCTGGATCGGGAAACCGCCCGGAGGAGCAATCCGCCGGGCGGACCCGGGCGCCCAGACAAGGAGAAGAGCCCTCCGCTAACCCACCGGGAGGCGGACCGACGGCGCGGCGCAGAGCTGCGGGCGGTGTCCGGATGCGGAGCGGAGAGGGTGGTGGTGGTGGGGACAGGCCCCCCTGCTCCTCTCTCCTACAAGTTCGACCGTACGAAGGGTCGTCAGTGACCAATTAAGATCCGGTATCTCCGAATCTCGGGTGGCGTGTCCTGTTCACATTAATGCGCACATGTAGAGAGACATATTCCATTAGATCTTCTTCTAAAATGGGATTATTATTGAAAAAAAATCAGTGAATCAGATCTGGTGATTTTTTTTCTCCGTCTCTTTACTTCAATAACGGGTATCTCAGGATATTCTAACTTTACTTCAATGTATGCTTACCATCTTAGAGTCTATCTCATGTACTTGACTGAAGATGGATTGATTCTATCATACATGCCGCCTTCATGTGAAAGAAGAAATTTCTAAAAATAAATTTTATGTTATCTTGTTGACCACTCCTTTCATAAATTTCAAAACATAATTTGGACTGACCAAAGTTTACCCTTTGATAATCTACCAATTGCTTAATGGCATTTTTATGCATGGCTCTCACTTCCTCTTCCATTGTCCACACTTAGTCAAAATCATGCCTTTGGATGACATTGTAAAATCTATATAAGATATTAAAGAGTAATGTTGATGTGAAAGATTCTAATAGATAACAAAATTAAAAAATAAAATAACTTTTAGATTATATTTTCTGCTAATTGTTGGCTAATAGAAATTATAATCTTTAGGTGTGTGAGAAAACACTAAAAAGGGCTCAATGGAGTCAAGAGGTTAAGGACATGAATGTAACAAATATAACCAAAATCTTGATTAACACGTTAGAATATTTTACCACATGAGAAAAACATATTAAATCATTACCATGAATGTTCTTATTATTTTTTGCTTTATTGGATGTTATGATGACTATACCTTAAAAAAAATATTCTTTTTAGGTAGCATTATAAGTTTTTACTTGAAATGTGCTCGTGTGTCAATGTTGATAGGGCAAGTGTAAATATCATGATATGCTTTTTTTATAGCAAGATTAGGTCTCTCAAAATTTCAAGATTGAGAGTTCATGGTTTTTTATAAGAGCCAACTCAACATATGTATATGAAATATAAAAGACAAAGTAATAGCATATTATGGTGTTGCAAACTAGTCATTTTGGTTCTTTTAAATGGTTAATGAAAAAAATTAAAATGAGTAGGTTATTGAGTCTTTAGTGAAAAGTACAATGGATCACTTTCTTGAGTTGTCATGTAAAAATGATGTGCTAACTTTCAATGAGTAGCCTTTTAACCTCCTAGATTATTAAATATACACGTTTGAACTTGGTGATTATGAAAAACATAATAGAGAGTACCTTGTAAGGGTTAGAAAGTAAATGCGTCTTTTAACCTCACAATTACAACTGAATCATTGGTAACCCAAAGTAAATTTCTAAAATCTTTGAAGCAATGTTGACCCTCAACCCCCCTTCTACTTTCTTCTTATGGCTCCAAACACCATTAATAGTAACTAGACTTAGAATCTCAAAGAAGTATCTTTTCTAGCTTTTCAAAACTATTTAACTATAATATCTTTTGTAAGTATATAGGCTCCCAAAGCAAACATAGATGCTACTCGATTCTTTTGTAAGTAATTCAAAATACTATTGTGTAAGTAATTTAGAATTCATAAAATACATCTTATGTTCTCATAGTTTTGTATATTGGTTGCCCTGATTAAGATGTTTGTAAGTTGATCATTACTATGAAAAATTCCAACTAAATCTTGAGCAAAAACTATATAAAAGCATATTTCTTTTCTGTTTATTTTAACATGTCCAATAGTTATTAGTATAGGCAAGGATGTGATTGTCCTTTTCTATTTTGATGCTTTTTGTCATGGTCTTCAATGTCTTTGAAGTATCTCTCTATTTTTTTAATTACTTCAAGGTGATTCTTAGTAGGTTACTTCAATGTCTTCAATGTGCATTATCTTTGCATATATTTGTTACTTCACTTCAACAAATGAATATATGAACTTTTTTAGCGCTATATTTTGCTAGAATTTTTTTTATCAAGAGTGATTGGTATAAGTATTAATTTGAGTTTGACATGATAAGTATAAATAATTATCCTTGTGTTTCCCATCCTTTTGTATCACAAATGTAAGGCATAATATCTATAGATCAATCAACTCATATTCTTTCATCATAACATTCTCAAACTCTTCTTTCATAAAAAAGTAAAACTATTTATGCAGGTCATAAAAGAAATCTTGCTAACCTTTTCTTGATGGAAAGTAAGGACTAGGTTGAATTTTTTTTTTAAATCATTTAGTATTCATCAATTTTTTGGTTCTAGATTTATGAACTTGTTATAGTATAACATTTAGATTTTTATTAGTGTTAATTTAACATCTATTTTTTGCCTTTCTCTATATAACCCTACAATTCTTGACGTAGATGTCATCACCAAGCTTTTGATTGAAAAATGTTGACTTTACATCAAACTGATGTCGGTCTAGTCGATGCATAGCTTCAATAAATACATAAAATTTTTAAACTTCTGTATTATAGCAATGAGATCAAACATAGCAAGAAACATTTAATATTTTTTAAATTATTTTATGTCTCAAATAATTTTCTCCATTACTCTATATTTAAATAATAATACTCTAAAATTTTAAATAAAGACTTAAAAAATTCACCATCCTTAATAGGTAAATTCTAAAAATCTCTCCGTAAGGATTGATATGTGACGGAGATTACCTTGTCCGATCCATCCATTCCATTATTTTGGCGTTATCTAAATATAGTACAATTGTGGCTTGTCAGTAGAGATTCTTCAGTACATGCAAGGTATTTTTACAACCCAAGGAGCCTCCCTCCAGTTTCAACATTGCAGTCCAAAGAGTTTTGAAGTGAACAAAACATGCATCAGAGGTTAATAAAAAAGGCCTCAGAATAAAAACGAAGCCTCTTGTTGTGATATCGTAAGTGCTCATGGCGATAGATTCACCGCTCAGAACCAGGCGATACTTCGGAAGCAGCGTCGGGGAAGAGGGGTGGGGGGGCTGCCGACGGTGGCCTGCCGGATGAGGGAGACGGCTACGCATCGCCGGCAGGACGAGAAAGCGAAGCGCCGTGCGTGCCTCAAGGCCGACGTAAACGGGATCTGGTCCTGCAGCGGACACCGAACCGCCACCGGCGTATTCCAGCTGCTACATGCGTCACTCTCGACGATGGGATCCCCGATACCTTGCTCTCTCCCTGCCCATAAAGCCTCCCCTCTCCCCCTCCTCTTGATTTAGTGCTGCTGCATAGGATCCAACGGATGGTTTATCTCAATTATCAGAGCACATTTCTATGATTCTTGGGTTTGACAAAAAATAATGAAGAACATGTAACAATTATCCAAAACCAAAAAATATTTTGCAAACAATATAATTCATTGAGCCTTGGATCATAATATTCCTTATACAAAAGAAGTGATTTTGCCGATGCGATGATGGAAATTCTAGGTGAAAGGTAGAATATAATGGAATATAGAGGGGGCATCTAGTAATAAGCATGTTGGATGTCTGCTCCTAGTGATAACCAATAGCTGTCATCGTCTCCTCCAACAGTTTTCTCTCCTGCAATGGACCCATGCTACTGTTCACCAGACCCAAGTTACAGTGCACTACACTTCAGCTATAATTTCTAACACTCTTAATGCGACCTGCAAAATCTACCTACACCCAAGTTATAATAACTGAGTGTAAGATTACTGCTGAAACGGCCTAAACATTTGCCTTTGTGAGTATTGAAATAAAATGATGCTGGGAGGATGGAGAATTAATTTATCAAATTATTACAACCAAATTTGCGATAAATTCAAGCTTTGAGTTACATCAGCAAGTTTAATGTTTGCCTCTAACGATTGAAGTTTTCAAAATAAAATCCTGCACTCTTCAAGCTTCAAAGAAACTTTGCATACCAAAGTCATAATCTGGACTCTTTACGTTTATTTTTTATCTCGTATGGGTTTTATCGTGGTAGGAAGGTTGTCTCTAGTGGCGAATAGTTATGGGCACTTCAAACATTCTAAAGTTGCGAATTTAAAATGGTGAGGTGGCACAAGAACTCTGACCTTTAACCGCCAATGTTCATGAATCTAGAAAATATTAATTAGGTGATAAGTTCACAATATTCTTAAGTTGTGAATTTTTAAAGTATTAGCTGTCTGATTGAGAAGAATCAAGTTAGACTTTTCTGATTAGCCTCCCAAAGCCATCAATCTAAAACAAGGGTAGAGTGCACTTGAGCTAATAGATAGGTAAATCTAGTGAAGAAGATGAGCTAACAACTTTATGAAAACTTGTATACCTAGAAGTGGATAGTTAATTTATCAAAAGTCATGCTAGGAGATTCCTGTATTTTAGTTTGTTTTTAGTTCATGGCAAAGATTACGAGAAGGCAAGAAACAGGTTATTGGACTCTAAAATACAAAAACACCATGAACTCTACCATTGGGCCACTCATTAAAAGCATCTTGATGGATTCATGGATCTACCCACTGGGAGTGCTGGATTGGGTGGGCAGATACAAGTCAAAGGTCACAGATTTCATGTTTTAGCCATCCCATTAGAAGTGATTGGACAAGCTAGTGGACCTACTCATCAGGCAAATGTATCTGCCCATTGGTTGTGATGTATTGGATTGTCGACAACTGCACATGGATCTACCCATTGGTCTAAATGGATCAAATCATCAAGCAAACTACAAGCAAACTATCCATTGGACTGGCTGAAGTGGGCATGAGCACGGATCTAGTAACAATAAAGCTTATTGGAGACATTGATAGATTGGGCAAATGTGTATGTCCGTTAGATCACAAGAATCCAATAACATCAAGACTTGATGAAGACATGAGTAAATACAACAAGGGGAATCAATACAGTTTTGGCCTGCAAAGAAGAGGGATCATTCCCAATCTCAAGTATGTAGTGGTTTCCTCCACATACAAGCTTCTATATCAACTATATTGAGGAAGCCTCTACGAGCTTAAAAATCACACCTAAATTGTTTCATTCATTATATCTACGATGGATATATTTGGGATGCTTAGAGGTGCAAAACTAGAAGAAAGGAGTAGACTTTCCTTTGGTTGGACTTGTGTAAAGGCATGAACATAGTAGAGAAGTAAATTCTCATCTAATTGAACTTTTCTAGAGCTGTGTATCTAGAAGAAAATTTCGGAGTGAAACCTTCAAGTTGGTTCTAATGCTTAAATTCAATAAATTAGTGAAGCCTAGAACACCAATAATGAGTTAGTAGAACCAAAATATCTTGTCCTTGGGGAGTGGAGTCATCAAGAAGATAGACTATAAATTAATGTTGATGTAAACTCAAGGTGATAAGCAGAATGTAATGCATCTACCAAATGCATGCAATAGTGAGCATCAATATTTCCTAAGGATAACTAATGGGCATAGAATTTTATTTTAAACTACCCATAGCATGTTCAATGTTTGTTTTCATTAATTCCTACAAGTAACTTATAAATGTTAATTCCTAAAAAGTAAGATTGATTAACTCTCATTAATAAATAAATAATCCTGGCGGATGAGAAAACGGTTAATGTTACACTAGGGACAATAAAATATTTATGGATATGATTTTTTAATATATAAATTAATTCCTTTCATTGTTGCGATGAGTGATCATCTTTCATGTCAATAAATGTAATCTCTACTGAAGGTGCAGACCAAAGGGATTCTGTAACCCAGTGGCTAAGGCTAAGCTTACAAAGGGGTTTCAATAGACTTTGTAAGCACAATCCACCTATTGGAGAGACTATACTTTAATATTAAACTCTCAAACAAATCACTGATGCTTCGCTAAAGGCTCCGAAGAGGTTCCAACTAGAAAAGCCTGAAGACCCCATCATTCCATGTACCCTCCCTCCCTCCAGAGAAAACCTTCATAGACTTTTACTAGGCCTGACCAATTGATACTCCTAAGATTATATATATTTCTACAAATCAATCATGACACCAATTAAACTCCTTCAAGATGAATAGAAGCTTAAGAACTGTTCGCTGAGCATGCAGTCCCTCATTGGTTGTATTTGATAGTACTTTGAATTATAACTTGAAACAAAAAAATGGATCAATTAGATTCATCCTGGAGCAAGAAATGAACGGCATGAGTCCAGCTGAAAGATGAGAAAGGTTTCCTTCTTATTATACAAAAAAAATCAGTAAAACTTTCTCGGTGATGCTCTGAAATCACATCACAGCAAGTATCTCCGAATTCCCAGAGACAGAAATGTAGCCAAAATGATAGACTAACACAATACAAATCCAATCAGTTCTGTGATTATTTTTTTTCCCGCAAATGCATCAAAAGATTTGCCAATACTTGCACATGTCATGAGCCGGGTTTTCTGGTTGAATTGGAGTGCCAATGTCTATTTTTATCGTCAACTTCAGTGTCTTCGGTCAATTTAAATCAGGCATTGCTTTGGCATGAGAGGTTCAGCTGATCACTTTGGAAACAACTCCAGCACCAACTGTCCTCCCTCCTTCTCGCAATGCAAATCTTTGTCCTACAAGAAGATGATGCAAGAACTTGAAGCAAACGATGCAATTTGCCGAAAACTCCAAAAAGGACAGTCACAAAGTAAGAACTATTTCAGTTCATTCACAAAGTAAGGACAGTCAATTTAAAGGACACTCACAAAGTATTTGGCATATTATACTGTTCCCTTGTACTTTCATTTTGGGAATTGTCAATTCTTGCTTTTGTCCCTCTTCTTTCAGGGTGGGTTTGACGTAATATTCAGTTGCTAAGATTACAGGTTTATCAAGCAATTTTCCCATAAAGGAAATGGGACACGCTCCTCTTTAGATTCAGAGGGGTAGGTGCAAGTTTCATATTTGATCACAAATGTCTATTAGATCATTGGATACCTTATCATAGTCATTGAAGAGAAGCTAAACAATGACTATGGAAAGAGTAGTGCAAGGAAAAATTCACATAGAAAGAGAATCGTGTTGGCTAGCAGGAAGAGATGAAAAATACGGAAAACTATGTATCAGAGAAATGCGGCAGTGCTTGGAGATTATGTCAAAAGTCATTAAATGATGATTCAAGATAACCTTGGAAAAACGAACATAATTTTGCCAGCAGTCATGAGAGAATAATGCAGCACAGGGAAAATACTAAATGATAGTCTTGTTTGCCCCAAGTTGGAACTGGTGAAGGTTGAATTTAAGTCATTCACTGAAAGCAACCACTATAGCTATATTAAGTCCTCAAGGATGATTACTGTTCAACAAGCTTGATGTACTCAATGTAGAATGCACAAGCTGAATTTTCAGAAAACGTGGTACAGAACCATGCATATATGCATACACAATCTTTCAGTTAGGTCAAAGTTGGAAGCATTACCGGCTTCAAGTGGAACAGCTGATATTAACTCGAAAACTGCAGTCACATTATCACCAGGCATAACCATCTTCACATTTTCTGGCAATTCAACCTTCCCAGTGATATCTGCTGTCCTCATGTAAAACTGAGGCATGTAATTGGAGAAGAAAGCCGTATGGCGACCACCTTCATCTTTTGTGAGCACATAAATCTCTGCCTCAAATCTCTTGTAGGCTTTCAAACTAGCAGGTTTACAGACCACCTGCAATTTCGATTGGAAAGTAAAAATGAGGAAACCATCTTTAATAGGAAAGAAAGATAATCTTAATGAGCTTCATGATATTGAAGTAGATGCTTTCAAGCTCAGGTAATTATAAACATTATGGGAAACGAACCAGAACTGATGTCAACCCAAAAAACAACAAAGTCAACGTTGAATAAACCCATTCCTCAAGAGACACTCAGGTCAATGACAAACCTGTCCTCGTTGCACGTCTCCACGCTTAAGACCACGTAGAAGAAGGCCCACATTGTCACCAGCCTAATCAAAAGGGGGCTCCAGTCATACACTGATGGCATAAACGCTAAAAAAGTTAAAAAGGCAACAACAGGAAAAAGCATGCCTGTCCATAATCCAAAATCTTTTTAAACATCTCCACACCAGTAACAGTTGTCTTCAGAGGACCACTCTGCAATAATAGAAATGAATGCGATAATCAAATTATGACAAATAATTGTAAAATCAATTATTCCAACATTACTATCAGTCAACTATCCTCACTTTGCATAAATTCCAACGTGCATAAGATGATTGCATAAACTACCGCACAGCTACAAAGGATGATGATTATTATTATTGCACCAGCACTTATCCTCATTTCTCATACTAAATTATTGCAACAATTCTATCCTCATTTGGATAATCTCTGATTGACGAAGGATGAACCTAGAGGCTTGTAAGGATGGTGATTATAATTGTGAACCGCACCTGTGTTAATCCTAGGATCTCAACATCTTCTCCAACTTTGATTTTTCCTTGTTCAACACGGCCAGTTACAACAGTTCCGCGTCCCTGTACAAAAGATAGGGGAAAACCAATTATACAAATCTAACTCCAAGATAGACTTACGAAAAGGATAAAATAATTACTCAACATCAAAGTCAAGCAAAGCATGCTAAAGTAGTTGAAATAAAGAGTTGCTACAGAGAAAACACTCACAAGAGGAGAAAAATCACAGTCATTTATTACCCAGGTTCAGCAAAACATCAATCAGTGTGGCTACAGGGAAATCAGAAAGAAATAACTAAGCCATTCAACAAGAGACGTAATAACTGAACCACTTAGGACATAAATAGCTATATCTAAACAAAACAACGATGGACAGTATCTGCGGGGTTTTATATGGCCAAGATCCTAGCGCGAGTTCAAGACTGATACCTAGCCTGTCTTCAACCCATGTTGTAGACATAAAAGTTTCTGAATGAAAATAACTAAAACTGTGACATCTGAAGGAGGAACTTCTAGAAGGGCATCAACAATCCTAGGTAGGGAAATCACAGGGTGATAGATCCTCACTTTATTTAATACACAAAAAGCTCCAGACAATCAATTCCCATATCAGCAACGAGCAGCGTTTCAAACTTGGATCAAATAAGGAATATTGATTACTCACAATGATTTGGCAAATAATGGCCACAAGAAAAAAAAATAATGAACACCATAAAACTGGCTGAACTAATGAAAATATGAGAAGCTTGAAACAGGCCATAAATCAAAACCAAAAAAGAAATCTAGGTATGTCATTCCAAGCCAAAATCAAACAAGACGACAGAAGTGGAAGAGAAATGACAAAAATATTTGCCAAAATAGTTGTTGACAAATGGAAGAAAGAGAGAGAGAGAGAGAGAGGGGGGGGGGGGGTTAAAGGAAAGAAAGAGAGACAAAAACGAATAGAAAACAAAGGAACCACGATGACCAACTAAAAAAGGAGATGATAGTGAAGAAAGGGTAAAACAGCATAAAACGACCATAAAAAATGATGCCCAGCAAATGATGGAGGGGAAGAAAAAGATAGAAAAATAATGTTTCACCAGAGAGCTGTCCCGCCACCGACAGAAGATGAAGCAATAGAAGGATCTCCAACTTATAACAATCACAAGAAGCAATAGGAGCATCCACACTGCTCAATGTTCTCTGCCTGTTATTCTTGTTCTTCCTTTTTCACTTTTAGTTACGACTATTGAGAGCAGCTGGCTTAGGTATGATTTTTTTTTGTCAAAACATAAGACTGTCAAGAAAATATCCAAAATCAAATATAAATATTGAACTGCATAAATAGTGACCTGAATTGAAATCAAATTGAAGATTTTATTAAAGATCATTAAAGTTCCATACCATACTATGAATCATACTATAGTCACGTTCACGCGAATCCATGAGCATTATAATTTACATAAATGACATTTTAGACAATATTTTGCTAAGAACACCAGATGTATTAGATGAGTACTCCACAATCTATCAGATTATTTGTATCATACAAGAGGATTCCCAAAATTCCAGTGGCCAAAGAAAGAGTAGCAAGATATTACTTTGAAAACATAAATGATGACTACCAAGTTGGAAATTTCCCATGGATTTGCTACGTGCACAAGATAACAACGTGCTTTTTCTAAAATCAAGTGCTTAAATGTTACTACCGACTGACCTGAATAGAGAAAACGTCCTCAATTGGCATTAGGAAAGGCTTGTCAAGCTGGCGTACAGGCTCTGGAATGTAAGCATCCACAGCATCCATTAACTTGAGGATAGACTTTCTCCCTATTTCTTCGTTTGTACCCTCCAAGGCAGACAAAGCTGAACCTCGAATGATGGGAATCTCGTCCCCAGGAAATTTATAGAAGCTAAGGAGCTCTGAAAAAGCATAATTTCATATCTCAACAACGTTTATCAAATCTAATGAAAATATACACCACGACCGTGACTACAAAACATACCACGAAGTTCCATTTCAACAAGCTCTAGAAGTTCCGGATCATCGACAGCATCAACTTTATTTAGAAAACAGACCAACGAAGGAACACCAACCTACAAAATCTAGAAAAAATAAAACCACTTTCTACAATTAATTAGGGAACTACAATTCATGTACCATTGTACACCCACTACCTGGCGAGCAAGCAGAATGTGTTCCTTTGTTTGTGGCATTGGTCCATCTGGTGCAGAAACAACAAGAATACCCCCGTCCATTTGTGCAGCTCCAGTAATCATGTTCTATAATTCAAAGAATTTCTTTAGGACATCACAATTAAAAGACCACTAGTTAGATATGATGCTTACAGCTTTTACTTGTGTACGAGTAACATTAAAATACGAACCAAAAAAGAACAAGATTTGCGCATTGCAAAACAGAGTAATTAGATGCTGAATATTGCAGGGTTAACAATTTTTTAGTTATCTCACATGTGTCGACATGACCGAATATTATTTCAGAGTTCACTGCCATAAGAATACTGAAAAATTGAGACGTGGATGATCAGACAGGTGGAAACTCAAGAAATGCATTCTTTATCCACAGCATATACAATGATAAGTATTAGAAAACTTTATGTCAAATAAAAGTTAACGAATCTAAATTAAACACTCATAAAAATCTTCATCCATATGTGACGGTGCACGTCCATAAATCAAAGGTTTTGGTGGTCAATTAACGTGAAAGTATATACCTAAGTCCATAAAATACGCAATTTCGTTATTTGCCTTTATTCTGGTTCGTAACTTTTACAATACTCTTTCTAGAGACTTAAATTGCTGAACCTGTCAAACAACAAATCGATCTTCTCTTAAAACTGAGGAAGAAATTCGATATTTGAAACCTTAGGCAAAAGATAAGTTCATAAAACGTGAAAGAGGATATACAATGATCTCAGGTAGAAATCTAACTTTATCCATGTAGTTCTATTGAGCCTATAAAAATATTTTCTACTTGCGTCAGCACAATGTAATGATATACATTAAACAGAATAAACACAGAATCACTTCCACAATCCTTTTCCAGAAACTTCCGCGACTTGAGTTTCCTTTATTTTTCATTTTCATGTATTCATTCTCTTTTGCTCTCGGCAAAGTTCCTATCTCCTGTGTGGCACTGCATTATAGAATTTTAAGATGTTCGACTTCTCTGGTAAAATCAAGGCATTAGACGAGGGTCACCATAATCATCAACTTTCTTCTACAATTCTCTAATCAGTAATGCACTTTTTAACATTCATGAGCTTCCGAACCAAAAAAGGAAAGTCGTCATCTGATGCAATTAGACAGAAAAACAATCATTAAATTTTCAAAACATGATCGATATGTCTCATATTTAACCATATCTACGAAAGATATATCTGCTAATTTTGCCTTCCAGGAAGACGACAGAAAAGTAGACTTACGATCATTACTCACCACTGCTGGTCATATGATCAAAGTCGTAACATGATTTTTTAAGCCATGGGGGTTTGGATCTATGACTTGTGTGCATTTTCTTGTTTTTTCGCGTCCTTTAAGACTCGTGTGAATTTTTTTGGCTGAGCCAACAAAAAGACATACTAAGTTTATTCATTCAAACCTGGAAAGTCCGAACTGACTACAATAAGAGATGAAAATATTCTTCTCAGTGAGGAAAATAGAATGAACTACAAGTAAATGATGATTTTCAACAACATGATGGATTGATTAATGAACTAAAAATACCTCATGAGTTTTGTAATATTAAGTTTTATAATTTCATAAAACTTGACATTAGGTATTCCATTCATTTTATTATAAATTAATTATTATTTTAATAAAGCAAACGAATTTCAAACTATAACCAAATCCCCATGAAAAATTTAAAAGAAATGTCCTTTATTACTTCAAAGCTTTCACTTTTGTATCAAAAGACGTAAGGCCCCAAACAAATGACATAAAGGAAAAAAGGAAATTATCAATCTGATAATAATTTCATGTAATACACCCAACATTAAGGACTATTTAACCCCATTTTCTGGTATGAGAACGTATTTTTTAGGATACGATGTAGCAGTATGCATAACTGAGTTTAGAGAGAAACATCATTGGCTACACAATTCCAAGTGGTAGTCTGATGTCTTCACACCCCTGTTTTTGGCCTTTTAATAATGCAAATGAATCTTATTAATGAATCTAAAAGCTCACCGGCATAAAACATTCGAGCTACATTATCTGTCATGTTTAATACTAAACATTCGAGCTACATTTCATGTTTAATGAAATCAAAAGACTTTGGAATCTCAAAAACAAAATTCTGCTAGGGTGACTCTGGAATTCAAAAGGCAATATTGGATAAAAGAACGCAATGGTTCGGTAGTTATTTATTCATATTAAACTGAATGTCCTAGGAAGGATAGCACATTCATCATAGCATGTTATACATCGTCTACATATTTTTTATGTTTGCCTAGGAAATGTAGACATGTGACAGCTTACTTTAACATAATCTGCATGTCCTGGACAATCCACATGGGCATAGTGTCGTGTTGCTGTCTCATATTCCACATGGGCCTGCAATTAAACAGGCAGTTATAGCCATCATTGGCAGAATGAGATTAGAACTCTTCGGAAAAAAATGAATTTTAGTCAGTTGCCAAGGGAAGCTCAAAAGATTCCTCACAGTAGCAATGGTAATTCCTCTAGCCTTCTCCTCAGGGGCCTTGTCAATCTCATCAAATGCCACTGCTTTCGCTTTACCCTCTTCTGCTAGAACCTAGAATGAGAGAATCACACAGCAACTCATTTGAAAGAAATAAATTTATGCAACAGAATAAATTAGAAACCAGAGATGATGATCAAACTTATACAACAAAAGAAATTTTAACCTTTGTAATGGCTGCCGTAAGGGTGGTTTTCCCGTGATCAACATGTCCAATAGTCCCAACATTTACATGGGGTTTCCTGGCGCCACAATTAATCGATGTAAGTATAAACCCATTAATGTGAAATGATTTATCTCTACCAACAACGTATCTCCCGCTAAAAGAAACCATCCAAGAGGTTGTCTTCTAGAAAAAAGGACATCAAAAAATTCAACACAGAACGAACTGCTATATTTAGGCTAGACATCGTATATAACCAATGTTTTCTGTATAAAGCGCAAAACTTCTGACAGTTATTCTTCCAGAGATTCTAATCCCTTGCAAATATTCAACGTCTTCCATTTATGAAGTGGAATCCAACTAGAGCACTGAAGTGAATAAAGGAAAAGTAGTCGTTCCTCACACCAGGGGATCCTGGACTTTCAGGAAAAACATTCTTGGCGGAACTTAGAAGAAAACAAACATTTGAAACGGAGAATGCGACTGTGAAAAAAGTAACAAGTAAAGAAGAATGCAATCCTACACTATGAACCCTTAATTTGCCAATGAGGGATTAAGAAAGGAGGCCATATTAAACTTCTCAAACTTGCATGGAATCGAAGCAAACTATGCACTGTCGGTGAAAAAAGTATGATCCGATACAATGACACACGTAAGAGACAAGCATCAAAAGAAAAAAAACTTGTAAAGACTATTCCGACAACAACCTCCGAACGTGAAACCTCACAACGCGAAACAAAGCCACATGAAATGAGGAAGCGAATAGTACACATTTCCATCAAGCTTCCCTTCTCCCACTTACGTCCGCGTAAAGGTCGCCATGGATCGCGACAAGAGCCCCAAAGCCCCAGGATCCCTCCCATCGGTGGATGACCGCAACGCATCCAGCCCACAGAACCCTGTTCTCCAGATCACAGGCCCTCGGCTGCAAGAGCTGTAGACAGGGTAAGGGGTCGTAATACCGAGCACACGCCTGGAGTTGGAGTTCCTTAGGATTGCTCCCACAGCCATGGCGACTCTCTCTCTCTCGCTCGCTCGCTCGCTCGCTCTCTCACTCCCTACACTGCATCCTCCTGCACCGGGTTTTGGGCCGCCCTCCTAAAACCCTAACCGAACCTGCACCGTTTGGTTCTTCATCATCCGAACCGGTCTGGGCACACGCAGCCGATCCGAGTGATGATCTTCCACTAAGATTCCCAATAAAATAGTTTAATTACAAAAAACTCCTTATAAGTGAGATTTTTTTGTTGTATAACTACACAGGCCAAGCTATATCTTAGGGGCAAAGCTGGTCTTGCATTTAGAAACACTTTTGCATGGTGTCTGTCCATTGCTACATAGGAAGTTGGGAATCACTTTTAAGGCCATGGAGAAGCAATTGGAGAACAAATGACAGCAGCAATTGAGAGGGTTGGAGGTGGATGTCACACTGTAAAAACATGTGGCAACAAGCACACAACCAATGACTATCCTAAGATGTATTGATATAGTTTAAGAAGACCTATCAAAAGAAAGACAAAAGGTTTTTGAATTAGGTGGCTAAAAAGCCATCTAAAGGTGTGAAAATTACTCATAATTTAATTTTGTGATCAACTGCAATTATAAACCTATTTTAAAATCAGCACAAATCAAACAAATAATATATCACAATTTCAATTCAATTCAAGTGAACTAGAAGATCAAGAGGTGTGAAGTCTTTATTTAACCCAAATTCAGTTCAAAATGACTCTGAGAGATTTAGACACATGTCAAATATATCAAAAATCTCAATTTTCAATTTTATTATTTATCATATTTTGTTTATGTAAAATAATCCCCTTATTAGGTTTAGGGTGTTCCTACTCTTTAAAGACGTTCTAACAAAATTTATATTTTCCTTATACATGTTCTAACATAATCTACTCCTTTCTAAGTTAGTTATAACTAGGTTTTGGCTTATAATAAGGCCTTCTTTGTAGCCCTAGAGATATTCAAGTTTATTTCTATCAAAACTCAAAGACATTCAAATTTTCTTCTTTTGAGGTTCTATTTTTCTATTGGTGGATTTCAACATACTCTATGGACTTAGTAAAATAATTTTATCCTTGTGGACTCAAAGGTTGAGGTTTCTTCACAACCTCTTGAAATATAACATATGTTAGATGAAGACAAACTATTAAAGTTTATAGTTATTCATTAATTTTTGGGCATAATTAAAGTTGTGTTGCTATGAGAAAATGATTTATCATGACAATGAGGATCTACTAACAAACCATTATATCTCCCTACTCATTGTCATGAACATCTTTCATCTATTAGAATTCACTAACAAACCATTATATCTCCCTACTCATTTTCTATCACATGAACATCTTTCACCATCATATGAACATATTATCATCACCCCTTCCACTATATCTAAGGCTTTACCTAAGGAGGAATGGAAACAATTAATAAATGAAGAGATGGAGGCTTTCGTAAAGAATAAAATATGAGAATTGGTGAAGTTTTCAATAGGAAATAAAGCTATTAGTTCCAAATCAATATATAATGAAATGTAGACAGATGGATCCACAAAGATATTCAAATTTAGATTATTTATCAAAAAATATACTCAAACTTATGGGGTTGATTATCTAGAGATCTTCACTACCAAAGCAAAAACAAACATATTTAAAATTCTGCTATCTTATGTGATTTATAATAATTTGATGTGAAAAATGTTTTTTCATAGAAATTAAGAAGAAAAAATTTATATGAAAGTTTCACTAAGATATAGAAAGAACTTGAATGTTGATCTAGCATGAAAATTGAAGAAAGCATGGTATGAATTAAAACACTCACCGAGAGTATAGTTGAACAAGACTACAGAAGCCATGGTCACGTTATGGGGCATAGAAAAAGTGAAGGAGACAACACATTATTCATTAATCACTCACCTTTAGGAGTTACATGATTATTAGTATATGTTGATAACATAGTATTGACTAGAAATAATAAGAAAGAAAAAGGTTATATGGATAAGTGTTTGTCAAAATAATTCAACGTTAAATATTAGTTTAGTTGAAATATTTCCTTAGAATCAAGATTGCCTAATTAAGGAAAGTCATCTTTATCTCATAATAAAAACATATCATGGATCTTTGGAGAGATACAAGTAAAACCACATGTAAACTATTGAGTGCCTCGATAGATTCAAATCACAAACTTAGTGGTGGAAAGGAGGAAGATATGATCAATAGAGAGATATATTAGCAATTGGTTGGAAGATTAATTTATCAATCTCACACCTTATGAAATGTAACATTGCATTGTCTATATATAGATATTGATGATGTAGGGTTAATCAGTAACAAGTGATCTACTTTAAGTTATTGTACTTTTCTTAATTGCAATATCATGAAATAGCAAAGAATGAAGCAAAAAATGCTAGCATAATTAAGTAAAAAATCTAAATTTCAAGAAATTACCCAATATGTATGCAAACCACTTTGGGTAAAGATTATTCTAAAAGATTAAATCTTAAATGGAATGATCTGATTATGTTATATTATGAAATAAGTTTGCAGTCACAGCTCAATATAGCATAAGATCAAACTAGATATATTGAGATTGACTGATACCCTCAAGAATAAGATCAAAAGTGGTTTAATTTTTATGTCTTATGTGTCAATAGAATTAGCCTGCAGACACATTTACTAAGGGGTTGAGTAGTCTAGCATTCTAAAATCTTATATCTAACTTGGGAATGGGTATATATTCTCTAGCTTGAAAGGGAGTGTCAAACTATAATAAATTAGTATTTATTATACTTTTTACTTTTTGCTTTTTAAATTTGAACTAGTTTGTCTCAATCAAATTCATTATAGAACTCACCTAGTCCAACATATGACAACATGGTTCCATTGTACTGTCAAGTAGAACCCATCAAAGGGAGTCAAGTATGGCCCATTAAAAGGGTTAGGGGTGTTGAGAAGGGTCAAGCTGCTCACTTAAGGGGGAAGTGGAACCCTTCTACATTAGATGTGTGATAATATGGGGGATAGATATAAAATGCCCCATATCTTTATATTTAATGATATTATTGCTTGTACCTCACAAAATATGTACTTTTTCATGGGAGTATTTTAGGCATTTACACTCTCCTATGTAACGTTTGGAAATGGCACTACCTTGCATAAATGAACAGCCAAGGGGAAAGAAATTACAATCTAACTGTATAGAAGCAAAAAAGTAAACCAATTTCTAAAGGTCCAATCTTTTATGGGCCTATCTCATAATGAAAATGTTAATCACATGCTTATGAATGAGAAGCCCAGTCCGAGCATGCTTACAAATGAAAAGCATTAATAAAAGTAGGCAGAAGCCATTAAGCCCTAGTGGATCGATATGCATCCTCCAACTTGGCCCATCCTAAACATTAACTACTAGCAAGTTGAGCCTCATACTTGGGCCCACTAAGAAAACAACCCATAGACTAGATAAATAAGCCTTTGAATTTTAAAATTAACCAAATATTTCCATATTTCGAAAGAATTCAATTAATACCAAGTATGAAGGTCCATTAAGTGACCCAATAAGAAGAAGCCATGATGTCCCAACCCACAGGAATTTATGTACCATGGAAAGGGGCAGAGGAGAGAGAGAGAGAGAGAGAGAGAGAGAGAGAGAGGAAGAAGGGCAAAGATAGTAACGTAGATAAGGGGATAGAGTAATTTTTTCTCTCTCTTACATTAATAAAAAATATTTATAAATTTTATTCAAATTAAATTGAGGGCCCAAAGACTAATAAAATATGTGTAACCATGAACCTCCTGGAAAAAGAGAGCTATCATCCATAATTATTCATTATTAACTCTCCCCCTTCGTCCGGATACTATGATTGGACCGGCAACCCCGTTCCGGTCCGGACCGGCCTGCTGGTTCCTGCGACGATCGGTTCGTACTTCAAGCGGTTCGATCATGGTATTCAACGGATAGCCAAGGTGGGCCCCGGACTGCCGGTACCGTGAGCCCCCCTCTCGCTGTCGCCTAGTCACTGCTCCCTCCTCATCCTCTGCCCTACTTAACTGCCTGCAGGATCTCCCTTCCCCTTCCCCTTCTCCTTCCCTCGGCGGATGTGGTGAATCCTGGCAGGTGATCCGCTTGCCGGCGATGCCGTCGCTTTACTCTGCTCCCTCGTCCACGGACGGCGAAGCCGCCGCAGCGGAGCTCAGGTTGAGGGAGGCGGAAGAGCGGCTGCGGGAGGCTATCGAGGAGCTACACCGCCACCACCACCACCACCACCACCACCACCGAGGTAAATCCGGGAACAGTAGCGAAGAAGCTAATGTCCTCGATTGTGACCACCCCGGCGAATCCTGCACCGCCCATGCCGTGGGCAATCTCTGCCAGAGTTTCTTGCTATCCTATGGCGTCAGGGTGGGGATCGGAATACTTCTCCGCGCTTTTAAGCTGGCGCGGCGTCAGTCGTACTCGTCCATCCTAGATCTCAAGGTGTGTACAACACTCCTTTCATATTTCAGTTCTTTTTCTTTACTTGGGATCGAGGTATATGCAATCTTAACCGTTGATGCACGGAAGCTTGTGAAAGATTGATAAATTCACATCATTGGATTAGTATAATATTGGTTTTTTCAGTTCCAAACCACCTAATATCATTGCAGTATTAAGTTTTCGACGATCGAAATTCACCAATTCATCAAGTTCTTTTTGGATTTCGTTGAAATGCAATTCAGTATTGTGTGCAGTGATTTTTTCTCACAAGTTGAATATAATGCTGGGGGATACGATGTATCCTCTCAAAATTTGTTCTTATTCTCTTTTTAATGTTTGCAAAACATGTTAGCAATTGTTTTTGAATCAGAAGTCTTTTTTCGAATTTTACTTCAAAGTTGAGTGGCAGGGAAAAAAATAACGCATCACTATTTTCGTCCACATGTTTCGCTTCCAACTGCTGAACTCGGATAGGAATTTGTTAACTTTACAAGCTTGGAGCCATATGATTACGGTCGATTCAGGCTTTTAGTGAAGGGAAGTGAAAAGCATAAAATCTTTCTTTCGAATCAAAAGTCTGCTGAAATCCCCCAAAATTCGCAGTTAAGTCCTAATCTCCGGGAGCTGAAATTTCCCACCTAATGTAGAAAGCGCGGAATTTGGACGTTTCTCCATCGAATTTTGCATTTAGTTTCTGACTTGCGTCCAACTATATGTCAAAAAATCAACATTGTTGCATTGGTTTCAATCTTTCTTTAAAGCCTAACGGGTTATTTGAAGAGAAACTTAAAAATATTTATTTTCATAAGTTAGCAGTATACTCTCAAGAAGCATCTTTATATTCTTCTCATTGTGGGTCATATTTTAGTTAGAAATCTGTCCGATAAAATCCTTATTAGAGATGGCTCTGGTGGAATGACTTATATGTCGATTGCTTTCAGGTTTAGCTGCGGTATGTTTTTTATTTTTATGAAAAATAAGATAAATTTGGATTATTCTATAGAACAGTACTCAATTGTGACCATTCTACAGTGATAACTGTTTGACACTTATTTGCAGCAACTTGTTTCTGAGAAGGATTTGATAGTAAGAGAGGAAGCATGTCGCATTGGGTTGCTTTTTGGTGGCTTTACTGGATCATATCATGCTCTTCGATGCTTCTTGAGAAGATTTCGAAAGAAAGAGACACCTTTGAATGCGTAAGTTTAATAAACAAGTGTGATATTCGTCTAATTTCAAATTGGTGTTTCAAAGTTAGTTGCCCAATGGATTCTCGGAATTTGACTGATTAATGTGAGGCTTTCTTTAAATGTGAAATAGTTTTGTGTCTAACTCTATGTGAAAAAATGCAGTGGCTTCTCAAGTATCACAACAGAAAACAATATACCTTAGACTAGACTGTTCTCACCTATTCTTGATTGTGAGCATGTTTATGGCACACGTTTCAATCTGCGTGATTTGGTACTATTCTTGAATATATTAGAATACTAGACGTTTTTAATTATAAAGAATAAAACATTTGCTAATTGTGTGGAAATAAATTACTTGGACCAACTCATTTGGACCAGCCGTCATTTTTGGACTAATGAGTCGGAACCATGTGAGAACTAGAAGTCTACCATCCTATAAGTGGACAAACACCTCCAAGGTCAGTTCACATTCAAAACGTACTCATTCAGAAACTAGTCAACTTGACTTGGAAGCAACACATTCCAACTCATAAGAATTCTTCCGACCAACCCCAAGTCAATTCAATCAGTAAATAATATAGAGGAAAAGATATAATTATAAATTTATAAAGTGTGTCTCCAAAAGAATTTACTAGATAACAAGAGTAAAATTTGTAAAATTGAATGATCAGTAGGTTTTGAAAAGTCAAAGTTTTTTCGAAGATATGAAAACCAACCATATTTGTAATAAAGTCACAATTGTTTAAGATACTTTATCATGGAAGGGACGGTATTTTTTGTTTTTGGGAGGGTTGGGGCTGGAGATAGTTCCGTCATCTTGGTGTTGTCTACAACATCTTCAACAAAAGGGTATTTGAAGAGTGTACTCTTATGTTTATCCCTTTTGTCTCCTTGATTTTAGTAATCTGTCACACTGCAGATCTTTAATTAACCAGCATAGTAGCAGCAGTCTCTCGAATACTGAGGCCGGATAACATGACAAAGCAATGGTGGTGATTGTTCCTTCCCTATCTTCTTATTCTTTTTTTCTTCTTCATCATCTTTCTTTTCATAGTAAGAATGATTGGCACTTTTGAAAGCACCTTAACCCATTTGAGATTGCCCTTGTAATATCCAAGCCAACTCAATTGTCATGGTTACCAAGTCAGACCCCTGAACTCAGTGTGGTCACAGATTAAGACTGGGGATATGTCTCGAGAATAATAAGATATCAATGAGTTTGTCATGGACGCACGGATGTTACATTTTTTCTAGCGTTGTTGCAGTCATCTACATCGTCAACCAGTTTTCAACTAATTAGCGTTGGGGCTGCAGACCCAATTCTGCTGTATGTCTATTATATACGTCATGTTTATAATTATCTTGTGTTGTCACTTTTTTTTATATTCACTCTAAACAGCCAATATTTTCAATGCGTGTGAAACAAGATGTCAAGCACAGTTACCCCTCAAAACTCGGATTTTGTATCTCATGTGAAATTGCAATGGAACTGTTCTAGGACCCTACTGTATGGACAACACGTGCTTGACATGGTTGCTTTTTTAATTTAGTCCCTTCCAAAATTACCTGTAAAACTAGTAATGCTCCTTTCTCTGGTTTTCTTATGGAGTGTGGAGTCATGATTCCTCCTCCATATTCATGACTGAGTTGAAGGTCATGATGGAACAGAATTTTAGCAGGTTCAATTGCTGGACTCTCTATACTGGCACTAGATGACTCAAGCAGGAGGCGAACACTTGCTTTGTATCTAGCAGCTAGGCTTGCTCAGGTATGTTAATCATCTTTGGTGAACTTCTTTTACTGCTTGCATACCATTGCTGTTTTCTAACTTTTTTTGGTTCTGTGATCTTGTGTTTGGCTTCAGTGTGCATACAATTCTGCAAAATCAAAGAATAAGTTTCACTTTTGGGGAAGCCATTGGAGCCATGGGGATGCCTTGCTATTTACATTAGCATGTGCCCAGGTGATTTTAACCTTGCACCTGTTTAGCAGTTTATGAAAGTACCTGTTTCAAACATTTCTGTTTGGAGTTCATGTGCTTGTGTTGATTATTTCCTTATAGGTCATTGCAACTATTGCTCTTTTCTGAATGCCCAACTTCCAGTAGTCTCTCTGCATTGTCATCAACAATGCAGTGAAAGTGTGATAAATTGAACAATGCCATCCTGTTGGTTTCATTTAATCAGATTATCAAGGAAATAGTGAGTATTCTCTCTGTGGAAAATATCTGAATAAAGCTACTAAAAGGCGGGCAATTGGTAAGGGTGGGGCTTTCCAAAGTTGATAATGAAAATCATCACAAAATTAGATGGTTCTCTTGGGAAGCCATCTTCTATAAATATAGAAACCAGGGGCGAACAGGTAACCTCTCTTTGGTCTTTGCTCATCATCGCTTTCATAATCTGCTTCATGTCAATGTTTGGCAAATGATGAAACTACTTAAACCCTGTTGATGTCATCTAAACATCTGATTATTAACTACTTAAACCCTGTTCTTGCTCATGTCAATGCATTTTTCAAACGGAAGCGTTCTTTGTCTCAGTAAGAAATATGCATTTGAAAGATGCGACTGATTGGTACTTGATCTGTGTTGCACTTTATGACTAATTGAGATTTAAAGGATATTGAAAGTGATAATTTATTTGCTGATCCTCCAATGGAGAACAGTACTTTCCGCAACATTCCATGCTTCACCCTCATTATTTTTTGTAACCTTTTCCATCTAGCTTGTTTTCTTGATAGATTCGGAGTTCAATAGGATATTAGTTTATATAGAAAGTAATCCACAGTGATCACATACATTCTTCTTGGTACCAAAGACTCTTAGGTAATTGTAAAACTGTTAACACCAAATTTCATCCCATTTCAGGTGATGTATGCCTTTGTAATGCGGCCTGAAAGCTTGCCCAAATCGTATCAAGATTTTATACAGAAGACTGGACCAGTTGCAGAACCTGTGTATAAGGCTGTAAGGGACAACTGTAGGGGTTGTGCTGTGGATGTTGCGGCTCTCTCAGACTATTTATCGGGCAGAAAGGGGTTCAGTTCTATAAACTTGGAGGAATACCCATCCATAATCCCCTGTTCTATCATTCATCCAGACACGAAATCTTGCATTGTTCAAAATGCTTCTGCAGCCTCAGAGACTTTCAGAAAGACTTTCCCTCTATATTTCTCGTTGACATTCGTACCATTCGTTGTCCTACATCTAAACAAGGTACCATCTTCTCTTCTGCTTTTTTTTCTGACAGAATTTGGAATTATTTCGTCGGTGAAGTCTTGAAATTTACTAACCGACTTCAAGTATTCTGTTCCTGGAGGAGAAAAATTGAAGCATGTATAAATATGGTGTCTGCTCCTGTTTTTCTCTGGATAGAACTCAAAACCAGCTGATCACACAGCCCAGCTCAGCCAAACTGAAGAGGAGTGTGTGTTGGGGGCCCGGGAAGAGTACTGAACCAATCCTCTATGATATTTGTAGTGCTTTCCAAAACCAGTCGAAGTAACTGATAACTGACCTCTACAATCCTCAAAGTGGCCAATTCTAGACACTTTGCCTACTCGTCTGGCCGATCTCTACTCTCTTCTTACTTAAATATGGTAGTTTCTGCCAAAAGTGCTGTCATTGGGAGAGGAATACCAGAGCACGACTCATTGGCAGAGAGTGGAGGAGCGAGAAAGTAATACAACTCCATCTCTGATGTTGCCACCATGTTCCCTCTCCACTCCGCTTCCAACTTTGACTACTCTTCTTTCCTTCTACCCACCACTGTTTCTCTGCTTATGATTTTATTTATTACTACCCTTCTCTTTCCTTCTCCTCTACTCTCATCAGCCTGAAGATATTTCTCCTGCTGTGGGATCCTGCAGTTTATGGAGAACCCTCTTCACACCTGCTGGTATGCCCTCACGGGAGCGGTTCGTTCTACGTCTTTCCTCTCTGGATTCGTGGGGATATTTCAGGTAACTGTATTCTCCCGTTACCTTTCCATAAAAGGCATTGAATTCTGTTCTTTATCCCTCACGATGATCTATTGGGCGGCACAAGGCAGTCATATGCCTCCACAGAAAGATTGCCACTAAGGACCACAAACTTGTATACTGGCTTGGTGGTGGGATGGCTGCTCTCGCTGTTCTCCTAGAGAAGAAGACCAGGAGAGGGGAGCTGGCGCTGTATGTTCTTCCCAGAGCTGCGGACTCTCTGTGGTATATCCTCGTGAATCGCCATCTGCTCCCAGACATAAAGAACGCTGAGGTATGAAGCACTCCATTGTTACCTACCTCTAGGTATTACCCATTCATATCCATGAACCCTAACTGCTCAAGATTATATGAAAGCGACTGATCGACAGGCAATTATGATTTTCATGTATGAGCCTAAAGTGAGGCGTGTGATATGGCAGGTGCCTCTGTTCTGCTTGTGCATGGGGGGGATAATGTACTACTTGGAGCAGGAGCCGGAGACCATGACTCCACTGCTCAGGGGCCTAATCCGCCGCTTCCTCGCGAGTAGGATCAGCAACCGGAGCCTGTCCTCTGACCGGAGCCCCTCCTACTCTTATTTACCGTCTGCCGCTGCCCCCCCCGATATGGCTGCTCAGTCAACTGCAGCAGAGGAGAAGACTGCATCACTGGAGAAATCATTTTCTGGGCTGTGACTCTCTCTCTCTCTCTCTCTCCCTCTCCCTCTCTCTTGCTTGTTGGACTATCGGTTTGTCTGCAATTCTTTGAATGGCTGTGGGGTTTTTCATCTCCACAAGAAACTACTACTCTGGAAGTATCTACTTACATAAATTGAGGGATGGAGAAAGCCATGAAGGCTTTATGACTTCAACTCTCTCTCTCTCTCTCTCTCTAGAGGCATTGTACTGGGTTCCTTTTGGAGTTCAAACAAATGTTGTGACCAGCCTTTAAGTTCCATCTCCTCTCGTAAGGACCTAAAACCTACGTCCTTGGGTTTCTTAGTGTTACTATATGTGTATATGAGTGTTAAGTGAGGTCTATTGGGATTAGAGTTGGCCTCCTTGGAACGAGATATTTATAATGAATTTCCAAGCGACAATTTCGAAGCATCTTGATGCCATTTTTATACTAAGTTTAGTGAATAATATTATTTAAATAATGTAACAATGCAATCGGACCAAGATGGCTGATAGGTAATAAATAATTTCTCGGTGAAAGACAATCATTAGGAAAGCCCTTGTCATAATTACTTGTGATGGCTTTATCAAATTTCCAACAAATGAGCAGATAACTATTAGGTGCCATTTTATATACTGGTAATATGTTGAATAATATATTTCTTCGATAAAATGGTTCCCCGTTAGTCCCGGGTGATTGTTGGATATTAATTATGTTTTTATATATGTGATTATTAAAAATCCTTGAGATGCTTAAACAAAAGCTCGTAAAAAGTGGGTCTAGTTTCCCCATAACGAGGATTAGAGAGATAGCGAGAGAGAGAGAGAGAGAGAGAGAGAGAGAGAGGTTGGCCATTTGGATGCCGCCATGTGGCAGAGATCCCAGAGATAATGGTTAAGAAAATAGCAGACTATGAAAATCGATTTTCTGGAAATGAGCTTTTCTAGAAATCGTTTCGAACTGCGATTTGAGGCCGCAAGTTAAAAGTGACCCTCATCAGATCGGACGCCCGGGGGGTGTACCTTGTAATCTGACGGTGGTTGCTCGGCGATACGCCAAAGGGCGGATCAGAATCAGAGAAAGTTGGTCCATCCGATGTTCCAGGTCAGCAAAGTCGAGCTTTCTTTTTGGGGGGATGAAATATCCACGTGGCCAATGGGAGCAAGCAAACTCATCCACAGAAAGCAGGGGTCAGAACAACCCCCCATCATCTTCTTCCGCCGTTCCTCTCTCACTCAGCCCGTACTCTCTCTCTTACTTCCCCATCACTTCCTGCTACCCCTCCCCCCCTGCTTCCTCTCTCTTCCTGCTCCCCAGACGCCCGCAGGGGAGGGAAGGAGCGACTGGATAGAGAGAGTGAGAGAGAGGGAGGAGCTTAGTTGGGGACTTTAGCAGGGTGGGAAGAGAGGCAGTTCTTTCTTTGGGCCTCGCCTCAGCAAATCCGTGGCCGAAGCCATGGCTCTGTTCTCGCCGGCCCTCCCCTCGACCTTTTCGGCTTCATGCTCCAAGGCTCAGTTTCCTCAGAAGGGGCGTCTCGCCTTCTTCCCCAAGAGGAGCCTCTCCCTCTTCGTCGCCAGGTCTGCGGACAATGGGACGGGAACCACGGGCTCGGTCGCCGTTGAGGTGAACCCGGAGAAGAAAGAAGAAGCCGCGGCTCCGGTTGCCGTGGAGGAGAAGCCCGAGGAAAATAAGGAGGCGGCGGTGTTGGAGTCCAACGGGGCAACGGTGAAGACGGAGGTTCCTCCTCCCAAGTTCCTGGATCCGAGGTGGGCTCGGGGCACCTGGGACTTGGAGCAGTTCAGGAAGGATGGTACAGTGGACTGGGATGCTGTCATAGATGCTGGTATGCCTGTCCTCCAACACATCTTTCTCAGTATTCATTGATCTGGTTTTTCTTCAATTCTGGGTGTTTGATGTTCATCTACTCGTTGGATTTGGGTTTCGGCATTCAGAGCAGGGGAAAGATATCGCAAAATTTTCATGCTTATTTCTGCACATTTTTTATGGGAGCATTTTTTATTTATTTCGTTGATTCGAGTTAATTCACAATATGAATTGAGGATTATTGCTCGATTCAATTGTGCTCCTTCATCAAGTAGAATAAACTGAGATCATGTAACAGTGTTAATCATTCCATTCTCATGTTGTTCCAAGGATAGGGAGCTTAAATTGCACTTCCTGTTCCGGATGAATGGATGGAGCCATGTAAATATGTCAATTCATCTGTTATAAAAATGCCTTATTATTTTGAAATTTTCCTAATAATTATTTTTAACACCACCAGAAAGTCGATTTCATATACATTAAATCGGAATAGGAAGTGAGTCTGGTTAAATTGGGTATTTTCTTGCGTTATTTCTTACTCCCCTTGCTGCAGGATTTATGAATTCTTTGGCCCTTTGGCTCTTTACATCCCATCGAAGCCTTTCTTAATTAGTTTTGCGGCATTCTGGGCGCTAGGAATAAATGGCTCCATTTAAGGTGAGTGTGCATATTAATGCTTAAAAAAAATACAATAACAGAATTATGTTTGCCTCCAGTGGATGATTTAAAAAAATTATTGTAAAACTGCTGAGGATATCAATCTCTTATAATCTGTCGTACTTCCCCAGAATGTAGCACTCTGTTATATCTTTGATTCAGTCAGAGGCCATAAGTGGCTTGTCCTAATTTGATTACTTGAAGCAGCACTGATTCTATGGTTGCTGGTCTTTGCAGAGGCAAGAAGGAGAAAATGGCTTGAAGACCACCCAGGAGATTCAAGTGTCGATGGTGGTGTGGTATTTGATACTGCCATCATTCCCTGGTGGGCATGGGTCAAGAGATTCCACTTGCCAGAGGCTGAGCTGCTCAATGGTTAAACCTTTACTCCTTTACTGGCCCATGATAGCTAATTTTAGGATGATGCTTTCTCTTGCCTTGAAAGTTTCTGATTGATGGGTTCTGGGATTTCAAAACTGCCATTCAATGGTTGAAACCTACAATTGAACACATGATTTCTAATTTTGGCATATTTGTTGTTATTATACTTTCGAAATTTTCTGATCCATGGCTCTTGAGATTACAAAAATTTATACGGAACGGTTTAAACTTCACTCCTCTGCCGACCCGTGATCACCCATTTTAGCTTAATCGTTGTGCTTATGCCACCTTTGAATCTCTTCTTAATGGCTCTCAAGATTTCGATTTTCTGAAAAGTGCAGGGCGGGCCGCTATGGTTGGGTTCTTCATGGCATACTTTGTGGACAGCCTAACCGGGGTCGGCCTCGTGGACCAGATGAATAACTTCTTCTGCAAGACCCTCTTGTTCGTAGCTGTGTTGGGGGTGCTCGTGATCAGGAAGAACGAGGACGTCGAGAACCTGAAGAAGCTTGTAGATGAGAGCACATTCTACGACAAGCAGTGGCAAGCCACGTGGCAAGATGAGAATGCCGGCGGCCCTCGCCCAGAGTAGATGATGATGATGATGATGATGATGATGTTTATGGGTCGTATGTTGGTCTCTCCCAGCCTCCGGTTATCTTTCACTTTTGTGGCAATTTTATTACGTGATTTTGCTTGTCTGTAGTGTAGGAATATGCAGTGTTTTGGGTATATAGCATGAACTAGTTTGGAAGCTTCATGAGAGAATGTAGGATATGATCCTTACCTTTTCTTTGATGTCTGCTCATTGGGGTTAAAACCAATCTTTTTCTGCTCATATTAGCCCCAATCACCCATGAAATCATTGTCAACGCCTGCCTGTTTGAATGTCCTCCCTCTGCACCCTTTGCCGTTCTTGTCAACATGAGGAGCGTTGTTGTATCAAAGATTGAAGACAAATGAGGTATAAGAGAAGGTCAACTTGGGTCACTCGTGCGTTCAGATAAGTCTCTGTGATCCGAGAAGTCAATGTAAGTGTAAAATGATAGCATCCGATTCAAGGTGTGAATTGAACAGATCTGCTGAATGGGTTGACTTAAAAGGGAACCAATTGGTCAACTAGTAAGCCTTCGACGACGCATAAACTTTTCGAGATCTCGTATGTCGATTTATACATAAAAATTAACGTAGCATATGCTTCAATAATTATGAACTTCTGTCCTCTCTCTGTCTGTAATCGACCTTCCGAAATGGACTAATCTTTCTTCCAAATGGTGGGGTCCCCCTGATGTTGGGCACACCAACGCAGCAGGATTAGGGCCTAAGGGTGAACCCAAGATCCATGGTTGACTTTTTTTCATTGATGTATTTCTTACTAGGCGCTCAAGTGGATTCAACCGCATTATCTACGTACATTTAATTGGGTCAAAGCTTGAGGGGTGATCAGTCGTCAGAACCCCATAAAAATATTACATCTCTCTCTCTCTCTCTAGCTGGCTCACTTTTTCTGTATATTTTCTAATATTCACCCAGTAGAAGCACATAAAATGATAAATATTTTCCTCCTTTCTTGCTCTCTTTCCTTCTCTAGTATTCTTCTTTTTCTCAATTATAGAGAAGGGGGAAGGAGAGGGAGGGGGAAATTGAGCCGTTGGATTTGCACCAGAAAAGCGGGACTGCCAAGAGAAATCGGCCATCCAATTAACTAGATAACTAGCAAAAATTCAGAAATATAAACCCTAACTTATATATCATCATAGTAATAACACAAATAACAGTTACATAAATAGCAAAATTCATTTTAAATGGCGACATAACTTCACCGTCATACACGGATGAAGCCGCCCTCCACACTCCATTAGATCTTCCTGAACTGTGATGAACGAAATTGATTGGGAAGCCCTCCTTCAGCATCAGAAGAATCACAAGACGGATTCATCCATCCACAGACCATTTGATTCAGATTGAGATATCGCCAGCAAAACCTCACAGCTCATACAGACACTGGTTTCATCTACAGAGACTATCTAAGTTCTCAGGTATTCTTGTAATTACGGATTTATTTCTATAATAAGTCCATTACAATGAGAGAACAGTGAGATTATGGGCCTCATGACAATGATCGAACAAGCTCGAGATCAAAGATGCTCAGAAAAACACTGTTTCCACTAAAGCAAAAACTTGGAGAAAAAGGATGAAATACCAGTGTTTTTCTTCCTAAGAGAGGATCTCCATGGCCCAATCAGAAAACCCATCACTAGGCGGTGGCGCCCTCTGGCACTCGAGCAAAGGCGGACTTCCCCCACGACCTGATCCGCCGTCTCCGGAGCCTCTCGGCAATGGCGAAGGCCAGCTCCAGCGACTGGGAGGCATTGAGCCGGGGGTCGCAGTGTGTGTGGTACCGCGAGTTCAGGTCGTCAAAGGTCACCGTCTTTGACCCCCCAATGCACTCTGTGACGTTCTGACCGGTCATCTCCAGGTGGACTCCACCTGGGTGGCTGCCCTCCTGGTCATGGACGTCGAAGAAGGCCCTGAGCTCCGACTGTGGTAGCCATGGCATGTAGAGAGGGAGAATTAGTCATCAGATAGGAGGTTGTTAACATAACTTGAGAACAACATTCTACAAACTCAGAGCAAACTATATGTCATGCGAGCTCAAACTCATGTTTCTTATTAGGAAGGTCGGTCGGTCAGTCAGAAAGAATCTGTAAATGACTGCAGCTAGCTCAAGCAATTGATCTTAGCTTTAAGGGGATATACCTTCTACAGAAAAACTTAGATAGAAATTGGTTAGATACAGAGCACTAAACTAAGGATTGAGAAGAGCCATACCCTGATTGCGTCAAAGGACCGGGTCTTGAGCCCACAGGGGGCTTTCATGGTGTTCCCATGCATCGGATCGCTCACCCAGGACACTATTAGCCCAGCTCCGCGAACAGCTCTGATCAGATGAGGGAGCTTGATCCGCATGTTCTCCGCCCCCATCCTCGTGATTACGGTCAGCCGCCCGGGCTTGTTGTGAGGATTGAGGATCTCACACAGCTTCACTAGTTCAGATGGGTCCATCTTATCGCTCACCTATGCAAGTAGTGACGAGTAGACATCCACAAGATCAGGAACAGATGGTGGGTCGTGCCTTTTGGATCAATTCACGAAAGAACTTGTTTTTTTTTCTTGTCTATTTATGTAGGCTTATAAAGAAAACAAGCTAATGGTTTAAAGGTCTATCAGTATGGGATTAATTACCTTTATGCCCAGGGGATTTGCCACGCCGCGAAGGAATTCGATGTGGGCACCGTCCAGCTGCCGGGTCCTCTCGCCAACCCAAAGCATGTGAGCTGAGCAGTCGTAATAGAGGCCGGAGGTCGAGTCCTCCCTTGTCAGCGCCTGCTCGTATGGCAGATGAAGGCACTCGTGGGAAGTCCAAAAGTCAGTTGTGGTCATCAGGGGGTGCTCCAGAGTCAGACCGGCAGCTGTCATGAATCCAATCGCCTCATCCACCCTCTGTGCCAGCTCCATGTATCTGCCCACAACCAATAGCAACTCAGGATTTATACATATGCATGCATATGAACATATGTATATAACTCCATCATATCATATTTCATATATGTATAAATTCGTAGAAGATTAGGGGTACCCATTGGATGCATGCATGAAAAGGAAAATTCTAATTCTAAGTGAGGCACTGACCGGTCACCCTGCTCACTATGCTGCAGAAAATCAAGGTTCCACTGGGTGACTCTCTGAATAGATGCATAGCCGCCGGTGGCAAACGCCCGGAGAAGATTCAGGGTGCCAGCAGATTGGCTGTAGGCTCTGAGCAGTCTCTGGGGATCTGGAATTCGAGACTTCTCATCGAAAGAATCACCATTGATGTTGTCTCCCCGATATGAAGGTAGCTCTACCCCATCTCTTGTCTCAGAGGAATCAGATCTGGGCTTTGCGAATTGACCAGCCATCCTTCCAACCTGATGAAAAGCGAGGATAAGAGATTTAGCTGAAGATCATTCCAATGAGAGTAGAGATGATGCACAGTGATAAAAATATTATATAAGACTAGATGCATCTCATGACCAATTCTGGCTTTTCTATGGCCAGCAAATAAAACAAGTTTCCCCGACCAATGTACATCCTTTACGAGTGATCCGTTCAATCATAAAAGAGCAGGATACATAAATCTAACTCATCTACGTTTGTCACATCTTCTCTTCGCCATGGATAACTTCAGTTAATAAAGTCAAATAAGCATCAAAAGACCAATAGATCAATGAACAAAATAATTCAATACAAAATGGCATCCCAAGGAACAAGTTATGGCAAAAGTCAGCGTCGACATGTTAATGGGATTGGGCTATAAACGTAGCCATCGCCACTGATATTGTTCTAATGATCAGTGGTGTCGTCTCTAGCACCATATATCTAAAATCCTAAGCCCATGAGGAGAAGTACTGAAACCACTGGAACTTCTAGATGGGTGAATACACTCTTGATGAAGTGGAAAAGGAATTGCAGACCAAAGGAAGAAAAGGTAGAGAGTCTAATTAATTGAGATATAAGCAATATGGATCTACTGGCAAAGCTACTATGGCATATAGGGGAGGAGAAATTTGCTGTGGACAGAAGTTTTGCTGGTAAAATATTTCTGATGTGGTGAAGAGAATAAGTATTTATCCTCTGCTAGATGACTCTTACATCCTGGTTGGAAAAAAATCAAGTTTCTTTCAACACAGTTTCTGATCTGATCACAGAATTTCTTTCAACTGAAACACACTTTCAACAGGGGAAGGGAAAGAATTGAGGCTTTGGAAGGACAAGTATTCAAGGATAGGTGGCACAAGGAAAGTGGAAGAACATGAGCAACTACAACAAATGATTCACTATGTTGTTGTCATACGGAAGGAAACAATATGTTACTTAAACAATAACATCAGAGAGAACTAGATGATCTTAAAAAAAGGCTAAAATTTAATAAAACATGGGCCAATGGACAGAAGAAAAAGAATTTAGAAGCTGGACACATTATTATGCAGGCAACGAAAGGGACGGGGAAATAAACTTGGTATCCCAGTTTTCTTCTCATACCTGTAAAGCATTTTGTCAGACGAGTAGAGAAGGATTTTAGAGGGTTTTTTCTCAGTTTTTGTAATTGTTTCCCCGTAGCAGTAAATTTGTTCATCAGAGTTGGAGTGTGCAAAATTGAAGTTATCTAAACCAAAAACCTTGGTCTGATTATTTGATTCTATGTTCGTACGTTTTGAATTAATATTTAGAAATCCACTGCGTTGATAAAAGCCAGTCCAAAGAAGGGATTTTTTTTTCTAGAGTGAAAGAGTAATTGTCGGGATGACTCCGAGAATGTGAATAATATGAAAAACTTTCACTACTAAACACTAGGATTGACGTTATTAAATTCTTTGGCGATGTTGTATAAGGTCAACACAACGATGTTGATTGAACTTTTGACGAATGTCCAAGTGAAAAAAAAAAGTTTAGCCTCAAATATTCACTGTAAAATGTGGTGCAGCGACAGAAATCAGATCAAATTGGAAAAGATGGGCTTCCAAACTTTATTACAAATACGTCTGAAGTAAAATAATATACAAGAAAACATAGAAGATGATTCTTCCAATGTATTAGTACTAAGTATAATAGTGTACCAGCCATTAGTTCAATCATTATATATGCTAGGATAAAGTAAGTCAATTTAAAAGGCAACAATAAAACAGTACGCAGCAGGATGCACTGAAAAAGACGATAAACATAAACAAATACGTTCTTGATCGTTTTACAAGGCAGAATTTTAGATAACGCTACTTGATCAATAAACATGAAATTATGCCAGAAGTTATCAAACAAGGATTAAGTACGTCTCAAAACATTCACAAACTATTAAGTTTCTTTTTCAAAAATGTAATAAGATAATGCAAGCATTGCACCATGAAAATAAAGATTTATTATTATAATAATAAAAAAGATAAAGATTATTTATCATTAATTGTAAGAATAAAGATTCTTTTACACCACGTTTGTTTTGTCATACAAACGTGGAGTGATAAAATTGGATTGTAGCAAACGTCCTAATCATTCGCCCATATTTCATGCAGTTGACGAATCTGTATGAAACAATTAATTAATGCATTGGATAATGAAATGCCATATGATCGACTTTACGGGAAAGAAAATTGTAAAAGATATTAGAGAGGAAAATGTTATTCGAGTTGTCAACGAAAATTAACTAATTGAAACAATTTTCTTGGTAAGAAAGCATTGTTCCCGTGTAAATAACAAATAAACAAAACAACCATCCAGGTAAGACCTCATTTATTTGCGACTTTTCACATTTTCTTAAACGAATAATAAAAAGGTTATATGTAGGATAAGCGTAAAAAAATACCAATTTCAAGAAAAACTGAAGAAATTTTATTTTGTGTGAAACTTGAATAGTAACGTAAAACAAAGCAAAATAAAATCAATAACATCCCTAAGCTGGAAAAAAAACCTTGAAGTTCAGCAATGGAGAGGGCACTAGCAATGCGTTATAATAATGAAGTTGCAGAAAATATAAAAACAAAAACCATAGAAAATTTTCGAAGGACTAAAAACGATTACAAAATCATTCTATCAACTGTTGACAGGGCAATAAGAGGCAACGATGTATAAACCATTGCGTACATGTTTCTGTAATTTACTTACAAAATAGTTTAGAAATACTTGATGAACTAGAGACAGAAACCAAAACATTCTTAAAATAGTTTTGATTTTCCAGTCCCTTTCAATTATTATTTCACTAACTTGAATGATGTATGATAAATATCCAAATCCAAAACAATGTTGACTTCAAAAGACAGCAAAGCATAGAGATGGACAATAACCAATCGTGAAGTTGTGACAGTTTTCACTTTCATAACATGGCTTGTTTTCTCATTATTTTTCAATGTTCTTCCTCTAGATTGGCTGATGCAAGATGACTAACTAAACTTGATCTATAATTCCAAGGAAGATGAAAAACAGTAGAGTTCATGAAGATGCTGAGATGCAGACATTATATAGGATCTATCTGCTACTATTGGAGTAGCAAAAAAAGAAAACAAAAATATAACCTAAGCATCATAAAATTATATTTTATGTTCATTTAGTATTTCTTAGTTGACTATTATCATAAATGTGGTGCTGATATCCTGAAGATTATGGCAGTAAAATTTTTTGAAAAAAGTTATTTCAAGTACTTAAGTTGTCAATAAAATGGTAGTGCCTTTGAGATTGTGGGCAAATAATTTTGGTGTACTACTTAATCATTTATTTCATTGAGATCGTGAGTATTGAATTGCCAATTTATTTCGTGGTAAATTTCATTCATAAGACAACGAACAAGCTTGGAACCACAAAAGACAAAAAAACATTTTGTACACCAAACATGATTGATGGTTAAAACAGATTTTAAATAAAGGACAATACATTACCTAGTGTTTTGACAATTTTGAGTGGAACATAAGCATGACTGAAAAGTTATGAAAAGGTAACTGTAAAACTTACAAACTATAAAGACAATTTTAATTTCTTGGTAAGTTCAATGATCTTCTAAGGCCAAAGTCTGGTCACAGGAGAACAAACAGTGACTCAACTCAATCTTTCTATAGTTCAAATCATCATGATAGGGAGGCATTTCTCAATTATCATAGGTAGAAAAATACAAATCACACTTTATGAGAATCAAAAACTGCACTAGTGGTATTCTTCTTGTTGCTCAAGAAACTTGTTATCAACATTGCATACTATTTTGGTCTAGGTAAACAAAAAGTAAGCACGGCCATGGCTTTGGCAAGGAGGGGCATACTAAGTCAATATTCAGTTAGATTAAAACGGTAGGATCAAAATGCCCACTCACTGCAATTAACAACAGAAGACGTGTTTACAGATATGCTATCACTACTGAAACAAGGGATTGCATCACATAACAGTCACGTGGTGGAACAATGGTTTAGTCATCATGAAAGCTGTGCTTCGAAAATCTAAAGGCAGTATTACAGTACCAGACTTACAACGGTAGCTTTTAAATCGGAAAAGACTAAAAGAAGATTATTTCCTTAAACATCACCGCTATTAGATTCAGCTAGCAGATTTGGCGCCTCTCAAACGCAGTTCTATCAGCCCTGTTAACTAGATTTGTTAAAAACCCATGTCAAATAAAGGAAATAAGTTCTATCACTATACCCGAAGGACAGATTAAGTCCTGCCTTTAACAATCGTTCTAACCAGATCATCATCACTAATAAGTGAGCATGGTGACTCAGAGTAATCTTCGGTATTTTGACACTATAAGATGGAATAAGAAACTCCAAACCTTCCTTTGCTAACGCCATTTGCAAGATGTTCTTAGTCATGTCCATAACATGCTGGCAGCCAAATTGGAAACTTTTGTTTACTCCAATACCTTACAATTTCACAAATTCAGCATAAAACAAAATTAGGTAGCCATGACTGATGATTGTTGAGAGATAGTGAATAGTGAACAGTGAACAGTGAACAGTGAACAGTGAACGGAGATTAAGATCGTAGGACAGAAAGAATGACTTCCCCAAGCATTCATCATCAGTCATCAACCATCAACCATATCAGAACGAAAAAAATAACATATTGATCACATTATTTTTCCATGGGGATCAAGTCTCGATCATTTTTCAGACATACTTCAATCACACGCTGGATAATCGTCAAATTATTGCGGGCCTATCTGTTTCAGTACACACCAGAAAAGAATGATCCAGGAGGATACTAAAGGGAAGACTGCCTTTGTCGAAAAGAAAAGAAATTCCATAAAAAAACTAAAGAACAGAGACCGGGAGAGATCTAACCTTAATGATAGGCATCTGCCCCCCGAATGTGAGAACCACTGCCATCTGCAGCAAAACCCTGAACGTGTCCCTGATATTGTTACCATTGAACTCCTTGAAGCTCTCGGCGCAGTCCCCTCCCTGGAGCAAGAAGGCCTTCCCTACCGCTGCATCCGCCAGCTTTTCCTCCAGCTTCCTCGCCTCCCCCGCGAACACCAGCGGCGGGTACCTCTCCAGCGACTGCAGCACCGACTCCAGGGCCTCCGCGTCCGGGTAAACAGGGATCTGCAACGCTTTCTTCGACCTCCAGCTGTCTAAACTCCACGATAAGGAAGCTGAAGGCGAACCAGAGACAACGGACGGTCCCGACGCGGAGACGGTGAGCTTCCGAGGCGGCACCGCCGGTCGGACGCTGTAGGAAGGATTCGCCGCCGCTATGCTGCCTGCACCGATGAGAGCTGCCATTGTCCAAGCGCTGGCTTCCTTCGATGAAGGCAGTAGTAAGGTCAATCTATCGCCTTCTTGCTCCTGGCTCTTGCTTTGGTATTCACGCTGCTTTATTGGCAGCCATATCGGTTTCTCCCTGTAGCCACCAGGACCGTTGGATGACTGCTAACCACAGCCGTCAAGGATAACATCTACCCCCACCACGTGTCCATTGGACTAGGCAAATAATCAACGGAATTCTTGTCCGACCTGATAAGATCCGTTGTCTTGCCGTTGACCCTTGCTCTCTCTCTCTCTCTATTCTAGAATAGAGAGAGAGGAAGATGGAAGGTCAAGTCTTGAAAACTTCAGAGAACAAGAGAGAGAAAGGAGAAAGAAGAGCAGTCTCTGTTCATATGATTTAGATCTCTTCTTCCTATATTATCATAGGGAAGAAGCGGCATCGGGTGATGGGCTTGACTTTTACCTGTCCGAAGAAGATGCGTCTACTCCAGGAAAGATTATGCCTTTAGACCTGGCAGTCAAACCCCAACGGATAGCGTGGATTCCTGTCTGGTGGCCGCATCTCGGCAAGGTCAGAGTGCAGGTGAACGAAGCGGCAGACTGCCGGCGAGAGGATCATGGCACGAGCACATTATTCTCTTTTTTATTTGATTTTAGCCCCCCAAAAAACCACTAGTTATTGAAAATTCCCCCATTTATTAGAATGACCTTGAGTCGCCAAAATGCATTATACTCCAATTATTTTGGCTTATCAAGCTAATGAAGAATATTTCGTACAGGCAATGCAGATAGGGCGTTTTGGGCCTCAGCAACTGGGGCCGGCCCACTAAACAACGGCTATAAACTTATCAGAGCTCATCCGCAAGAAGCCCATCAATCAAATCCACAGGGCCGAATGAGATAATTTAGCCCATAAATTCAAGATTAACCTGCTTCATAACGCCCCAAAAATAAATAAATAAATAAATAATTTAGAGAAGATTAGGTGCTTAAATAAATAGTAATATTTATGAAAAACCATTATTACGGAAAACAGTAAAGTTTTTTCTCGAAGAAATAAACCTTTAATAGAATTCGGAGAAGAACATTATCTGGCAGATGAACCCCTCGATCCATAAATAGAAAAATATAATAATAATCAGAAAAAGTCAACCTGGAATATACAGAAGGAGAAAACAAATCATAACAGAAGAACAAAAGGCGTCATCAAGCTCCAATAGATGAGGGAGACGCGTGGAGGGCTTCTGATCTCCGGCAATCATCACCATCCCAGAAAATATTAATTCCTCCGGCAGCCGCAGCAAGCTCTTCGAGGGTTCGTCGCAAGCTTAAGTTGCTCCATCGACGACAAGAACAATAAAGGAAACATCGATGGCCTCTCGAAATGAGGGTTCTAGTTCAGAAAGAGGCATAAAAATCGATCCTTCACAGACTGCCAGGTCAAGGGTGGAAGCTCCCAACTTACTAGTAATGATGTAAACCTGAACTGGTTCCTGATATTAGGGTTTCGATCCAAAAAAGAGGGAGAGAATGTGAAAATATAGGTAGAGCAGATGAGATGTGATATAATGAAAAGCAGGACGGAGATTGGGCGTTGGTTGACCAAAGATCTGAAAAACCAAGAAGAAAAAGATGCCCAGACCGGACGACCACAATCAAAGCAATTTTCCCAGAGATACAAAAATTAAATATTTTTTAAAAATCACTTCTATTTTAATATTTTCAGTTCACCGTGGCCAGAGCAGTGTGGTTTGACTGAATGGTTGACTACAATGGGAAATCACTTTCAGTAAACCGTATCAAAAACTAGCGATCATAGACGATAACCATCAACACAAAATCTAGAAAGACAGTTTGCAACAGGCAGATTCAGATAACCAGCTATCAATGACCAAACTAGTTCACTCATTATCTATCAATCTCATCCTTGGAGATAAACTGAACAGAGGACGACAGACATGAAGTGAATAGAAAATTAAAACCTTGAATGCAGTAAGATAATTATTAGTCACAGGGACGAGACATACCATCGACATCTACAAGTTAGGAAAATCACAAGAAATTGTGCAGCTTCATGTTCTTAATCATGGCACATTTGATGGGATTCTCTGGAGTCCCATTAATGGCCAAAGGTTTTGCATGAGAATGAATTACCTTCTAGAGTCTGACTAGAGTCCATGAGATCTCAGATAATTTCTCACTTTCCATACATACCTTGATATGACAATATGGCACCCAAACCAGGGTCAGACTATAAAACAAGATTCAACGGAGAAACAACAGGGAAAAGGAGAAACAAAGAGTTGGGAGTTTTCCAAACACTGCTTATCACTTGCTAACAGATATCAAATGAGATTGAAATATTGAAGACATCTTTATCCCCTCATAGTTTGCCTTTTCTTTGAATAAAGTGGGTTAAAGTATCCGAACAAACATTCGATTTTTGCAGGAACTGTTTCTCTGATGTGGATCAAAAAGAGTAGGAGCCTTGAGTCTGGCCAATCCTCCAATTCCACTCGAGAAATTTGTTTCACAATAAAACTGTTGCAAAAACCTGGGTTCGAATAAACTTTTCCATTTTCATTCAACAAAATACTCTTGATAGAAATTTCTGGCACCAAGTACCACGCTGTTTGAACATCCAAATGAAATTAGGCAATGCCCGCAGCTGCAACTTCTCACTCATTAACCTCTCTCCATGTGCAGCATTCAATCCCATCACGGTTATCTATCATCAGTTAGGCTCCGTTTAATGCACAAAAATGTTTTCCTGCTAAGCCCTTCCCTCTCAACATCATCGACTTAGTCGAGAAAGGCCATATAAACTGTCAAGCGTAATGCCCCATTGGCGCAGGATGCTTCCCACCCTTGTGAGAATGATCAGGACAACAAGAATAATTTAATACCATGTATTTTTTTAGCACATGATATGTAACATTATCCAGGAATACGTAGCATGTTTGGTAAATCGCATAAAACACGAGATTCGTTTCCTCATGGGAATCCAGGAGAAGTTCACCAGCGTAACATTGCAGAAAAGTTCTTCACTTATTACCAACAATCTATTTAAACCTAATGCCCTACTACCTGAAGTATCTATAAATGCCGACAACAAAAACATCATAGTAGGTAGGGTTAAATTCCTGTATATGTTTAAATGCATACAAATATTTAGACTATTTTATGAAGCCTGAAATTTCCTTCATCGATGTTATTTTGAGATCCCATCTGTTTCAAAAGTGACAGGGAACTCACCACCACTTAGATTGGTAAGCCAAAAATACTCGTGGTGTGCGGTATGCTCCAAAAATACCGCCAAATCCAGCCAAAGACTCAAGAGAATCTGTCTAAATAAAGCATATTTGGCCACAATAATATATGCATAGAATATTCAGTGTTAAACCAGTGCTCTCAGAAAGTAGCCCATTACCACTGATCCAACTATTACCTGCTCCATTAAAGCAACAATCTCCTTAGAACTGGCGCTTAAAACCATACTCAAATGTATTAAATCCTGAGCCATCTGACTGCTCTTCTTATAAACGGCATGACAAAAATAGGATTCTAATTAAAATATAGCCAACTCATACCAAATTTCCAGAGTAGTTTGTCTGAACACTTAATGAAGCATCTCAAGATTAGGTTCATAGATTGATTACTCAAATCAAACCATTAATGCATAAGACTTCTTGTCCTCCTCATAGAGTTCTTAGCAGAGCTAGAAAGAAATATGCATTTTTATACATAAACACACCATGATAGAAGAGTTCTCAACTCCGGTTGTAACTCAAATTCCTTACAATAAAATTTCTTCATCGTGTATCCAAGCACAACTGTCAGGTCAAACGTCAAAGTTTCTGCTTTTAAACACCACGGACTTTCTCTCAGTGACCAACCGGCTGTAAATGCTTGGAACCACGCTCTCCAAGCATGTAGGTAACATAACCAGAATCTCCACAAATCCAGAGCCTACACCGGCCTCTTGTGATGGCAACAAATCTGTGTCATGATGATAAATCCACATGTGATCATGAAAGATCCATACTCGCTGAGAAGGTTGCTAGAGAAAATTAAAGCAATATCCACCTTGCAAGCATATTCCTCACAATGGTAGGGGAGACCAACCTACTTTCAAGGAATGCGTCTGCTTTATTATAAGAAAGAAGCATTAAGTTCAGCAGAAAAGAACTCTTGCGTACCTCAGTAGTATGATCCTGATCCACTGCCTCCAGGATACCCACTACCTCCCAATCCACGATTAGAATACAGTGAGGTGTAAGAACCGCCACCAACCTTAAGAAGAGGCACAACACAGGATTAAATATAACTCGTATAGATAAAACTTTTAAAAACAATAAGCATAGGGTAAAGAGACACACATCAGATCGTGACAGATAACTTCCACTGCTGTAGCTTGAATACATTCCTCCACCATTGCTGGATAGACCTAAGGCCAGATGGTCTGGAATAAATAAAGTATTCGTGGTGGAGAAAAGTGTTTCAACAAACTAATAAAATTCACTTACCTCGAGGGTAACCCCTGCCACGACGATTGCTACCATAGGGTGAATGAGGCTCCTGAGTGGAGAGAGAACTACGACTACCACGGCCATATCCCATATCAGATCGACCAAGCCTGTTATCAAAATATAGGTTGTCAAGTGCCTGGAAAAGCAAACAACGTACAGATAAAACATACATGTGAGAACAACCTTTCTCCATATTCATCGTAATGTGCACTGCTGCCACTGATACCATAATCCAAACGAGGTCTGGACTGACGAATGCCAACATCACCATAGTGTGGAGGAGCATCATCCTGAAAAGATCCATCAGTGAAAAAATGCTATTCACATGAATCGATCAGCAGCCTAAAAAAGAGAATGTGGAGCAGACAATTGCTTAAAACGACTTACAATCATAGAATATGAACGCTTAGAGCCAGAGATGGAATCGTAATCACGACTGTGAGCTTCTCGATAAGTTGGAGGAAGCTTTTCAAACCTACGTCCATACCCTTCATCACCATAGCTCTGTCTAACAGCAGTACTAGATGAACTTCTTACACCGGTGTAATCAGATGGTCCACGGGAAAAATAGTCATCCTGATAAGAGGAGCGTCTTCCTTCAGGAACCCTTGAATCGTAATCAGCAGCAGCTTTTCTTCTTGGTGGAACCTCATGCCTAATGAAATCTCCCTTTGAGCTGCTCCTTGGATAAGGGTTACCTAATTTTTAAATAATTGCATAAGAATCCAACAGAAAATAGGCAACTGGGAGCAAACATTTAACTAAGACCAAAAGAGAGAAATTTACTTGGTAGTCTTCTATCATAGGAACGCTCAATGGGAGGAAAGTGTCCATCTCTCTCTGCTGCTTCCATGACTGATCGTCTATCCCTGACGTCTATTGGTCTCCTTAGTCCACGGCCTCCTCTGAATGCTCCACGGCCTCTGGTGAACGCTCCATGACCTGGTCTTAAGACGTTGCCTGGGATTCTATGAGGCATAGGTCGAGTCCATGAGAAGCGACCACCCCTTGGGGGCCATCTACCATACCGTAAATCACCTTGGAAACCATGGTAGCCTCTTCCTCTTCGTCGTGGTCGAGACAACCGAGCCCTAACTTTGACCTGAATATCCCCACATGCATCCAAATTAAAATACGTAAAGAAACAACAAAGAGGGTAAGAAAAACCTTAAATGTCGAGTAGCAAACAAAACATATACAGTAACATAGCTATCAGACTAAATGAAACTTTCAGAATGCTGGAATAAAGAAAACCATAAACCTTTTTGTCTCCTTCACCAAGCTCTGCATTATTGATGGCTTCTGCACACTTGACTGCAGAATCATGGGTTTCAAAAGTGACAAAACCAAAATCTTTTCTCTTAGCTGCTGGCATATTCCGGGCAAGTTCGACCCTCTCAATCTGCCCGAATTTCTTGAGATAATCTCTGATACGTTCCTCATCCCAAGCGGCAGGCAAACCATCCACAAAAACGGTTTTAACCTGTCAAAATGTGTTCAACATTGTGAGATAATGTTTCCTCCAAACAGAGTCAAAGAAAAATTAAATATCACCAACTTTTGATGGGAATTTTTTTTTGAGAACAAGGAATAATATATCAGAGGAAAAAAATGTGGCTTCATTAGAATTTGGATGCAAACCTGTGCCATGATCTCATCATCAGGTTCAATAAAAGAATCAGCAAAAGAAACTTTAGCATTCCTATCAACTCCAAATGCAACATCCTGCTTCTGCAGGCGTCTGTAGGCATCCATTGCATCTGTACGAGAAGCAAACTCCAAGAAAGCGAACCCCCGATTGTTTCCTTCATTATTACTGTCTTCAACTAACGTTAAATCATCAATATTTTCGACACCATATTGCTTCAACTTGTCTTTCAGCTGAAATTATATTGAAAGAATTGTAAGGAGATTATGACTCATAAATATAACAGCGTCAACAAAAATGCAGAATATACATGTTCTTTTGTCCATGTCCGGCATATGTTGCCCAGAAAAAGGGTGTCATTATCTTGGCTTGGTGAGACACCACACTGTTTACCATTGATCTGAAACCAAGAAAGGAATACCCATGAGAAATCTAATAAGTTTCATAATTTTTCTATCATACTCCATCCGGATGTAGAAAATACCACTGGGTTCTTCAATTCTGCAACAGCCCTCTTTGCCTGCTCCACTGTAGCAAAGCGTAGGAAAGCAAATCCCTTATTTTTCTTCGTCTGAGGATTTTTCATCAGCCGAACTTCCACCACTTTGCCAACAACACTGAAGACCTTCTTAAGATCCTCTTCTGTAGAATCCTTGTCTAAGCCTCCAACAAAAATTTCAAATTCCTTTCTCTTGCGACGTTCTGCAACTAGGTCATGCTGCTCCTGTTCTTCCACAGCATCCTCGTGTTCATCTTCGACATTTTCGTCATCCTCTTCTCCTTCAATGTTCCCACCATCACTGTCTATTTCTTCAATCATGTCTCGTTCCTCCTCATCGTCATCAATGTCCCCACCACCCTCTTCAACCCGGTCACCTTCTTCCTGTTCATCATCATTCTCTATTCTCTTCTCATCATACTCCATGTCAGGTTCTTCTTCAGGATCAAACTCTATATCATTGTCGTCAAGATCTAACCTTTCGCAATTATCTTCTTCAATATAAACCTCCTTCACGTTTTCTCCTGCTGGCCCAAGAAACCGCACGTTTATTGCACATCTAGACAATTACATGGGGCAACAAGTAAGGAAGGAAAGCGTAGATTGAAAACCGTGCATAAATCGTCCAGTATAAGCAGGATTTCGTTCAGCTGACTGGCATAAAAAAAAAGTTAAGGGGATGGAAATTTCGCCGTGTCATTGCATATTTGAGAGAAAAAATTCAACTGGAAAGCTTAATTTAGAGTTTACACATTAAATGAACTTGAATGGGGTTGCAAGCAATGAAGGCGATAGCATCTGGCGAAACAAAAGGAATTCGTCATGACGTAGAAATGACCGTACAAAAAAAACGTCCCCTTGGATATAAAAGAAAACAACACAATCCAAGTAGATTAGTAGCTTCTACTAAAAAAGGAGTCGGAAGAAACTAGCGAAGCCATCTACAGGAGAGAAAATAAAACTATCGGTAAATCGGAACGAGACAAACCCATAGCTAAAAGATCACCAAGAACCCGGATAAATCAATGGAAATATCCTGTTCAAAGAAATACAATCATAAGTTTCACGTAAAACTAAACAAAGAAAGCACATTGAACGAAGACAAACGAAAAATACCAATAGATCCATTCGCCTCGGGTTCTGGCTCCAGAACCGACTCGACGACATCAACCAGGGTCTTCACCTCCTCCAGATCCACAACAGGAATCTCTTCGGCCACTTTATCCGCGGCGGCCTTTGCCTTCCCCTTCCCCGTGCTTGATACCATCCTCCTGCCGGGCCCAGAGGTACCCCCCGACGCCTTGTTCGCCACCCGCGGAGGCATTACAGGGATCGTTCCAGGCAGAGCGTGAAAGCGCCGATTGATGCAGAGCCGAGGGTTTTAGCCCTGGGAAGCGACAGTTGAGACCCCACGGGCAAAACCGGGTTTTGATGGAAGCACAGACGTCATTCTCCACCGCGCGGAACCCTAGTTCATTCGGCCGGACTCTCTAACGGAGGAACATTTCGTAGATGACTAGAATGCCCCTAAGTAACATTAGAATAGCCTGATTGCCATATCGTCAACATTAAGCACAAAGATGTGCATCTTTCACAGGATCAAACTTTGACGACATAAGACATTATCGATGGAGATGGTCCTCCACAGGATAATGTTTTTCCAAGTATTCCACTCTTCTCTTAACTCTAAGCAACTGTTAAGTGTCATTATTTACTTCGAATTGACTTTTTGTTGTCCTTGTGACATAAATCCAAGTCCACTACAAAAGGGAGTGTCCTATTCACGTCATTAGTCTTAAGTAGGTCAACCCACAGATATCTGAGTTTGGAAAATCATTAGAGATGTCATGTGTCCTCCCTCTTAATGATGTAAAATGGTCAACCAAGTTCCTTTGTGGAGGATTGGTTGCAACCAAGATCCAACTCCATTAAAGGACCACCTTAGATGAGAATGTCTACTAGATAGAGTTTTTCCATCGTTCCTCATATTTGACTAAGAACTATAAGGGTTTTCTCTCTAGTGAGACATCAGAAGTCTAAATTTTTCATTGTGCTTAACCAACATGAATGAAGACAAATTTTGAGAGGGAGCTTGTGTGAGTCTCTTAGCCCCCACCCTAAATCTTCCTATTCTCCTCATCTCTTTCTTTTCCCTTATTTGCGTGCACTTGGCCTCACATGCTTGCCAATGTGTCCACTTGTTCTAATGCATACACCCACCTATCGTCCCCCATGCAATTATAATCATAGGCATGATCAAATGGAAGAGGTTGGAAAAGTCACAAATGTAGAGAATCAAAAGCTAGAGAATCAAAAATTACTTCCATTAGTGCGACTTTGTTGTTAACCAATTTGATTATGGTAACTGATTTTTAACCAAAATTTTCAACCAAGGAAGATCAAGAAGGCTGTAACCAACTTTTGTTTTAGTATTTAAAGATGCCTTGCTTGTTGGGCATTAGCCACTATTTAAGATTATCTTTATTTAATCTTGTAAATTTTATTTGGATGTGTATCATAGCAATAGTGCCTTGAAATCATGTGTTCTAGATTACTTATCTGTAAATTTTGTATTTAAATTCTGTTATAGAAAGTTAGAATAAAAAAAGTTAATGATGAAAGTGACAAAGATAGTACTCAAAGTGCCTAAATTATTTAAAACCTTTTATTTAGAAAGTTATTGAATATCCATTTGGACAATTAATGAAAAGTTTGAAATTTAGAAGCCTTAAGTAAAGGAGATGTGTGCTAGATAGAAGGATAAAACATTCTAATATTTTAAGGGAGATTTGACATTCTAGAAACAATACTTTTTCATATCAATACCAAACATTTAGAGTGTTTCCACATCAAAAGAGGCTTCAACACTTGTAGGCCCATGCATACATGCCAATTTAGAATGTGTTTCTGGCTCTATCATTTGATATTTGTACTTCACTTACTTGAGCTGACTTAGAGCCTTCATTCTATGAGAGACTAATTATGCATTATTTTTGTTTGGCTATCTAAACTTGTCAATCTAGATAACATAACTACCGAACTAATTGATGTAAATAGATGGGCAACATTCCTAATCTAGCATGTGATATAGCTCCCTAAAGCCACAAACCTATAAGAAGCATTTTAGGGAAAATAAACATAAGTTAGGAACATTAAATCTAGTAAATGCTAGACAGAGCATTGATGTTTTCACTTTTTATACTAACAAGAGTTAGTTGAACTCAAGGAATTGTTTCACAAATAGTAGTGAATGCTCTAAATTTAGAGATGCACATAACAACATGATAAGTCTTCATTATCATGAGTTAATAATTAGTAAATAATATAGTTTTAGCCTTAACTCATGATAAATAGACTTATATTTGTGTTAAAGTGTGAAAAGTAGTTTTCAATTGATTAATGTGAATTTTTAGGTAATTATGTGATTTTACATGAATTTATATGATTTTTATAGTTTGCTTTTGAGATAAATGAAGAAAAAGAAATAAAAAATAAAAAAAAGACAAAATGAGAGGGACCCGTCGGCCAACTGGGCCCGCAAGCAAGTCGGATGCTCAGTCGGGGAGTAGCCACGAGTAGGGGCTTGAGCGGCTTGGACAGATAGGGGCACATGTGTGCTACTCCCCTTCCATGTCACCGGTGGCCAGCCGGCTGTGGAACAAGGAGTGGTCGTACACGCGAGAGAAGGAACTTTGCTTAGAAATGTAACATTACTATATATTCGCTCGAAAAATCGGCGCACAACCGATGTGGGACTAAACGGACGTCACACCTTCCTCAGAAGGGACGGACAACCGGCGCGGGTTCGAATCCTTCCAGAGTCAAAATTCATATATTTTTATCTGATTATCGCGACTTTCCTACAGATCATCAGTGAAGGATTAAGCAACGAGAATCGCTGGATCATCGGCGAAAATCTTGTTAACGCGATTCGCGGAGCATTGCTACTAAAATTGTTGAACGATTCGTGATAAAAGGATCGCGAATCCATCGAGTAAATCATCACCGATTGATCGACGAACAAGCCGTCGTCGGGAAGAGGACGATCCACCGGGAGACGAGTCGCTACCTCTTGAGAGCATACCAGATGCGATGAAGAGCCTCCTCTTGCTGCGCGGACCTAAGGATGAAGCTCCCTAACATGCGCCCCACCTCCATCCAGCTCCTCTCCGTCGGGTGAGAGCCGTCGGAGAGCCGCAAAGTCACCGTTTTTCCGCTCCACTGGGTGACAGCCGCCGGAGACAAGTCGACGACCCATTTCATTGATCTCTAGACTTCGAAAGGAGATCTAGAGATTGCCCACATCGTCTTTGTCCAAGGAGAGTCTTTGAGGCTATGGACACTACACGACGATCCTCCCAAACGCTTAGGATTCCGGTGCATCGCCGACGCATCACCGTCGCGACGTCAGAACTCTATTTTCTTACTTTCAACTTAATTTACGTTTCATTTAGTGATACTTTGTGTGATTTTAATTTACCAAAATATACTTCATTCAATTACGATTCTTTCGGCTTTTACAGATCTTAATTTGATTAATTAAATCGTCTGTAATCACTTACGTAAGAATCACTAGGTGGAACTCTATTTCCGCCCGATTTTTCGCCGGGCGCTAACGTCATCCTGACGTCCGCACCCTTATTTCCTTTTTTCGTGAATTTTAAATATATTTCCTTTTCATTTCCTAGTATAAAATTCATAGAAAATCGTATTCATTGAGAAAAAATCTGAATAATTACCAAATATTATATTACATCCCTGTGATCAACTTGGAAAATTACCGCTATTTTTGGAAGTTTTATTGAATTATAATTGATATATTTATTCAGAAATACTTCTAAATATCTAAAAAATCATATTTTCTAGTTTTATTAATTTTAGATTTACGTGATTTAATATACAATGATTGAGTCACGTCAAATTTTGGTGCCGTTGCCAGGGATATATTGCATAATATTTAATATTTTTCTATTTTTCTCTTAGAGTACACAAAAAAAAATTAACTCTTATTTTATTTTCTTCTTACCGAATTTTTTTTTAGAAAAAGGGAACGAAAAGAAACAAGGCAAGGACTGGAGCATACTGAAGGAGGGTAACAATTAATAAACTTTTCACTCGAATTTATTATTTTTTTATGCATGGTAGAAGATCCTTGCATCCAAGGCTAGAAAATCATTTCATTATTTCATTCAAAACTAAAAATCCGAAAGAAAAATTAATTTTGAGAGATCCTGAAGAAAGTACAGGTCAAACTGAGAACAATCCTATGGCCATGAAAAATTATTATATCCCTGATTCATTTCAAAGAGCATCCAATATTAGAGTCCCATTAGCACCCAATGTTAAATTCGAAATAAATCTAGGAATTTTTCAAATGCTCCCTAATTTTCATGGATTACCTTTAGAAGAACCTCATCAGCACTTAGAATAATTTCATATGGTCTGTGATTTAGTTAATCTCCCTCAAGTTACACCAGAAATTATTAAGATGAAATTATTTCCTCAGACACTTAGGGACAAAGTTAGCCATTGGCTATCCACATTAGATAGAGAATTAACTAGCTGGAAAGACATAGAATAGGCTTTTCTTCGAAAATTTTATCCCTTAGGAAAAACTCAAAATATGAGAAAACATATATGGAGTTTTTCTCAAAGACCAGGAGAAACTTTACATGAGACATGGGAAATATTCAAAGATTTACTTAGAAAGTGTCCTCATCATGCTATATCCAAGTGGCAGCTCAATAGAATTTTTTATGATGGATTATTAGAACAACATAGAAATATAGTTGATTTTATATGTGGAGGAGCTTTTATGGAGAAAACCCCTGATGAGATTTATAGTCTTTATGAGAATTTAAGTGAAAATTCTAGAGATCAAGCCTCTTTTGAATTATATGATAGGGATAAGAAGAGAGGAATTTATGAATTGCATCATGATAATGAATCTAAATTTAGAAATGAGGTTAATTAGATTAATCAAAGATTAGAAAAACTTGATTTGCTTATTGACAATATTAGAAAACCTCTTAATCCTCAATTTAATTCAAATAGTACAAGTCTTATGTATGGTGAAAATGATCATTTCGAATTTCATATCATCATAGGCAAGAACAAGTGCAGGTACCTCACGATTTTAGTAAAAATAGAGAATATTTTTCTAATTCTTATAATCCTAATTGGGGGAATAATTTTTCATGGAGAAACCCAAATGATATTCAAAATCCAGAAGTACTTAGATCCAATTCTCATTTTGAATTTCGTCCAAAACAAGAACATACATTTCAAAAAAATTAGTTCTCTCAAATCCAACCTGATGCTATGGAAATGATGCAGCAAATCAGCCAAATGATGCAACAAACTATGAATCAAATGATGCTGCACCAGAAATAAATTATAGAGGCTCTTGGGAATAAGAGAGAAGAGGGACAACCACTTAGTCAACCCATAGAAAATTCAGAAAACTATCCAACAATAGGATTTCAGCAAAGAGAGTCTAGTTGGATAAATTTAGAAAAAAACCCACGAAATGAAAATGTTAGGATAGTGAATACATTGATTGAGAATATTTTACCTCATCCTTATTTCTAATTATTAGAAGAAATTGATCAGCCATTAGAAGTAAATGAGAATATTAAGGCTGAAAATATAGTAACAGAAAATTTAAATAAAATCATTTATTGCTCACAATTGATGAATGAATATAGTGAGGATGATGAGGAGGAAAGAGCCCTTAGATGAAGAAACAATAGCTGATCATGGAAAAATCATCCAAATTTTAGTAGAAGGGAGTAAGGACACAAATGAAGAAAAACATATTTCAGGTGAGGAAAAATCAATTAATTTGGGAGATGTAGGAGATGAAATTAATAAATCTAATCATAATTTTGCAGCCATGGATATTGATAGTGAGGATGATGATGTATATCATATACCGAAATTAAAAGATAGCTCTTGGGAAGATAAAGAATTTGATGAGTTGAGAAACGAAAAGCTAGAAAAAGAGTTGATTCAACTAATGGGGAGAAATGAAAATAATGAATATGAATATAGAGATAATTTTGGAGGAGAAAATTTGAATTTTATTGAATTCATTAGATCTAAGATTAAAGAAGACAATCCTTCCATCCTTCAAAACCCACAGCCCATTAGAATTATTTTTAAGCTTGAAATATTTCACTCCTCGCAAATTGAACAAATATGTATGGAAGATAAAACGGAGCAGGAGAAGATTATGAAGATAAAAGAACACATTAAGAAATGGGTGAGTGGAAGAATTAGAGATATTAATTTAGATGAAAAAATTCTAGATTAGGTAAGATCTAATTTGAAAATTATATGGCCTGATCACATTTTATGGTCTATTAATAGAAAGTATTTATTAATGAATGAGAGCCTTACAAAACAAGATAGAAATGAGGAAAGATTCTTTTCAAAATAAAAATATTATTTTTGCGAAGATTTTGTTAATTTCCATTTTGTTTTGGCTGAAAGTATGTCAAGGTATATATATGAAGTATATGAATTTATGCTAAATCTGAAAAATAATATCATGAAACTTACCTTGAGATACAAATATATTTTGATGGCCATAGATCATCTTATATGATCTAAGAGCTGTCCAGCTGAAGACATTAAATTCAGTGCTGCATGGGAGGCATCCCATGGTTTTTATTTCATTCTGTTTGATTTTTTTAAGCTCTATTTTTCTTACAACTTCGCAGTACTTGTTTCTATATTTATTTTTTCGAAAAAGTGCAAGAGGAAGAGTGTAAGATGAAGTGAAAAATTAAAAACGAGGTTGAGGTGATGTCTTTCGGAGCTTTATCATTTATGATAATATTTTTAATGCTTAACTTTGCATATATGCATGCTTCACTTGAAAATTATATTTTCTACATATTCTATTTCGATTTTTCTGTGTCATTGAGGACAATGTCATTTTTAAGTTGGGGTGTGAAGTATTAATTATTAATTTATGCTGTAGGATGATTAAGAACATGTGTTTGTATTTTATTTTTATTTTTTCATACTCACTTAGAACAGCAACTAAAAAAATAAAAATAAAATAAAATTCAGAAAAACTATAACATCTATTTTCTGGTTTTCTATCAGGAACGACAAACTGTCAAAAACAGCAGACAAAAAAACAACCTGAAATTTGAAATTCTAGAGATCCTTTTCTCACATTTCAATCCCCTAGACATATATTACTGAAATTCAAAATTACAACTATAAAGAGGATAGTTTTGTTTTATTTTTGAAAAATTTATTGTTGCTAAAAATAGAACTGAAAACAGAAAACAGAATTGTCAGAACTATCTAATTTACAAATTTCTTATATCATATTGTATGCATGCAAAATTAAATCAATTAGATTGGTTGATACCAAAAGATACTAGGAAGATTATTATTGAGTCAAAAGAATGATCTAGTAGCATGAAATATTGGAATACTCCTTGTATACATGATAGATAACATGAATTTGATTTTACAGATTTTCACTTTATTATCTTGATGAATAATATTTCTTTGATTTGAAAATTTGATTGATCATTTGAGTTTAATGAAGATTTTTGCACCATGATCTATAGGACTTGTAAGAAGAAATCACTTATTTTGGAAAAAAAAAGAGAGAGAGCAATGTAAAAATCTAAAAACGAAGAGTACATATGGAAGGTGTGAGACATCATTCTCGTTGTCAAAAATCATGCATAGAAAAACACTTACTATAAAATAAATGGATAAAGTGAAAGCCCTGAAAATGAAGAGTACACATAGAGGGTGTGAGACATCATTCTTATTATCAAAATTTGTCTACAGGAAAAGCTACTTATCCACTATATATAAAAATAAAAATAAAGGACAAAATATAATGCAAATTTCAAAAATCAAGTCATGGAAAAAGGGAAATGTAAGATCAATATTATTCTTGGATGAGTATTGATAATTGAAACATCTTGTAAATATATCTATGAGTGAAGAAGTGATAAAGATGTGAATAGAAGAAGTGAATTCTAAACTGTTATTCCAAGGAGTGCTTAAACATTTAAGTGCTTGACATCATTCTTAAATACTTGACATAAGAATCCAAAGTGTCTAAAGGTGCATCATTTCTAATTGTATTTTATTTTATGTATTGAAATATGATGTTTGAGATTTGTAATTTTTTATTTTCGTGATTCCATTACTAAGAGACTAGCAATGATTTAAATTGGGGGGTGTGATAAGTCTTCATTATCATGAGTTAATAATTAATAAATAATATAGTTTTAGCTTTAGCTCATGATAAATAGACTTATATTTGTGTTAATGTGTGAAAAATTGTTTTCAGTTGATTAACGTGAATTTTTGGGTAATTATGTGATTTTATACAAATTTCTATGATTTTTACAGTCTTACTTTTAAGATAAATAAAGAAAAAGAAATAAAAATAAAAATATAGCAAAATGGGAGGGACCCATCAGCCAGCCGGGCCTGCAAGCAGGTCAGAAGTGCAGTTGGGGAGGAGCCGCAAATAGGGGCTCGAGTGGCTAGGAGTGAAAGGGGCACATGTGCGCCACTCCCCTTCCACATCACCGGTGGCCAGCTGGCTGTGGGGCAAGGAGTGGTTGTGCACGCGCGAGAAAAGAACTTGCTTAGAAATCTAACATTACTATATATTTGCTCAAAAATTCGGCGCACAACCAATGTGGGACTAAACCCGCGTCACCTTCCCAAAAACAGTGAGGCAACCGGCGTGGGTTCGAATCTTCCCAAAGCCAAAACTTATATTTTTTATCTGATTATCGTGACTTTCTTATAGATCGTCAGTGAAGGATTAAGCCACCAGAATTGTTGGATCATCAGTGAAAATCTCGTCAACGCAATTCACGGAGCATTGTTACTAAAATTGTTGAGTAAAACATCTCCGATTGATTGACGAATAAGCCATCGTAAGGAAGATAATGATTCGCCGGGAGATGAGTCACCACCTTTTGAGAGTGTACTGGATGCGATGAAGAGCCTCCTCTTTCTACGCAGACTTGAGAATGAAGCTCCTTGACACGTGCCCCACCTCCATCCAACTCCTCTTCGTCAGGTGACAGGCGCTGAAGAGCTGCAAAGTCGCTATTTTTCTGCTCCGTCAGGTGACAGCCACCGAAGATGATTCAACGACCCATTTCATTGATCTCTAGACTTTGCAAGGAGATCTAGAGATTGCCCACATCATCCTTGTCCAAGGAGAGCCTTCGAGGCCATGGACATTGCACGACAATCCTCCTGAATGCTTAGGATTTCGGTGCATCGCCGACACATCGCCACCGCAATGTCGGAACTCTATTTTCTAGCTTTCAACTTAATTTTTGCTTCATTTAGTTATAATTTGTGTTATTTAAATTTACCAAGATATACTTCATTCAATTATGATTCTTCTGGCATTTACAGATCTTAATTTGATCAATTAAATCGTCTGTAATCGCTTATGTAAGAATCACTGGACAGAACTCTGTTTCTGCCTAATTCCCTTTTTCATGAATTTTAAATATATTTAATTTTCATTTCTTAATATACAATTCATAGAAAATAGTATTCTTTGAGAAAAATTATGAATAATTACCTGATATTATATTACATCTTTATGATCGACTTGGAAAATATCACTAATTAGAAGTTTTATTTAATTATAATTGATATATTTATTCAGAAATACTTCTAAATATTTTAAAATTCATATTTTCAAGTTTTATAAATTTAAATTTACATGATTTACTATACAACGACTAAGTCACGTCAAAGGACGTGAGTTATGAGCAGAATATTGATTATAAATCAATTTCACATGTTTATAGTAAATCTCTGAAATTTAGATTATTGTGTGAAATGTCTCCAATCTGATTTTGAGGAAATTTACTTCTCAAGATATGTTATTGTGGCTGTTAAAATAAATATCATGAAAAGGTTTCAACAAGGTTGCTACCAGCACTGATGAACTTGAATTAGAGGTTAAATACGTCGTCGTGATGCAACTAAGTTTATTCAAATAATATTTAAAAAACCTCACTCTTCTATTTAAGATAACTAAAGGTCGATCTTTAGGGAACATGGATAATGAGAGAGTAAGAATTCTACTTATGTTATTTCTTATTTATATATAGATATACTTGGGATTGTGAATGACAAAATTAAATCTAAAAACGTGGCAAAGGAGAGAGAATAAATCTAACACAATAGAATAATAAAATAAATAATAAACTAATTCGAATTAAAAGTTAATCCATCTATAGAAAGGATTACAAGGACATCCAAAATCTAGATCTTGCACAAATCTCGTTGTGCATCAGTCCTAGGCTGAGTGATGTTTGATCCATGGTGATCTTGATGTGCTCTAGGTAATCTTTTCTCCACGATGATCTTGGGCACGAGAATGTCATTGGCCAAAACTTGATTTTCCTCTTGTTTTCTTTGGTTAGTCACTACTAGAGAGAGAGCCAAAAAACACCTTCCAAAAGGCGGATGTGATGACTTAATCTTCTCAAGAGTTAGGCCCCTCTAATAGATGGTTATGATTGATAACCAACTCTCTTGGTGGATGGCTCAAATCATTTCATGAAGGCAGCACTCTAATCCTTCTCTTAATCTCATATTAAAGTGTCTTATAATGGGTGGCCTAGATCTTATCGCTTGATAGCAAACGTGACTCAGTCGTTGTATATTAAATCAAGTAAATTTAAAATTTATAAAACTAGAAAATACGATTTTTCAGATATTTAGAAGTATTTCTGAACAAATATATCAATTATAATTCAATAAAACTTCCAAAAATAGCGGTAATTTTCCAGGTCGATCACATGAATGTAATATAATATCTAGTAATTACTCATAATTTTTCTCAAAGAATATTATTTTCTATAAATTTTATACTAGGAAATGAAAAGGAAATATATTTAAAATTTACGAAAAAAGAAAATAAGGGTGCAGACATCAGGATGACGTTAGTGCCCGGCGAACGCGAATCGGGCAGAAATAGAGTTCCGCTTGACGATTCTTACATAAGCGATTACATACGATTTAATTGATCAAATTAAGATCTGTAAAAGCCGGAAGAATCATAATGAAATGAAGTATATATTGGTAAATTTAAAATCAACAAATTATCATTAAATGTAACAAAAATTAAGTTGAAAGCAGGAAAATAGAGTTCCGGCGTCACGGCAGTGATGCACCGGAATCCTGAGTGTTCGGGAGGATCGTTGATAAGTCTTCATTATCATGAGTTAATAATTAGTAAATAATATAGTTTTAGCCTTAACTCATGATAAATAGACTTATATTTGTGTTAAAGTGTGAAAAGTGGTTTTCAGTTATTAATTCTAATTTTTAGGTAATTATGTAATTTTACATGAATTTATATGATTTTTACAGTCTTGCTTTTGAAATAAATGAAGAAAAAGAAATAAAAATAAGACAAAATGAGGGGGACCAGCCGGCCAGTCGGGCCTGCTAGCGGGTTGGAAGCTCAGTCGGGGAGTAGCCGCGAGCAGGGGCTCGAGCGGCTTAGACCGATAGGGGCACGTGTGCGCCACTCCCCTTCCAGGTCACTGGTGGCCAGCCGGCTGTGGGGCATGGAGTGGTCGTACACGTGAGAGAAGGAACTTTGCTTAGAGATGTAAACATTACTATATATTCGCTCGAAAAATTGGCGCACAACCGATGTGGGATTAAACCGGCGTCACACCTTCCTCAGAAGGGGCAGACAACTGGCGCGGGTTCGAATCCTCCTAGAGTCAAAAGTCATATATTTTTATCTGATTATTGCGACTTTCCTGCAGATCGCCGGTGAAGGATTAAGCAACGAGAATCGCTGGATCATCGACGAAAATCTCGTCAACACGATTCGCGGAGCATTGCTACTAAAATTGTTGAACGATTCGCAATAAAAGGATCATGAATCCATCGAGTAAATCATCTCCGATTGATCGACGAACAAGTCGTCATCGAGAAGAGGACGATCCGCCGGGAGACGAGTCACCACCTCCTGAGAGCGTACCAGATGCAATGACGAGCCTCCTCTTGCTGCGCGGACCTGAGGATGAAGCTCCTTGACACGCGCCCCACCTCCATCTAGCTCCTCTCCGTCGGGTGAGAGCCGGCGGAGAGCCGCAAAGTCGCCGTTTTTCTGCTCTGCCAGGTGACAGCCGCCGGAGACGACTCGACGACCCATTTCATTGATCTCTAGACTTCGCGAGAAGATCTAGAGATTGCCCACGTTGTCTTTGTCCAAGGAGAGCCTTCGAGGCCGTGGACACTGCACAACGATCCTCCCGAATACTCAGGATTCCGGTGCATTGCCGACTCATCGCCGTCGCAACGCCAGAACTCTGTTTTCCTGCTTTCAACTTACTTTACGCTTCATTTAGTGATAGTTTTTGTGATTTTAATTTACCAAAATATGCTTTGTTCTATTACGATTCTTCTGGATTTTACAGATCTTAATTTGATTAATTAAATCGTCTGTAATTACTTACGTAAGAATCGCTAGGCGGAACTCTGTTTCCGCCCAATTCACGTTCGCCGGGTGCTGACATCATCATGACGTCCGCACCCTTATTTCCTTTTTTTTCGTGAATTTAAAATATATTTCCTTTTCATTTCTTAGTATAAAATTTATAGAAAATATTATTCTTTGAGGAAAATTTTGAATAATTACCAGATATTATATTACATCCCTGTGATTGACCTGGAAAATTACCGCTATTTTTGGAAGTTTTATGGAATTATAATTGATATATTTATTCAGAAATACTTCTAAATATCTGAAAATTCGTATTTTCTAGTTTTATAAATTTAATATTTGTGTGATTTAATATACAACGACTAAGTCACGTCAATTGTCGTGCAGTGTCCATGGCCCCGAAGGCTCTCCTTGGACAAAGACGACGTGGGCAATCTCTAGATCTCCTTGCGACGTGGGTTGTCGAATCGTCTACGGCGATTGTCATCTGGTGGGGCGGAAAAATGACGACTTTGCGGCTCTCCGGCGGCTGTCACCCGCGGAGAGGAGCTGGATGGAGGTGGGGCGCGTGTCAGGGAGCTTCATCCTCAGGTACGCACAGCAAGAGGAGGCTCTTCATCGCATCTGGTACGCTCTCAGGAGGTGGCAACTCGTCTCTCGGCGGATCGTCCTCTTCCCGACGATGGTTTGTTCGTCGATCAATCGGAGATCCTTTACTTGATGGATTCGCGATTCTTTTATCGCAAATCGTTCAGCAATTTTAGTAACAATGCTCCACGAATCATGTTGACGAGATTTTCGCTAATGATTCAGCAATTCTGGTTACTTAATCCTGCACCGGCGATCTGCAAGAAGTCGTGATAATCAGATAAAAAAATATGAGTTTTGGCTCTGGGAGGATTTGAACTCGCACCGGTTGCCCGCCCTTTCTGAGGAAGGCCGGTTTAGTCTCACATCGGTTGTGCGCTGATTTTTTGGGCGAATATGTACTAATGTTACATTTCTTAGCAAGTCCCTTCTCTCACATGTACAACCACTCCTTGCCCCACAGTCGGCTGGCCACCGGTGACGTGGAAGGGGAGTGGCACACACGTCCCCCTATCGGTCCAAGTCGCTCGAGCCCCTGCTCGTGGCTACTCCTCGACTGAGCTTCCGACCCGTTTTGTCTTATTTTTATTTTTTATTTCTTTTTCTTCATTTATCTCAAAAGCAAGATTGTAAAAATCATATAAATTCGTGTAAAATCACATAATTACCCAAAAATTCACATTAATCAACTGAAAACCACTTTCACACTTTAACACAAATATAAGTCTATTTATCATGAGTTAAGGCTAAAACTATATTATTTACTAATTATTAACTCATGATAATGAAGATTTATTAGATGTGGTAGGGGAGTGGTGTACATATGCCCCTATCAGTCCTAGCTGCTCGAGCCCTTACTCGCGGCTCCTCCCCGACTGTGCTTCCGACCCGCTTGCTGGCCCGGCTGGCCGGCGGGTCTCCCCCATTTTGCTTTATTTTTATTTTAATTTCTTTTTCTTCATTTATCTCAAAAGTAAGACTATAAAAATCATATAAATTCGTATAAAATCACATAATTACCCAAAAAATCATGTTAATCAATTGAAAACCACTTTTCACACTTTAACACAAATATAAGTCTATTTATCATGAGTTAAGGTAAAAACTATATTATTTACTAATTATTAACTCATGATAATGAAGACTTATCAATATACCTCCTACATGACTACTTCAAGGTCGTTTGTTAAAACTAGATTTATGTGTTTTAATTAGTTTTATTATTTGATTTTATTTTATTAACTTGTAAAATAAATATGGAATATATTATTAATTTTAAAATTTTGAAGTTAAAATACTTAGCATAATTTTTTATTATTAAAATAAAAATAATATAAAAATTTTATGCCAACTGGCAAGTCGGCACTCGGTAGCTAACCTAGAGGAGGGGCAGCAGTCGAGGGGGTAGACCCAGACCGAGGGAGCCACAAGCTGCGCTTGAGTGGTGAAGGCCTCGCTCTACGCACGTGTGTCACTCCCCTTCCACGTCCCGATGGCCAGCTAGTCATGGGGCAAGGAGCGCCCATACACACATGTGCACATGAGGGTGGACCACCTTTTTGCCTTCTCTCAAGATGGTCCTAGGCATTATTTTATTTCAGGAGAAAGGATCTTTGTTGAGAAAGCGTAGTTTTGGTTTATATTCAGCACATGCGTCCGAAATATTTCTGATATGGGACTAAATCTTTTCGTCCATTTTAGTGCAGCCATCTAGAACATGGTGTGATCCAATGGTACGCAGCAAGCCATGTCATCAAATTAGCCAAATCCTGTGGCTAGGGAATCGCCACAATACCAGATGCGTAAAGCAATCCATCGGCGGTTCGTGAATTCGACGCCGCTCAACACGCGCATGGCCTTAAAGGATGATTTGACGGCTAAGGAGGCACCACAATACTAGAAACATAAGTTTTCGATCAGCAGTGGTTTGTGGCAGTTTGATCTTGTGTCACTCAGCACGCCACGTGACCAAGCATATCTGATCAATGAGTCCCAAAGCACCACAATACCGAGAACTTAAGTTCTCATACGTATCATCGTTATAGATATAAAGATAATAATCAATTATTATCTGGTAAAATAGACATTATTGATTATTTTTAAAATTTTGATGGTAGTCACAAATACGGCAATCTATTCTTCCCTCCTTTTGTGCGATCGATATCTCCAGCGATCGACAAGTTTGTTCCTTCCTCCCCCAACTGCACTCTAGGCCTCCAACAGGTGGTCAGCTCTTCTCTTCTCCCCCCAAATGATGGTGACAATGTGGTCGACCCCTCTTTAAATAGATATGTCCAACAAACAGCGCAACACTTCTAAACGATACTTCTGCGACTTCCGACGTGGTGTGGCACCTCCAGACGAAACCAAGCTGCCACACCAATGTCTTCAGTTGCCCAAGAGACAGACTAAACTTGGGCAATGATTTATTTCATGCTTTCAGTATTTACTTACTTGCTTTTGTCATTTATTTACATTTTACAGCAAGTTATTTCTATTTCATACACCTTCCAATTGAAATGAGTATAACTAATTCAAAACTTGATGAATGATCTTTGTTCTTCATCTGAATCCTCCAAAATTCGTCTAAGATTAAGCTAAGATTGTTTCTAACTTATTTTCTATTAATTTTTGCAGTCGAATCTCGACATATTCATGTTCTCGACATTCCGTGAATAGCAAGTATTTTTTCTATTTTCAAACGCAAAATCATCGAGATTAATGATTGATTAATGAGTGTTCAACAGTTAAAACAAGTTGGAGACATTCACGGCTGACCTCATGTCATGTGTATGAATGCTCGAGCACACAATTGTCCGAGAAAATGGGTTGACCATATTTCTCTCTTTCTTCATTTTCATCTTATTTCTCTCTCTCCTCTCTCTCCTTTGTGAAACTTTTTTCTCTGTCCATCTCACGTGAGATTTCTCTCCTTCTCTCCCTTTCTCTCTCTTTCATGAGAGATCTCATCCCTTCTCTCTCTCGTGAGAGCTTTCTCTCCTCCTCTCTTTTCTCTCCCTTTCACGAGAGATCTCATCTCTTTCTCTCATCCTCTCTTTTCTCTCCCTTTCGCGAGAGATCTCATCCCTTCTCTCTCTCATGATAGCTCTCTCTTCTCTCTCTCTTTTCCTCCTTTTCTTTGCTTTCTTTCTTTTATTCTTCTCACCTCACCCTTCTATGTTATTATTTCTATTAAATATTAATAAAATATTAAAATCACTTTACATATAAACTAAATTAGTTTTCACGATGGATTAATCAACCTTCTTGTGTTTGACTTAAGACTTACTTCTATACTAATATTTTATTAAGTCTTAGTTGTAAATATTATTAGATAATGTGTATGTAAACACAACAACAAGTGCACATCATCTACTGTTATTCATTTTATCACAAAGGTTGTCACTCAATATTCTACAATGTCTTAAATTCTTCACACCAACAATGCCCCGAATTCGTCTAAACCTCTTTCCGAACCTTCTAGACCGATTATGACATTATCCATCGGATCATCTACCATTATATGTCGCAGCTGAATGATGTCGCTTAGTGCAAACATCACCAACTCCTTGACATCACTTGCACCCTACTTCTTGAGATGAATGTCTCACACTATTTTTGGACTGACGCCCTCATGACGGCTACTTACCTCTAGAATTGGTGTCCCTCTGCTCCTCTGGGAGAAGCCATTTCCCTTCAATGCCTCCTACCTACCTCACCCATATTTTCCCTTCCTCCTTAGGTCTTTTGATACACTACCTTCATCTAAGATCACTCTCCTTCCCTATCTAAATTCGCCCATCCTGCTCTCAAATGGGTATTTGTCGATACTCTTGAATATAGAAGGGCTATTGGGTTTACTTATCTAACACCCATCACTACATTATGTTGGCCGACATCAGCTTCCATGATGAGTCTCCCTTCTTCTCCTCTACCTTCCCTCCTCCTTCTTGAGCCGCTGCCTCTCTTCCACCTAACTTTCCCCCCTTTATTGTCCTTGCGGATCCATCTCCTTCAACTCCCTTCTATTTGTCCTCTCTACCATCACCTCCTCCTCCTTGCTCTCCATCTCCACCGGCCTCCTCTATTTCGGCTGCAGATCCGTCATCTCCCTCTGCCACTAAGCCACTTGTGCCTCTCGCTGACGTCCCTAGTACTCCTTAGAATGATCTTCATCTTCTCATCGTCCTATGCAAAGGTATTCGTGCTTACACCCAACACCCAATCTTTCACTTCGTTTTTCACGATTGCCTTTCCCCCTCCGTTTATACCTTTGCCCTTTTCGTGGCATCTAAGTCAATTTCCCACTCACATGTTGAGGCGACACAAGTACTTGAGTGGAAGGCAGCCATGGACTTGGAAGTGAACGCCTTAGTATCTTAGGGGACTTGGACACAAGTTCCCCATCCAGCTGATGCCAACATTGTCATTTGCAAATGGGTAGTCAGACTTAAATACCATCAAAATGATACTATTGCATGTCATAAGGCTTGTCTAGTTGCTCGTGGCTTCACCCAAGTGTATGGCATCGACTACACTAGGACATTCTCCACTATCGTTCGACTCACTTCCATTCGAGTGTTCTTCTCTCTCGCCAAAAATCAGGCATGTTCTCTCCACTAGTTTGGATATTTCTAATGCCTTTCTCTAGGGTGATCTCGAGGAGTAGGTCTTTATGGAGCAACCTCCAAGGTATGTGCTAAGGGAGGGTCATCTAAAATATGTTTCTTGTGGAAGATGATTTACAGGCTCAAGTAGAGTCCACACCCTTAGTTCGCCAAGTTTAGTGGTCTTCTGATAACATGCTATTTATGCATGTAATTATATAATTATTAATGCAAATTAAGGCATTAATCATTACAAATATATACATGTTATCATATTTTAAGTACATTTCTATCATTTTGTGTAAATTCATGTTATGATCTTAAAATACACCAAATTATGGATTATTATAAATAATTACACATTAAAATCTTTAATCCTAATTATATTTATGATCATAATCATGTTTAAAGAGTGAAAATATGAGAGAAAAGATATTTATTAACATTTATGTATTTATATAAATTTATTTTATATAATACATAAATGTATAAAATTAATTAAAATTTATTCTCTTCTTATTTTAATAATTTGACCTTTTATAATGATAGATTATTCAATTTTGAATCCAACAAAACAAATTTGAATTAATGTGGAGTCGTATTTTGAAAGTTATGATTTTTACAATTTTATAGAATTTTCTGGAATTTTTCTGAATTTATTTATATTTATTTTCGATTTTTAAATGTTTTAAATTAATTAAAAAATCGCAAAAAGGGGTTATATGTCGCGCGTGTACACGTGGATGCGACGTGGTACTCGGGGCCACATGGCTCTACCACGTGGACAGCACGTGGGCGCCTGCGTGGTGATGATGTGACACGTGGCGTATTTATATTTACTATATATATTTATTTAATAAAGTATATAGGTCTTCCGATTATCGGAAGACAAAGTATTAATCCCTCTTAATCGTCATATCTTATATACCCGAATATACTCCTTTGTTTTTCCCGTGTGGGACTAAAGTCCCTTAGTTTTCTTATGTGCAGGACGCGTGGCGTGATCTCGTGCGTCCGATCGACATCGCGACAAATAGCGTGCGTAGATCACGTGGAATCGAGGTCCACGCGATCAGAGATCAACCACGTGCCTAAATACTCAATTAAGTGAATAAATCGCGACCGTCTGATCGAGAGTTATAACGGTCCAGATTATTCACATCAGATGGACATCCAATCACATCTTAACCGCACAATCACGATCGGACGATCGTCGAATCGTCGTGACGATTCGTGAAGAGGCATCTCATCGCGATCGTCCATCGCGATCAACTCCATCAGATCGGACGGCCACAATCATTTACGAATTTTATAAAATCCGTTCTTCGCGACGGAAGAACGGCTCGCGATCAATCTTCAAATTCTCTTTGTTTCGAAAATTCGGAATGAAAAGCCTTGCATCCGGCGATTAATTGGATCATTTCGAAGGCTAATTTGGGTTAGATTGTTTGTTTTCATCTTAATATTTCATCATTTAGTGTTAATTTTACTTTAAGTATTGTAGATTAAGTTTAATTTAGTTTTAATTTCTATTTTTAATCATTTCACGATACGAAAATTTCTCTTAACTTCAAACTTCGATTACTCTTCGAATTCTCATCCAAATCACCTGATTTTTGATTCCGTGGATTCGAAATTGAGTTATCTTTCTTAATATAGTAAATTGTCCAATTTCTAACCTAATTTCATTGTCCGATTTGACCGAATTTCAAAGATATCTCTCAAATTTCCCTAATTCTCCGTGGATTCGACCCTTAATTACCATTATACTAATTAATTACTTTGATTAATCATAAATTGGTAAGATTAGGACTTTGTTTTGACACTGAATCGTGTGCATTCAACGACCATACGATTTAGTCTTCCCACCACATTTCGCTTCTCGTCATATGCTACGGATCCCATTGTACTCACAAAGAAGACTGAGGGCAGCCTAATCATTCTTGTAGTCTACGTCAACGACATTCTTGTGACTAGGAGTGATAAGGCCAACATTCATTTTACCAAAGCTTATTTATAATAGTACCTAAGCATTCGTGACTTGGGGACTAAGGTATTTTTTCGAGATTGAGTTTGCATACCAAGACGGGGAGCTTGCCATGACCTAGCAGAAGTATGCTTTCGACATGCTTCTGGAGACTAGACTCCTTGGGTGCAAGCTAGAGACTTCATCCATAGAAAACCCATTTGTAGTTTTGAGACACTTTCTCTCCAATCTTCAAGGACGTTAATGAGTACATGCGATTATTAGGCAAGTTGATATATCTCACCGTCACTTGCCCCAACATCGTGTATATGATTAATGTTTTGAGTCAGTTCATACAAGACCAACGACAAGTTCACTAGGAGGAAGCTCTATAGGTTCTAGCACACATCAAGTGAGCCCTAGGAAAAAGACTCATCTATTGATGACACGACCATCTCTATGTTAAAGCCTATTCAAATGTTGGGTATGCAGGTAACAAGGGTGACGTGACTTAGTCGTTGTATATTAAATCACGCAAATCTAAAATTTATAAAACTAGAAAATATGAATTTTCAGATATTTAGAAGTATTTATGAATAAATATATTAATTATAATACAATAAAACTTCTAAAAATAGCGATAATTTTCCAGGTCGATCACCAGGATGTAATATAATATCTGGTAACTATTCTGAATTTTTCTCAATGAAAATGATTTTCTATAAATTTTATACTAGGAAATGAAAAGGAAATATATTTTAAATTCACGAAAAAGGAAAATAAGGCTGCGGACGACAGGATGACGTCAGCGCCTGGCGAACGCGAATCGGGCAAAAATAGAGTTCCGCTCAGTGATTCTTACGTAAGTGATTAAAGATGATTTAATTAATCAAATTAAGATCTGTAAAAGTCGGAAGAATCGTAATAGAACAAAGTATATTTTGGTAAATTAAAAACACAAAGATTATCACTAAATGAAGCATAAAATAAGTTGAAAGCAGGAAAACAGAGTTCCGGCATCATGACGGCAATACGTCGGCGATGCATCGGAATCCTAAGCGTTCGAGAGGATCGTCGTGCAGTGTCCATGGCCTCAAAGGCTTTCCTTGGACAAAGACGATGTGGGCAATCTCTAGATCTTCTCGCGAAGTCTAGAGATTAATAAAATGGGTCGTCAAGTCGTCTCCGGCAGCTGTCACCTGGCGGAGCAGAAAAACAGCGACTTTGCGGCTCTCCGGTGGCTGTCACCCGACGGAGAGGAGCTGGATGGAGGTGGGGCGCGTGTCAGGGAGCTTCATCCTCAGGACCGCACAGCAAGAGGAGGCTCTTCATCGCATCTGGTACGCTCTCAGGAGGTGGTGACTCGTCTCCTGGCGGATCGTCCTCTTCCCGACGACGGCTTGTTCGTCAATCAATCGGAGATGATTTACTCGATGGATTCGCGATCCTTTTATCGCGAATTGTTCAGCAATTTTAGTAGCAATGCTCCGCGAATCGCATTGACGAGATTTTCGCCGATGATCCAGCGATTCTCGTTGCTTAATCCTTCACCGGCGATCTGCAGGAAAGTCGCGATAATTAGATAAAAATATATGAATTTTGACTCTAGAAGAATTTGAACCCGTGCCGGTTGTCTGCCCCTTCTGAGGAAGGTGTGACGTCGGTTTAGTCCCACATCGGTTGTGCATCGATTTTTCGGGCGAATATATAGTAATGTTACATTTCCAAGCAAAGTTCCTTCTCTCACGTGTATGACCACTCCTTGCCCCACAGCCGGCTGGCCACCAGTGACGTGGAAGGGGAGTGGCACACACGTGTCCCTATCGGTCCAAGCCACTCGAGCCCTTGCTTGCAGCTACTCCCCGACTAAGCTTCCGACCCACTTGCAGGCTCGGCTGGCCGGCGGGTCCCCCTCATTTTGTATTATTTTTATTTTTTATTTCTTTTTCTTTATTTATCTCAAAAGCAAGACTGTAAAAATCATATAAATTCATGTAAAATCACATAATTACCTAAAAATTCACATTACTCAACTGAAAACCACTTTTCACACTTTAACACAAATATAAGTCTATTTATCATGAGTTAAGGCTAAAACTATATTATTTACTAATTATTAACTCATGATAATGAAGACTTATCAAAGGGCGACCGGAAGTCTACTACAAGTTAATGCACATATGTCGGAGGTAACCTCGTCACCTGGTGGTCTTGGAAATAAAGGGTGATATCCTAATCTAATGCGGAGTCTGGGTATCTAGCCACAACTGAGATTGCACGATAGATAGTATGGTTTCGATCACTTCTTAAAGAACTCAACATCTCTTTTTCTTCTCCAATGCCCATGCATTGTGAGAATCAAGCCGCTATCTTTATTTTCGATAATCACACTAGCGTATGAAGCATATTGAAATCAACTATCACTACATTCGAGATAAAGTTATGTCTAATCTCATCTCTACTCCTCATGTAGTCTCATCTCATCAGCTTGTAGATGTCTTCATGAAAAGTCTGACTAAGATCTCCTATGATGCCACATGTATCAAGCTGGACATGTTTGACTTATATGCTCTAACTTGAGGGGGAGTGTTCAATAATGTCATCAGACTCTCGACCTATTAGCACCTATTATATCTCCTCCTCTTCTCTTCCTCTATATAGACACATGTGACCTCTTCTCCTCCTCAACTAAATAGTCAATACTATCGCCATAGTCCCTCCCACTCTCGCGATATCTGCCGTCGTAGTATCTTGTAGTATCTCTTAGTGTCTCACAATATCTCACGGTATTGTCTCTTACTACACTACCTCCCACCACACTCTCTTCTTACCATGCACCATCTCTTGTTGCATGCCACCCTTTGCTGCATGTTCTTGTGCTTACATTGGTTTCTTGTCATTATTATGGACCAAGATAATGCATCTTCTCCGCTTTAAGGACTTCGACCCATAGCTCCAGTTCTAATCAAAGTGCCTCCAACATTAGCACTCCTTCCCTCGTGGCACTCTATCACGCTAACTGACTCGGGTAGCATACATTTTCATCAGTCTCAATTATGTGCCATGTGCATCGGGTTTTGAGTACTTTCTTATGTCCCACAACCTACTTCACCATCTGACAAATAATCTGTCGACCATTGTTGACCCAACTTATGCTTCTTGGTCCCAAATTGACACTACCGTAGTCATGTGGATGCTTCAAAATATTGAGTAGATTGTCACCGAACCCCTTGCTCATATCAAGCTCGTCATGCAACTTTGGCTCATGATAGAAACCATGTATGCCAACAAGACAAATATCAATTGTACTATGTAATTATTCGAGTCTCTTCTCACGTGTAAACAACATGATCTCTTAGTCTAGACACACTTTGAACAACTACATGCAATCATCTAAAAGTTATCTCTTTATCAGCCTCTAACTACTGACCTTCGGATCCTTGAGCGATATCACTAAGACTTCTATACTGGTGTATATCTTAGTGGTCTACATCTAGACATTGTCTCACAGATTCATAACTAAATTCTCTCGAGTGATTGTGTGTTACACTCTCTATCAATTTTTCTACAACACTTTGTATGAGCACGAGCACTCTTACTACTCAATCGAGCACCACTCAATCAATTGCCATGTCGACCTCATCAATTATGGCTGCATCTACTCCTCATAGTTGGGATTGTGGTCGTAGCCTATAGCTTTACAAGGGTCGTCCTCTCAAAGGCAAAGGCTGCAATGTCTTTCCACTTTGTCTTTAGTGTGGTAAGTCAAGCCACCTCCATCAAACAAGTGTTGGAAGGAGTTTGGCAAGCTTAAGTGGGTTCAAGTTGTTATATCTGGCAGTCATTTAGATTCTCCTCATCTATAGTTCACTCCGTGACTTCTCCTACTATTCAGATAACTTTCACGCTAGTAAAATATGAAGCCTAGAAGTATTTTACAATTGCTCCCTCTTATACACTTTCCTCTACCAACCTTGCATCTATGTCGGGACCCTCCATGCCAAGTACATGTCTTATTTGCCTTCTCATCGCCTTGGATTCTTGACTCAAGGACTTCTACCTATATGACTAGTACACCCTTCATACTTTCCTCACTTCATCACACCATAGCCCACCTATCAGTGACCATTCCGATGGTCAGACTTGTTTGATTAAAGGGGCATATCACCACCATTGTGACCTCTACTCTACTATTGACCTAAGTCCTCTACATTCATAGTTTTATTATAAATTTTTTATCTATCAATGCCATCACTCGTGTCCTACTTTACACCATTACATTTTTTTCTTTCCACTATCTTTCAGGATTTGCATATCGCACGAAAAATTAGTTTGGGACATGAAAAGGGTCAAAATATTTATGAACTCATCTCAAAGGCACCTTCCTCTAGCATTTGAGTACTTTTGTTACTTCTACTACTACTTCTCTTTTGTGGCATCACCATTTAGGTCATCCTTATTTTTCAAAACTTCAAAAAATCTTATCATGATTGTCTCTTAATGAATTTATGTGTGAGTCATGTCAACTAGACAAACATCATCATTACTCTAATTTTATCATGATAGTATTCTATCATTGACTCTATTCAATTTTGTTCATTACAATATTTGGGGACCCTCTCGAGTTGCCTCTATCACTGAACATCTATATTACATCATTTTCGTTGATGATTATACTCATGTGAATTAAGTTTCTTTCCTTCATGATCAGTCTCAAGTTCTCCCTATTGTTATGTAATTTATCATTGAAATAATTACCTAATATTCTACCACACCCAAGGTTCTTCGCATGGACAATGCACTTGAACTTGTTCAACATGTCATTCGCACCTTTTGTACTGATTATGATATTATTCATCAAACCACCTACCCATACATTTTCCAACATAATAGAGTTGTCGAATATAAACACTATCACTTGACATTACTTGCACATTACTCATTGAGATGTATGTTTCACATTACTTGTGGTCTAGCATACTCCTAATTGTCATTTATCTTCAAAATCATCTTCCTTCTACTCCATTAGGTGATGTCATTCTTCTCCAATGTCTCACACCTGATGCTTCTCTTTTTTCTTTATCTCCTTGAATTTTTTATTGCACCACTTTCCTTCATGATCATTGGCCATCCTTTTCTAAACTCACTCCTCGTGCTCTGAAATGTGTCTTCATAGATTATTTGTGCACTCAAAAAGGTTATCAAGTATACTTTCCTGACACCCGTTGCTATGTGACCTTTGCTGATATTACTTTTCTTAAGGATTTCTCTTTTTTTGTTCCATCTCTTTCATCTTCGCATTCATTCACATCTCCACCCCTTGGGCTTCTACCCATTATCATTCTTACGGATCCTACTGACGTGACTTAGTTGTTGTATATTAAATCACACAAATCTAAAATTTATAAAACTAGAAAATACGATTTTTCAGATATTTAGAAGTATTTCTGAACAAATATATCAATTATAATTCAATAAAAATTCCAAAAAATAGTAGTGATTTTTCAGATTGATCACAAGGGTGTAATATAATATCTGGTAATTATTCAAAATTTTCCTCAAAGAATACTATTTTCTATGAATTTTATACTAAGAAATGAAAAGGAAATATATTTTAAATTCACGAAAAAAAAGGAAATAAGGGTGCGGACATCAGGATGATGTCAGTGCCCGGCGAACGCGAATCGGGCGAAAACAGAGTTCTGCCCGGTGATTCTTACGTAAGCGATTACAAACGATTTAATTGATCAAATTAAGATTTGTAAAAGTCGGAAGAATCGTAAGTGAACGAAGTATATTTTGGTAAATTCAAATCACAGAAATTATCACTAAATGAAGCGTAAAGTAAGTTGAAAGCAGGAAAATAGAGTTTCGGCGTCACGACAGCAATGCGTCGGCGATGCACCGGAATCCTGAGCATTCGGGAGGCTCGTCGTGCAGTGTCCACAGCCTCAAAGGCTCTCCTTGGACAAAGATGACGTGGGCAATCTCTAGATCTCCTTGCGAAGTCTAGAGATTAATGAAATGGGTTGTCGAATCATCTCCGGTGGCTGTTGATAAGTCTTCATTATCATGGGTTAATAATTAGTAAATAATATAGTTTTAGCCTTAACTCATGATAAATAGACTTATATTTGTGTTAAAGTGTGAAAAGTGGTTTTCAGTTATTAATTCTAATTTTTAGGTAATTATGTGATTTTACATGAATTTATATGATTTTTACAGTCTTGCTTTTGAGATAAATGAAGAAAAATAAATAAAAATAAGACAAAATGAGGGGGGACCCGCCGGCCAGCCAGGCCCGCAAGCGGGTCGGAAGCTCAGTCGGGGAGTAGCCGCGAGCAGGGGCTCGAGCGGCTTGGACCGATAGGGGCACGTGTGCGCCACTCCCCTTCCACATCACCGGTGGCCAGCCGGTTGTGGGGCAAGGAGTGGCCGTACACGTGAGAGAAGGAACTTTGCTTAGAAACGTAACATTACTATATATTTGCCCTAAAAATCAGCGCACAACCGATGTGGGACTAAACCCGCGTCACACTTTCCTCAGAAGGGGCGGACAACCAGCGCGGGTTCGAATCCTCTTAGAGTCAAAAGTCATATATTTTTATCAAATTATCGCGACTTTCCTGCAGATCGCCGGTGAAGGATTAAGCAACGAGAGTGCTGGATCATCGGCGAAAATCTCGTCAACGCGATTCGCGGAGCATTGCTACTAAAATTGCTGAACAATTTGCGATAAAAGGATCGCGAATCCATCGAGTAAATCATCTTCGATTGATCGACGAACAAGCCGCCGTCGGGAAGAGGACGATCTGCCAGGAGACGAGTCGCCACCTCCTGAGAGCGTATCAGATGTGATGAAGAGCCTCCTCTTGTTGTGCGGACCTGAGGATGAAGCTCCCTGACATGCACCCCACCTCCATCCAGCTCCTCTCCGTCGGATGACAACCGCTGGAGAGCCGCAAAGTCGCCGTTTTTCTGCTCCGCCGGGTGACAGCCGCCGGAGACGACTCGACGACCCATTTTATTAATCTCTAGACTTCGCGAAAAGATCTAGAAATTGCCCACGTCGTCTTTGTCCAAGGAGAGCCTTCGAGGCCATGGACACTGCACGACGATCCTCTCGAACGCTCAGGATTCCGGTGCATCGCCGTCGCGACGCCGGAACTCTGTTTTCCTGCTTTCAACTTAATTTACGCTTCATTTAGTGATAATTTTTGTGATTTTAATTTACCAAAATATGCTTTGTTCTATTACGATTCTTCCGGCTTTTACAGATCTTAATTTGATTAATTAAATCGTCTGTAATCGCTTACATAAGAATCGCCGGGCGAAACTCTATTTCTGCCCGATTTGCGTTCGCCGGGCACTGACGTCATCCTGACGTCCGCACCCTTATTTCCTTTTTTCATGAATTTTAAATATATTTCCTTTTCATTTCCTAGTATGAAATTCATAGAAAATCGTATACATTGAGAAAAATTCTGAATAATTACCAGATATTATATTACATCCATGTGATCGACCTGGAAAATTACCACTATTTTTGAAAGTTTTATGAAATTATAATTGATATATTTATTCAGAAATACTTCTAAATATCTGAAAATTCATATTTTCTAGTTTTATAAATTTTATATTTGCGCGATTTAATATACAACGACTGAGTCACGTCAGCTGTCACCCGGCGGAGCGGAAAAATGGTGACTTTGCGGCTCTCTGGCGGTTGTCACCTGATGGAGAGGAGCTGGATGGAGGTGGGGCACGTGTCAAGGAGCTTCATCCTCAGGTCCGCGCAGCAAGAGGAGGCTCTTCATCACATCTGGTACGCTCTCAAGAGGTGACGACTCGTCTCCCGGCGGATCGTCCTCTTCCCGACGACAGCTTGTTCATCGATCAATTGGAGATGATTTACCCGATGGATTCGTGATCCTTTTATTGTGAATCGTTCAGCAATTTTAGTAGCAATGCTCCGCGAATCGCGTTGACGAGATTTTCGCCGATGATCTAGCGATTCTCGTTGCTTAATCCTTCATCGGCGATCTGCAGGAAAGTCGTGATAATCAGATAAAAATATATGACTTTTGACTCTGGGAGGATTCGAACCCGCGCCGGTTGTCCGCCCCTTCTGAGGAAGTGTGATGCGGGTTTAGTCCCACATCAGTTGTGCGCCAATGTTTCGGGCGAATATATAGTAATGTTATATTTTTAAGCAAAGTTCCTTCTCTCACGTGTACAACCACTCATTGCCCCACAGTCGGCTGGCCACCGGTGACGTGGAAGGGGAGTGGCGCACACGTGCCCCTATTGGTCCAAGCCGCCTGAGCCCCTACTCGCGGCTACTCCCCGACTGAGCTTCCGATCCGCTTGCGGGCCTGGCTGGCCGGCGGGTCCCCTCTCATTTTGTCTTATTTTTATTTATTTTTCTTCATTTATCTCAAAAGCAAGACTGTAAAAATCATATAAATTCATGTAAAATCACATAATTACCTAAAAATTCACATTAATCAACTGAAACCACTTTTCACACTTTAACACAAATATAAGTCTATTTATCATGAGTTAAGGCTAAAACTATATTATTTACTAATTATTAACTCATGATAATGAAGACTTATCACCTGCTCCTTCTATTCTTTCTTTATCTCTCCCTTGTTCGTCGGCACTTTCACAGCCCACATCCTCTACCGATGTATCCACTCCAAGTGCAGCTCTATCTTCACCCACCTCGCCTGACACCACTACTCCACTAGATGATTTTCTTGCATTGTCTATAGGTGATCTTCATCTTCCCATTATGTTGTGTAAAAGTACATGCTGTTACATTCAACATCTTATATTCCACTTTATTTCTTATGATCACCTTCATCCTACCTTTCGTACCTTTATCCTCTCTATGGCCTCTAAGTTAATTCCACAATCACATATTGAAGCATTTCAGGCCTCTACTTGGAAAGCAACTACAGATTTGGAGATTGGAGCATTGATTTCTCAGGGCATGTGGAAGTTTGTCTCTCATCCAACTAATGCCAACATTTTGACATGTATGTGGGTGTTCACACTAAAGTACAATTTAGATGGCTCCATTGTTGATCACAAAGCTCACTTGGTTACATGTGGCTCACTCAAGTTTATTACATTGATTACACTGAGACATTCTTCTTCCTTGATGATGCATCGTGATTGATTACTTCACTAGTTGAACATGTCTAATATTTTTCTCTATGGTGACTTGGATAAGCAAGTTTTCATAGAGCAACCTCTAGGAAATGTTGTTCAAGAAGAGGCTTCCTAAGTTTGTTTGCTTCAGCATCATATCTACATACTCAAGTAGAATTTTTGAGCTTAATTTGTGAAATTTAATAGCCTTCTTACTACTTTTGACTTCACTCTATGTATTGCTGACCCTACTGTCCTAATGAAGACCACTCTTAGACGTATGGTTATTCTAGCCATATATGTTGATGACATTCTTGTGATAGAGAGTGATAAGGTAGGCATCTTTGCCACCAAAGCCTATGACATGACTTAATCAATGTATAGTAAATCACACAAATTTAAAATTTATAAAATTAGAAAATACTAATTTTCAGATATTTAAAAGTATTTTTAAACAAATATATCAATTATAATTCAATAAAACTTTCAAAAATAGTGGTAATTTTCCAAGTCGATTAGAGGGATGTAATATAATATCAGGAAATTTTTTAGAATTCTTTTTAAAGAATACGATTTTTTATGAATTTTATACTAAAAAATAAAAATAAAAATAAAATATATTTAAAATTCGTAAAAAAGAGAAATAAGGGTGTGGACGTCAGAATGACATCAGTGCCCGACGAATGCGAATCAGACGAAAACAAAAGTTCCGCTCAGTAATTCTTACGTAAGTGATTACAGATGATTTAATTGATCAAATTAAGATTTGTAAAAGCCAGAAGAATCGTAATTAAATGAAGTATAACTTGGTAAATTTAAATCACACAAATTATCACTAAATGAAGCAAAAATTAAGTTGAAAGTAAGAACACAGAGTTCCGACATTGTGGTGAAAATGTGTCGACGATGCACCAAAATCTTGAGCATTTGGAAATAATAGTAATATCACATTTGCAAGCAATGAGTCCCCTTCTCCTACATGTATGACCACTCCTTGTCCCACAATCAACTGGCCACCGGTGACATGAAAAGGGAGTGGTACACACATGCCCCCATCCTTTTTAGCCACTCAAGCCCTTGCTTGCAGCTCCCCCTGACTACGCTTCCGACTCGCTTGTAGGTTTGGCTAGCTGACAAGTCTCCTTCTTTTGCTATATTTTTATTTAATTTCTTTTTCTTCATTTATCTCAAAAATAGAATTATAAAAATTATATAAATTCATAAAAAATTACATAATTAGCCAAAAATTCATGTTAATCAATTGAAAACTACTTTTCACACTTTAACATAAATATAAGTCTATTTATTATGAGTTAAGACTAAAAATATATTATTTGTTAATTATTAACTCATGATAATGAAGACTTATTGACGTGACTTAGTCGTTGTATATTAAATCACGTAAATCTAAAATTTATAAAACTAGAAAATATGATTTTTCAGATATTTAGAAGTATTTCTGAATAAATATATCAATTATAATTCAATAGAACTTCAAAAATAGCGATAATTTTCCAGGTCGATCACAGAAATGTAATATAATATCTAGTAATTATTCAAAATTTTCCTCCAAGAATACTATTTTCTATGAATTGTATACTAGGAAATGAAAATAAAATATATTTAAAATTTATGAAAAAGGGAAATAAAGGTGTAGACATCAAGATGACGTCGCGCCCGACAAACGCGAATCGGGTGGAAACAGAGTTCCACCTAGCAATTCTTATGTAAGCGATTACAAACGATTTAATTGATCAAATTAAGAACTGTAAAAGTCGGAAGAATCGTAATGGAATAAAGTATATCTTGGTAAATTTAAAATCAACAAACTATCACTAAATGAAGCAAAAATTAAGTTGAAAATAGAAAAATAGAGTTTCGGCGTCGCGGCGGCGATGCGTCGGCGATGCACCAGAATTCTGAGCGTTTGGGAGGATCGTTGTGCGGTGTCCACAGCCTCAAAGGCTCTGTTTGGACAAAGACAATGTGGACAATCTCTAGATCTCCTTGCGAAGTCTAGAGATCAATGAAATGGGTCATCAAATCGTCTCTGGCGGCTGTCACCCGGTGGAGCGGAAAAACGGCGACTTGCGACTCTCCAGTGGCTGTCACCTGACAGAGAGGAGTTGGATGGAGGTGGGGCGCATGTCAGGGAGCTTCATCCTCAGGTCCGCGCAGCAAGAGGAGGCTCTTCATCGTATGTGGTACGCTCTCAGGAGGCGGTAACTCGTCTCCCGGCGGATCGTCCTCTTCCCAATGACGGCTTGTTCGTCGATCAATCGGAGATGCTTCACTCGATAGATTCGTGATCCTTTTATCGCGAATCGTTCAGCAATTTTAGTAGCAATGCTCCGCGAATCGCGTTGACGAGATTTTCGCCGATGATCAAGCGATTCTGGTTGCTTAATCCTTCACCGGCGATCTGCAGGGAAGTCGCGATAATAAGATAAAAAATATGAGTTTTGGCTCTAGGAGGATTCGAACCCGCGCCAATTGCCCACCCTTTCTAGGGAAGGTGACGCGGGTTTAGTCCCACATCGATTGTGTGCTGAATTTTCGGGTGAATATATAGTAATGTTAGATCTCTAAGCAAGTCCCTTTCTCGCGCGTGTACGACCACTCCTTGCCCCACAGCCAGCTGGCCACCGGTGACGTGGAAGGGGGGTGGCGCACACGTGCCCCTTCGGTGCAAGCTACTCGAGCCCTTGCTCACGGCTACTTCCCGACTGCGCTTCTGACCCACTGGCAGACCCAGCTGGCTAGCGGGTCCCCCTATTTTATAATATTTTTATTTTTATTTCTTTTTCTTCATTTATCTCAAAAGTACGATTGTAAAAATCATATAAATTCGTATAAAATCACATAATTACCCAAAAATTCACATTAATTGACTGAAAACCACTTTTCACAGTTTAACACAAATATAAGTCTATTTATCACGAGTTAAGGCTAAAACTATATTATTTACTAATTATTAACTCATGATAATGAAGATTTATCACTTATCATCCTACTTATAGTAATACTTTGGCATAAGAGACTTAGGGACACCATATTATTTCCTTGAGATAAAGTTTACTTATAAATAGAACAAGCTAAATTCATCTCAGAGGAAATATGTTATTGACCTTCTTTAGGAAATGAGACTTCTTAACTACAAATCAAAGTCATCACTTATGGAGGTTGACATGACTTAGTCATTGTATATTAAATCATGTAAATTTAAAATTTATAAAACTAGAAAATACGAATTTTTGGATATTTAGAAGTATTTCTGAATAAATATATCAATTATAATTTAATAAAATTTCCAAAAATAATGGTAATTTTCTAGGTCGATCACAGAGATGTAATATAATATCTGATAATTATTCAGGATTTTTCTCAAAGAATACTATTTTCCATAAATTTATACTAGGAAATGAAAAGGAAATATATTTAAAATTCACGAAAAAAAGAAATAAGGGTGCAGACGTCAGGATGACGTCAGTGCCTAGCGAACGTGAATCAGGCGAAAATAGAGTTCCGCCCAATGATTCTTACATAAGCAATTACAAATGTTTTAATTGATCAAATTAAGATCTGTAAAAACTAGAAGAATCGTAATTGAATAAAATATATCTTAGTAAATTTAAATCACACAAATTATCACTAAATGAAGTGGAAAGTAAGTTGAAAGCAGGAAAATAAAGTTCTGACGTCGCAGTGGTGATGCGTCAGTGATGCATCAGAATCCTAAGCGTTCGGGAGGATCGTCGTGCAGTGTCCACGGCCTCGAAGGCTCTCCTTAGACAAAGATGACGTGGGCAATCTCTAGATCTCCTTGTAAAGTCTAGAGATCAATAAAATGGGTCACCGAATCGTCTCTAGCGGTTGTCACCCGACGAAGCGGAAAAACGGCGACTTTGCGGCTCTCCGACGGCTATCACCTGACAAAGAGGAGCTGATGGAGGTGGGGCACGTGTCAGGGAGTTTCATCCTCAGGTCCGCGTAGCAAGAGAAGGCTCTTCGTCGCATTCGATATGCTTTCATGACGTGGCGACTTGTCTCCCGACGGATCGTCCTCTTTTCGACGACAACTTGTTCGTCGATCAATTGGAGATGCTTTACTCGATGGATTCGTGATCCTTTTATCGTAAATTATTCGGCAATTTTAGGAAAAATGCTCTGCAAATCACATTGACAAGATTTTCGCCGATGATCCAATGATTCTGGTTGTTTAATCCTTCACCAGTGATCTGCAAGAAAGTCATGATAATCAGATAAAAAATATGAGGTTTGGCTCAGGGGGATTCGAACCCTGCCAGTTGCTTGCCCTTTCTAGGGTAGGTATGATGCAGGTTTAGTCCCACATCGCTTGTGCGCCGAAGTTTCTAGCGAATATATAGTAATATTACATTTCCAATCAAGTCCCTTTCTCACGCGTGTACGACCACTCCTTGCCCCACAACCGGCTGGCCACCGGTGACGTGGAAGGGGAGTGGCGCACACGTGCCCCTATTAGTCCAAGCTGCTCAAGCCCCTGTTCGTGGCTACTTTCCGACTATACTTCCGACCCACTTGTGGGCCTGGCTGGCTGGCAGGTCCCCCCCATTTTGTTATATTTTTATTTTTATTTCTTTTTCTTCATTTATCTCAAAAGTAAGACTATAAAAATTATATAAATTTGTATAAAATCACATAATTACCCAAAAATTTATGTTAATCAATTGAAAACCATTTTTCACATTTTAACACAAATATAAGTTTATTTATCATGATTTAAGGCTAAAACTATATTATTTACTAATTATTAACTCATGATAATGAAGACTTATCAAAGGTGCATCCGAAGCTCCTTGATATTACTTCACCTTTAATAGAGGATGCTAATTACTATTGACGATTATTAGAGAAATTAATATATCTCACTATTACTCATTCTAACATCATGTATACAATTAGTGTTCTCAGTCATTTTATATAGGAGCCTCATCAAGTCTATTGAGAGGGAGCACTATATGCCTTAGCCTATCTCAAATGAGCTTCAAGGAAGGGACTCATCTACAAATATCATGGTCACCTATGTGTTAAAACCTACTTAGATGCTAGGTATGCTGGTGACAAAGGAGATTGAAAGTCAACAATTGACTACTACACGTATGTTGCTGGTAACCTAGTCACTTTGCACTCTCAAAAGTAAAAGGTGATATCTTATTTCAATGTAGAAGCCAGATATCATGCTATGACTGAGACAACATGTGAGATGATATGGCTTTGCTCTCTTCTAAAGAGTCTAGGTGTCACTCCTTAGATACCTATGCTTATATACTGTGACAATCAAGCATCAATCTTCATAGTTAGAAACCTCATATTCCACGAACGAACCAAGCACATCGAGATTGATTATTACTACATTTGGGTTTTAATAGAGGTTATCTTCACACCATATGTCACTTCATCTAATTAGCTAGTAGACATCTTCACCAAGAGCCTTACAAGGATGTCCTATGATGCTATATATATTAATCTATGTATGTTTGACTTATATACTCTAACTTGAGGGAGAGTGTTTGGGCATCCTCTTCTATGTGGCCCACTTGGACCCATTACCTCTCTCTCTTCTCTCACCTATATAAACACATGTATCTCTTCATTTAGAGTTAATCTAATCTTAAGATTTAAATAGTGGGGCATGGACCCTAGCCCCACCATCAGTGACCACAAAGTCATTGGACTCTATGTCACCTCCTCCAGAGACTCTGCAAACTATCAAGGCCACTCCATGTCGCCGCCGGCAAACTCGAGCTCTGGATCCGAACTTCTATTACTATTAGGATTTACCCATATTTAATTTCCTTTCATTTACTTTAAGTTGTAATCCTCTCTCTCCTCTCAAGGCCTATAAATAGGCCTAAGGTTTCTATTGAACAGTAGTTTTGATCTTTATAAGAATTTTCTTGTACGAGAGATCGTGCCCTAAGGGATTCGTGTGACTGCCACTACCTGTAGCCGTCGCCGTTGCACGAGCCCCCCCCCCAACCCTATGGTCAACCCTCTTTCTCATCGCCAGCAGGTCTCTCTATTAGCGCTCACGTGCTCGACGACGTGCCAATCAGTGTCCCTTGGAGTGCCAGCAGCGTGCCGCGTACGAGCCTCCTGGGGGCGCTCACGCGTCCCGTGCATCCTGCCCAAGCGCTTGTGCATCCCGCGGCTGGTGGACACACCACGGCGACTCGCCCTGCACACCAGCCTTCCGCCCTACACATTGACCACGCACACCCTGCACACCCTGCTCCGTCCAACATTGGATTTAGGTTTTGGGGTGCTGCCCCAAACCCTGCAAGGGGGCGGCTTTCCCCCTTGATCCCCCCCCCCCCCGCCAACTAACCACGTAGTTGGATCCACGACGGGCTCATCCTCCTCTGCTCTAACCTCGACAACATCATTGCGGCATGCAAACACCGAAGGTCCCCTCTCAACTCTCTCTGGTGATCGTGTGTTTTGATTTCATTCCATCTTTCCTCATACGTGTTTCCACCGCCATCGGATTCAGCCGTGCAGACTTGAGACCAGCCGAGTGGGCTGCGATTTCCTTGTTTAGAGGGCGACTAAGATTTTGAAACGTAGAGATTTATTTAATCATGATGACCTAAGACAGTCCTCCCACTCTCGATCAAGGAACAGAATAGTCTTCTCACATCATCATAGTCGGCTTTCAAAGGTTCGGGTCCAATCGTGTGCAAATTTCGTGGCTTGTTATTTACCTGTTATGTTCCCTACCCATTCCACCCGTGTCAGTCATATTCATCTTACATCATTAACCCTTCTCATCAACACTCTAATTTTGAGTATAGATCGATCATCATAATCTTTCTTGATCTCTTCTTCCAGTCAAGAATTTTATTAGTGTACACCTGCTAATCATAATAGTTCATCTCCATTAGAGTTTTCCACTAAAACTCCAGCTATATTTATGGCTATAGGTAGTCCAAATGATAATTAAATGCAGCAGCACCCTAGGTCTAATGATCAAACCAAGTTCAAAGCAGAAAAAGAGAATATTTCAGTCAACATATTTTGTTAATATTGATGAAGAATAGAATCACAATTTGAATTTGATGGAGAGGAGACTGGATTACAGTTAAGTTTTACTTCTTTATAATTGAAGATATCTGAAGGCTAAAGATGATGTTGTTAAAATCTGAATGAAGAGAATTGATCTCAAGTCAACAAGTGCTCCTCAACTTGCTGATCTTCTTGTGAACGTAGTAAGCTTTGCAATTAAACTCAAAATTGCATAGAAAAACTGTGTAAAATCGTTTCTGAACTAATTAAGAATTAAGAAACTTTTGAAATTCTAACATTTTTAGTGAGCTTTAAATCAATTACTTTCTATTATTCTTCAATGTTAAAATCCTAAAATTAGTTAGAAATTTTAAAAAAAATATAACTCGTCCTTTTAGGATTAAATATCTTTTATACTTAAACAAATAACATAATCCTTAAGTTCTTAACTTTTACATATGAATTTATCAATTCTTCCATAGCTGATAAGGATATGTTATCATTAAAAAGCATTCGTAGATAAATCTCAAACTAGAGTGATGATTTTCACTTAAATTCAAATTCAAATCACTTCAAATAAAATATTCACTTTAGTAAATTCATTGAGTTTTCATATAATCATTCAACATGAATACTTTCGTGACTTCTAATATTTCAAAATCATTATTCAATAAATATTCAAATCACCATTGATTAGTTGAGATGTAATGAAATAAATAAATGAATAGTATTGACTCAATTTATTCCTGTCAAATGTGGGACATCTATTACAATGTTTGACTTATCATCTCAATATTTTATTTTGAGTATTTGAGCATTTTTCGAGCCAATTTCAAGAAAATTTCAGTATATATATATTAAATTATACCTGAGAATTATTCCGGTTACACTACTACCACTTCTAATTATTCCGGCATACTGCCCTTTCAAATTCTTTCGATTACCTCAACGACAGACCGCTCCCTCTGCTATGAGGGCCACGCCCACCGCCACTACGTGGACCTTCTTCCTGCGGCCCCCCAGGGGGCCAGCGGCTACGCCACCGCTGCCGCACGGATCCTTCGCGTGCCTCCGCCACCTCTCCCGCAGCACCGCCCTCCAGGAGCTCCTCTGTGGCGGCGGAGGAAGAAGAAGAAGAAGAAGCTCCCCCGCCGCCTGCGACACGAAGGCCCTTCTGCGCGACCTAGACCTCGCTGTCGGAGCCCGGCGGATCGACGCCGCCTGGGAGGCCTTCGACCGCCTCCGCGCCTCCTGCAGCCTCCTTCCCCCTCGCGCTCTCCTCGGCGGTCTCATCGCCGCCACCTCCTACTCGCCGGAGCCCCGCCGCCTCCGCCGCGCCTACCAGCTCGCTTCCGCCCTCTCCCTCCGCCGGCCGGATCTCCTCCACTACGATTCCCTCTCGAGGCTAGCCCTTTCCCTGGCCCGCGCGCAGATGTCGGTGCCCTCCGCGGCGGTGCTCAGGCTCATGTTGGAGACCAACAGGCTCCCACCTCCTCCTCTCTGGAGCGCCGCCTTCTCCCACCTGGTGAGGACTCCGGTGGGCTCCTACGCCGCCGCCGACGTGCTGATCGATCTTTGCGGAGTCTTCCTCTGCCATCCCGCGAGCTCCAAGCGGCGAAAGCTGACGAAGCCCAGCGCCGCCCTCTTCAACCTTGTCCTCCACTCCTGCGTCCAATTCGGGTCGCCGCTGAAGGCCCACCAGATGCTCGAGATAATGCCAGAGACGGGCGTGGAAGCAGACGTTGGCTCCATTATCGCCATCGCTCGGGTGTGCGAGATGAATGGGCTCAGGGAAGATCTGAAGAAGCTGAAGCCTCACGTTGATTCCGCATCCTCACCTCTTCTCAACCACCACTATCTTCACTTCTACGATTCCCTGTTGAGCCTGCACTTCAAATTCAATGACTTGGAGGCTGCGGCAGAGCTCATCCTGGGTTTATACCAGCGATCCAGCTCGCCCCCAAGGCAGAATGTGCTTCCAGAAACTTGCTTTCTTCTTCGGGTTGGATCAGACAATTTGAAGACCGGATCCAAGCTCCTGATCAAGCCCGCGTCCTTGCCACAGGATCTTGCTTTCAAGCCAGAGAATCGGTCGGGTCTCATCATTCTTAAAGATGGTAAGCTTTTCCCGAGTGACAGGGCAATTGCAAAGCTCATCAATGGCTATGTCAGACAGAGGAAGGTGGGAGAGCTCTCCAAGGTGTTGATCGGCATACACAAGACTGTGGGCACTTCATCGGACTTCAGTTTGGGCTCAGAGGTCGTGGTTTCTTTTGTTGAATTGGGCTGGTTAGAGACTGCTCATGATATCCTGGATGACATGGAATCAGCTGGAGTTTCCTTCCCAGAGATCACATATGCCTCACTTTTGATGGCCTACTGTAAAAAAAATATGCCTGATGAAGCCAGAGTCCTGATGAGACAAATGAGGGAAAGAGGCCTGATAAATTTGCCCGACGAAGAAGCTATAATCTTGTTTCCCTCAGTCGATGCAAAGTGTGCTGCACTGGTCACTAGCTCAGCCTTGGCCAAGCTCTTGGAAAAGCAATCCATGGAAGAAGAAGAAGGCACAGCAACTCATCTGATCTATGAGTTTAATTTCTCTATTTTATTCTTCTGCAAGGCCGGAATGATGGAGGATGCGATAAAGACTTTCAGAAAAATGCAAGAAAGGAAGGTTGAGCCCACTGTCCAGACCTTCGGTCACCTGGTGAATGGGTACTCATCACTGGAGATGTATCGGGAGATCACGATAATCTGGGGAGAGATCAAGAGGTGGTTGGAAGTCGGCGTTTTATCACCTGACAGAGATCTATTTGAGTGCTTGCTGTGGAACTTTATCAGAGGTGGTTACTTTGAGAGAGCCATGGAGATTGCTAGATATATGGAGGAGTCTCACATGTATGTTGATAAGTGGAGATTTAGGAGAGAGTTTCTGAAGTTGCATAAGAACCTCTACAGGAATCTGAATATGTCTAATGCAAGAACTGATGCCCAGAGTAAGAGGCTTGAGCATGTTAGAGCCTTTAGGAAATGGGTTGGCATTGCCAGGGCAAAGAGGATTGGATCCAACGGTTAGATTATCATTGGAGCATCAAAATCTTGGATGTTGTTGAACACTAACTTTAAAGAAAAAGCATGTCAGTTGGTGTTCATTTCTTCGTCTGTTCCTGTTTCAGTTCATCCTTGAGAAAAAGAACTAACCAAAACTTTGTCCATTAAAATGCTGCATTATTAACTGGGCTAAGAAACTAGCCACATCTCCTCTATGACTTAGCTTGAATGCATTAAAGGCAAATGATGCCTTCTGCACTTGAAGCCTTGATCTCCTCTCCCTCTTTGTGACTCTGATGGCTCGAGTTTTAGCAGTGACAGGCAGTTTGTGTTTGTATTTACTGATTCTGGGACCTCATCTTCTTTAGCTTCTGAATCAGATCTAAAGACGGGAACTGGTAGGAAGGAGGCCAAGAGACTCTGCCTTCCATTCATAGGTTTGGAAACCTAAAATTTTGTCTCCATTGGAGTGAGGGATCAGAGGATTGGTTGTACCTATTTGACTGAGGAGGAGCAAATGATGAAGTGTACCATTGCCTTTTGGCTGACCCAAATCAGTGGCAACAGTTGAAGTATAAGATCACATGATCCTGTGTCTCCAAACTTATTTTACTAATTAAATTTACGATCCAATTTTCCGTCTTCTATAGAAGCTAATTATCACCAATAAAAATATTTTGTTTCCTCTAAGAGGAACAAAGTGTTCTGTTCATTCTATCGTTGATGTAATCTTTGGTAGGTCCCTGTTTATGAAACTATGCTCTAGGACTATTCTGTCATATAGATGATCCATCAACATCATCATTCCAATTCATATAGTCATTCCAACATCATCATCATCATTCCTATTCTGTCGATTTCTGAATTTTATGTGGATTAATGTCCTCTTTCTCAAATTTTATTTTGATCAGGTACTCGGTCACAGAGTTTCAGGCCTATGATTTTCTTTTGATGGGGAAAGGGATGCAGTAGAGGGATGTGATTCTGATGATGGAAAATGAACAACTCCATTAATACTTATTGATGTCACTGGAGGGCTGTCACCGGTGATAGATAGTCAGCGAGCTCCAGTGTTTGATTCTCTGCTTCACTGGAGACCCTTCCGAAGGTTTGTCTAACCCAATTAAAATTACCTTCTTGAGGTATCGAATCTGCCTAGGACATAATAATGATTACATGGATCTATTGAGAATTAGCAAACCCTAATTCTGATAAATCACAAAAAAATAGGGAGAGACAGTAAGAGAAGGAACACCTAGGATTCAAAGTGGTTTACTCCACTACAAGAGATATATCTACACACTATTGCGAACTCCACATCAATGATAATTAGCTTTCACATGACAAGGTCAATCATATATCTAGGGTTTTCAAACATGTCAAGGTCTACGATTTTTCTTTTGCATTCTTCAACAACTATGTCTAGATTTCATTGCATTAGATCTATTATTTAATGAGTGTGATCTCACTGTTCTAGGACTCGTCGCTCTAATTATATGAGGTTCATCTTGATCAAGAAAAAATCCAATCTCACGTTGTCTTCTTTACTAAAACTGCTTTTGAATCAGGCTTCTTACTTAGAACGCAGCTCTGGAGGGGTATGGAAAGCCAGTAATGGCAGCCGTGCAGAGCTCAAGAGACAATTGGTAGGGAAAAGGGGCGGAGCTTTGGAACGTTCTATGGGCCAACATGATGTTGAAAATGAACTCCAGACTTCTGACTCAGACCCTTCAACTGGGCGAGGCCAGTAACGAGGGCATTGCACTTGGCATCCACTTCTTGTTAACGCGTGCAAGTTGGCTACAATATTATGTAGACGATGGAGATCCCTATACTGGACAAACCGTTGACTCTAAAGCCTGGAGAACATTTCTGATTGAAAAAATTGCCTCTTTAAACGTTATTCGACTGTTAAAAAATTTCAAAAATCATTGCTTAATGTTCATAGAAATATACCCATAACAATCAATCAAAATCAGTTATACTTGGGCAATGATAATATCTAGGGATATACTTTGGAATGAGCCTTGATTCCTACAGGAAAAAAAGGTAATTTCGATTTAAGATATGCAAGTATAGATCAAGATAACACAGAAGAGAGTATGATTTAGGGGACCTTTAACTTTCTTCAAGACTCTTGAGCAACATCACCTCGCAGATTTTTAAATTTTTGGGCTATCAAACCTTAAATTGATAGAGAATAAGTAGAAAGACTTCTCTATATAAACATAATGTTTTATTTACCATTATAAGGTGGGATAATTTTTTTAGGCCAACTGCTTGGCCCATCACCAGGTCCACAATTAGTGTAGCATACAACCGTAAAAGCATGGCCAACTTACTGGGGAAGACAGTAAATTTTATTAGGTATGCTTATGGAGTGAGACACAAAGAGTGGTCCAAATGGAACAAGGATCAACCAAGAGAGTTGGGAGGTCTCTTGAATTACTTCCTTGAACCCTAGGGCGTCCCTTGGACTCCCCACCCCTCTCTTCCATTCCCTTCCCATTTCCCCTTTTTATTTTGTTATTGTGGACAGAGTTGCTCAAAATTTTGTTCTAGTCTGATTTTCTTGTTCCATTCAAGTGTCTTTCTTTTAGGTCAGGTCAAAGGGTCATAATAGCTTGGTACCAGCTATGGAGCCCCAAAACAACAAAGGAAGGTACGAGAGTTTGGAGGAGGTTGAAAACTTGAAAGAGACGAGATAGACAAATATATCAAAGATCCGTGTCAATGGAGAACACGATGAAAGTATTGACCCATGCGGTGGCACAGCTCACTCATTGCATGGACATCATAGATTGTATAGCCGAGGAGTGAAGAAAGAACTGTTTCAATAGTGAAGATGGCCATCCCAACATAAGAAGAAGCAACTGACACAAGCACTCGAATTTAGGAGCACAACATCACTCATATGTAGACCACAATTCAATAGTGATAAGAGCACAATAGAATCATAAGAGGTCATAGTCTATAAACTTTTGGAACACTCAACTGTAGTTAGTTCTAGAGGACGCTACTTAGAGATACCCCTTTTTGGCACAAGAAATCATGATGTATAGATATTATGGGGGGAGCTATACTTTGAGTGGTATCATAGGTCGACACCAACTAAAAACAACCCTATCTAGCTTGAATGATGAAGCACTTGTGTGGTTTTAGTGGGTGCACATCACATGCATAAATGTTTTGATTCAAAATTGGCAAATACTTTATGAGAAAATTTCTAGATATCAAATCGCTAAAAACTGTGGTTGATTACTGTCTAGAATTTGAGCTATTATCTAGTGTCATTGAAGGAATATAGAAGGAGGTCCTCAATAGTACTTTAATGAAAAGGCGGAAGCCATAAATCCATGATGAAGTCAAATTATTCAAACCACAATGATATTATGGATACAGCACAAGCAGTGGAGAAAAATACCACATTTAATTCTATTGTAGAGAAAAGACATTACAAGGTAATAAAATATGGAGGATACGAATGTACTGGTTTGAATGATTTAAGATAAAGCCAATAACATCACCCAAATAAAGAGATCATTTGGAGTGGCCATGTAACCCCATTGAGATAGACAAAGGTCAACTAGATATAATCATGTAATAGGAGGCATTTGACTCTCACATAATCAGATTATCACATAATTATTATTTAAAAAGAGGAATTGGTAGGATAAGAGGAGGCAAACTATAACTAGGTGAAAGAGGTAACCAAAATATGAGAGGAGAAGGATGTGTCTAATATCGAAATTTCCTTGAATTCTATTTTTTGACTATCCACCCTAAGGACCATGAAACTGAATGGAAGAATCCAAGATTGATCAACCCTCAATGAGCCCTACTCTAGTATAGTATGTTTAGTTAAAAACAAAGATGGCACTTGATATTTTTGGGTAGATTATAGGGATTTGAATCAAGCCTAATTACTAGAAAAAATTTCATCCCTATTATGGATGAACTTCTAAATGAGCCACATGAGCAACAATATGTATTAAGTTGGATCTCAAATCGGGGTATTAGTAAATATCAATTCACCAAGAGGACACCCATAAAATAGTCTTTAGAACTCACAAAAGTCAATATCAATTTCTGGTAATGTCTTTTAAACTCAAAAATGCCCAAGCTACATTTCAATTATTGATGAATAATAATTTTCACCTATTCCTCTAAAGATTTCTAGCAGTATTCTTTGAGGATATTTTGGTCTATAACCACAACAAAGAGTCATGATTGTCATTTAGAATAGGTACCAATTTTTTGAGAAACATGAACTTCATATTGGTCCAATTTTTTAGTCACGGAGGATAATATTTTAAACATTGTGCATTGACATTGAAAGTGGAAGTGAAAGTAGACATAAGAAATGATAAAATTCAGGTCATGCTCAACTGACCCACCCACATTAAACCTAGAGAATTAGGAGATTGTTTAGGGCCAACAAGATACTACATGTGTTTTATACCTAATTATAAACTCATCACATGGCCCCTCACTAGAATGTGTTATTCTGATTATAAGAAATTACCTTAAAGTACAATACAACATTCCATCCACAAATGGGAAATCAAACAAAGGTAGTCAACTACTACCTTAGGACTTATCTTTGTTGTTTTGCAAGAAACAAATCCAAATAATCGAGCCACTAGTTGTCATGAGATGAATTGTAATACTACACATTTCATTTAAAAGTAAATACTACCACATTTCAAATAATCTATGTGCCTCCTGACAACCTACTCTAATGGCAAAGGCAATGGTCAAATAGTATGACTCTATATTGAAAAGCTCAAATATCACCTAACAAGAGCTCAATCACAAATTAAGTCCCATGTTGATTAACACAATAAAATGAAATTTTCTAAAAGAGATGGTCTACCGCAAGGTGGAATTTTTGAAGATACATTCTCTAGCCCACTAAAAAAATGAAAAGCTCTCACCATGATATTTTAAATATTTATGTAGAAAAAAGTGCATGCAATTACTTACATGATAAATCTTCTAGATTCTCCCATGATTTATTTCACT